ACCGTGGCGTGTGCCTGAATATTGATCGGCCAGGCCGGGCCGGAGTTTGGGAGTTTGGCCAGTGTGGGGATGCGCGGCCGGTGGCCGGCCGTATGCCTGGCCGGCCGTGCCGTGCGGGGAGGGCAAGCCTTCGGCGGGGCAGGGCGAGGCAGGCGGGGGGTGTCGGTGGCGTTTTGCAAGCCGGTCGGTAACTAGAGCAGCGAGCGGAGCCTGGCAGGCTGGCAGGCCGGCGGGGCCCACAGACGCTCACCTTGCAGGCAGTTTCAACAGAGCCCCCTCCCCCTCCCCGTCTCCGGCTCGCTCTCCAGCAAGACTCCTTTCAAGTCGAAGCCAAAAATCGGCGGTGCTGCGGTGGCAGCGCGCGGCGCGACGCCCCCCGCAGCGTCGCGCTGTTGCGTCAGCGCCGCACTATCACGGCAGACGAGCGTGACGCTCCGCGTGACAACGTGACGCGGGAGTGACGCCGTGTGACAGAGTGACAAGGCGCTGTGACGAGCGACCCAGCGGCCCGCCGGTCCGTGGCAAGCCGGACAGCCGGGCTCGTCAGCTTGGTTCCAAGTTCAAGTCGCTGGAGCGAATGCAGTGGGGCGTGAAGTGCTCCCCTTTGACGGCCCGTCGGGTGTAGGGCGCAGAGGGCGGCAGAGGGTGATGGCGCCGTGGTGGCGCGGTGCGCGGCGGCAGAGTCGCAAGTCGAGCGACTGGAAAGGCGTCGGGCAAAAAAGTTGTCGCGGAGAAATGATGGAGTGGTTACGGTGCACTTTTAATTGTCGCTGCTGCTGGAGTGCTGGAGCGCGGCTGCCTGGCGGCTGCCCCTTACCTTGCCCGCGTGGGAATGGAATAGTGCAGTGCCCTGCAGTGCAGCGCACCAGGGCGGTGTGTCGCAAGCAGGTGCTGCAGCTGTGTGGCGCGGCGCGGCGCGGCCTGGCTGCCAGCCGCAGCGCCGCAGCACAGCACAGGCGATCCAGGTCGCAGTGCTGCTGTGGAAATCCAGCCTTGAAAGTTCGTCGACCGTCCCGCTTAGGCGAGCCGAGCCGAGCACGGCGTGCAGCACCGTGCAGCAGCCAGCCGCGCCGTGCGTCCGCGGCATGGTGGGGCCTGCGGGGCCATGGCGGGGCGGCGCCGAGCCGAGTCCCGCGCGGACCGCGGCGTAGGTTAGGTTAGGGTTGGCTCAAGGATGCAGGATGCAGCGGGACGCCGCCCGCGTGGGCGCCGCTGGCTCCGCCACTGCAACGCCCCGTTCGTCCTGCAAGGGCCCACAGGCTCGACACGTGAGCTGGCAGACTGATTCCGAACAGGGCGTTCGTCCCTCTGTCTCTCTCGCACTCCTGGAGCGGCCCGTTGGTGTGAGGGAGAGGCTGCGCGACGAAGGACTGGTGTCCGTACCGGCCGTTTCCGGGCCGCGGCCTTGCAGCCTTGCAGCCGGAGGATGGCCGAGTCGCGCTGCGTCGCTGCCGGAGCCGGAGGTGCTGGAGGCAGAGGCAGGGCGTCGTGAAACGTGATCACTTCCTTTCCCTGGCGGGGCGCAGCGCACAGCGCGGCCAGGCAGGCACACTGGCGACGGCGAGTCACTGGCATTGTTCGCCGGAGGGCCCCGGCCGGCCTGCCCCCGGCCCGGCGTCGGTGACGCAACGATGCAACGCGGCCGCGCTCGCCTCGCCGGCCGTTATCAGAACGCCCTCGAGTGCACCACGCTGCAAGCGCGGCAAGCTGCACGCGCCGCGGCCCGCGCGTTGGCAGACCGGCAGGCCCAGGCCGTGCGACACACTGCGAGGGGCCGCGCAGGTGTTTAATTTTGACCCTGCCCTTGGGGCCCTGCCACGCCCTGCCTGGGGCTGGGTGGGCGCGGCGACGCGATGCACCCGCCAGCCCGCCAGCAGCCCGCCCCGTGCGTCGTGGCGGCGCGCGGCGCCCAGGTGCTTGGCCCGCGCGCCCGGCTTGCGACAGCGCCGCGAAGCCGCGAAGCACCGCGACAGCGACGCGTGACACACGTGGCGGCGGGCGTGCGGAACCCGGGGGCCGACGCGGCCAGCGCGGCCAGCACGGCCAGCACGCGTACGGGCATTATTCCCGATTTATAAATAGAGGCGCGGAGTGGCCCGGCGTGAGATACCGGTGCGGCGCGGGCGCCTTGCCTTGCCCGTTGCATCAGAGTGCGTGGGGGTACCCCGCCTGCCCCGCCCGCCCCGCGTGCCAGGTGGGCTCAAGTCGGATCGGCGTGAACGGCACGAACCGCTCCTCAATGGCCGCGGTGTGTGGTTGTCTCCGCGGGTTCGAATCCCCGTCGCAGACTATTATTTGCGTGCGTTTTGTCCGCCGCTATCCGGCTGGATCTGGATCGCAGGACGGCCGTCGGACCCCGCCCGGTGGCCCGGCCCGCGGTCGCCCCAGAGCTGCACCTCCCGCAGGACACAGTCAACGTTTTCCACATTTGCACCGTACGCGCTGGCAGGGGCGGGAAGGGGGCGTGGGGAGGGGGTCCTGCCGGAGAGGGGGAAGGGTTATGTCAGGTGTGGAGGGGGCAGAAGGGAGGGGGCCGAGCGGGCCGTGCAGCTCATGGCGTCCCTATCCAGGTCAAGGAGAGGTAAGGCCCAACCAGCAGGCCCCAATGTGGCAACTGTGTGCTCAGAGCGGCGCGGAGCAGCGCGCGGCGGGGCGGAGGGGCGGGGCGGGGCGAGGTGGCGGGGCGTTCTGGCACTTTCCCTTCCTGTCGTTCTGGAGCGGTGTGGCGGGGCGCGGCGGGGCGCGGTGGCCGCGGCGGAGCGCCCAACAACAATAACTAAAACGGGCGGAAACTTGGAAACATAGCGGCCGCTGCGCCGCGCGTCCACACCTGTTGGCGGTGCATCTGCAGGTGCAACAGGTGGCCGAGACTGCCAAGACGGGCGCGGTGCAGGCGGTGCATCGCTCCGGCGAGTCGCGAGAAAATGGGGCGCCCCGCCCCGCCCTCGCCTCGCCGCCGATTCCCCGAATGGGCAGAGATAGCCCCGCGAGCCACCGCGGTACGGGCCGCGGGCTTGCAGTGGGCCTGCAGTGGGCACGCCGCCGTGGGCCCCGCATGGAGAACGAGAGCGGCATCGCGCTCAACTCGCGAGTGTCGCAATGCCGACGCCAGGTGGCGCTCGCGGCTCGCGGCGGCGGGAAGCGGCGCGGATTTTGAAACGGTGCTGGTGCGCTGGTGGTGGGCCGGTGCGGCCTGCTCGGCGCGGGCCTGGTAGGCTGCGCCCCCCGCGGCCCCCGCGCCCCCCGCGGCCCCCGCGGCTCCTGCCGGAGCCTGGCAAAGACCTTCTATTCCCTGAACCGGCTGGCTGCTGGGCCGGCTGCCGCTGGACCGCCCGGCCCGAGGCCTGGCCCGAGGCCTGGCCGGACCGATTTGGGAACGGCATTGTGCGCGCTGCAGGGCTGCACTTGGCTACTGCAGCGGACTGCAGCGGACTGCAGCGCGGCGTCACTTTCTCTTTTTACGGCCTCTTTAATTGCTGCACTAGAACTGCAACCCGAGGCGCGGCGGACGACGCTTAGCCGGCATTGGCATTGGAGGAAGAGAGAGAGAGCGACGATTACGGGCAGGAAAGGACGACAGCGTCCCTCTCCCCGCGTCGCGCCGTGCGGCCACGCGACGAGCCTCGCGCTCTGTTGTTGCGCGCTACTTGTCTCCTTTTTTGCGCTGCCCGCCCGGTCCGGGGCGGTCCGCCACCCCTTTGCTCCTTTTCATCCTTTCTTTCGATCCTTTTTTTCGGCGCGCGGCGCGTCGTATTTTGGCCGCTCCCATCTTGATAGCGCGGCGATGCCATTCACATTGTTTCCGATATGTTGTTGTAGTGCACTTGGCTCGTGGCCACACACACGCACGCACACACGTACACCCTGGCGCGGGGGCAGCAGGTGCGACGGCAGCTGTCCGGTTCGGCGTGGCGTGGCGCCGCACCGTTTTGGACCCCATTCAAACGCGCCCGCCGCGCCGACAGCGCGACCCGCGAGCGATCGGGCCGATGAGAGAGAGGAAGAGCGAGAGAGAAAGATAGAACGGCCCGAGTGACAACGGCCGCACGGGCGCCTGACCCGATTTCAGGAAATCGGTAACGTGTTCGGTGTCACGCCAGGCCGCCAGGCACAACGCCAGGCCCGGCATGTCTGCACGCGGCACGCGCGGACTCGTCCTTATCGAGGTGCACACTTTTTCCGGTTGGGTCTAAATCCGGCGCAACGATAGTAGCTAGGCCGCGGGGCGCCGCGGGGCCCGGCAGGCCCGGCAGGCCCGGCCCGCCATGACAGCGCGGTGGAAGGGGCTCTGCAGCAACAGCGGCGCGGCGGTGGGGGAGGCTCGCCCCGCCCCGCCCCGCCCCGCCCAGGCCCCCGCCACGACGACCGTGAACTTGCTCCGATAGCGTACCGCCGGCAACGGGTTGGCTCTGACGCAACGGCTTAGCGCCCGCCGCGCCTCGCCCCGCCCCTCCCCGCCCCGCCACGCACCGCCACGCACCGCCCCGGCTGGACCGAGCGCGCAGCGCGCCTTGATAATGAGCCGCCAGGACCTCTCGGCCACGACGGGGATGGCGACGGGGACCATGGCGACCGGCGGGGTGGACAATGAGTCAGACACACACGCCAGCCGCCCCAGGTGGCTCCGATACTCCGATGTCCCAGGCTGATTGCCGGGTCAATACTGCTCCGCGCTGGCGGTGCTGCGGTGCTGGCAGTGCCGTGGTTTGTCTTGACCGCAGATGGGCTGATGTCGACCTGGATATGGAACGCCTATCGGCCCGACGGCCTTCATCGAGACGCGGAGGCCCCGAGCCCCAACCCCGCGGCCGCCACGCAGTGTGACGGCGCGGCCCCATATTTGTGGTGGATTCGCGTTTGATCCGCGTGGGCCCGGCGTGCGTGCCGATGGACACGTTGGACGCTCTTCCTGTTCAAACGGCGCACCGCGTCCGCCGCCGCGTTTGCGTGTGTGCCCTCCTCTCTGCCCGTGTTGACCGTGTTGTTGTTGTTGTTTGCAGTTGCCGTGGACACGACGGAGCACCGCATGCTCATGGGGATGAGCCTGCTGCCGCCGATGGCGTCGCCGTCGCCGCCGCCCGTGGTGAAGCGGGAGCCCGCGGAGGCGGTGACGACCCTGGGCAGCCTGGGGGCCGCGCTGCCGCACCCCGCGCACCTGCCCCCGCACCACCCCCACCACCCGCCGCACGCGCACCGAGTGCCGCCCTACACCACCAACGGTAAGTACCACTCCCAAGTGCAACTAAGTCCAAGTGCAAGTGCAAGTACAAGTTGGGCCGTTGGCGCGGAGGGGCGAGGGCCGGGTGGGCCGTCGCCTGCGCCTCTCGGCCCTTACAGTGCGCGACCTGCGACCCGGGGGTCATTGCCTCTTATCGGCCGGGCTCGGCCCCGCGGCCCGCTGTCACCCGCTCGTGTTTTGAAGCCAGTTTGGTCGCGACTCGCGCGGGATGGGACGGGATGGCTGGGGACGGTGCCAAGATACGTTCGGCCGCTTGTGGAGTTATACCGCTTCTCAATGGGAGGGGGAGGGGGAGGGGTGTCTTGATGCGAATCTGCGCTGCGGTGGCTTCTGCTTCGGAGCGCCCCTCGGCACCGAGACGATTCCGTTTCTTTGCCGAATAACGGCCGTGGCGTGGAAAAAAGATGCCGCTTTCCACCCAAACCGCCCTCGCGTTTCTAACGAATTTCTGTGTCTTGAGGCCGTTAGTGACTCGGTGGCGGTTGGCCGATGCAGCCTGGCGCGGTGCGTGCCTGGGAGTGGGTGGGCCAGACGCAGCGCGGCGTGGCGTGGCGTGGCGCAAGACGCGTTGCGATCTGTCGGCCCAACTGAAGACTGGACCGTTTTTCTCCATTTTTTCTCGAGAGCGGTTACTATTTCTCTCCTAGCCTAGGCCTGGCCGTGTCAACGGCTCCTCGGGCCGTTACTGGAAACTAGTTGGTCCACGGCGGGCTTATACCGAGTGGCCTTCTTTTTCTTTTTTTTCGAGCGCGTTTGTCCATCGCCGGCCGTGTGAGTTTGCAACGCGTTGTTTACGCGCTGGATTGTTTTTTTTTTTCGGGGCTTTCGTAAACTCCATGCGTGCGTTTAATTGCACGAGGGTCGGCATGGCTGCATAGCGCGTATTCCAATCAACTTTTTTTTTTCGCGAATATCTTCCCTCCCTCGCTTTTGACATCGGCCCGCAAGGGTTGCGTCGCGGTGCGTGTTGTCGGCTCCCACACTGTATGGCACTGGCGGCACTGACCGACCGGGCGCGCCAGGTTCGCGCTCTGGCTTTTTTTATCTTATTTGCGCGTCGAAAATGAATGAACGCGGCAAAAAAAGGTTCGGGATGTAAATGACGCGCGAGTTGCGTAGGAGGACGGGGCGGAGAGGCCACGCAACGCGCGGCGCACAAAAGAGGGGGAGCAGATGCCGAAAGGGGGAGGGAGGGGGACACGCGAATGAAAACAGATAAATAATCGAAGGGAGGAAGGAAAAAATCGGGCGCGGCATATAGTGGTCAGTCCGGGAGTCCGGGTGGACATTCCCACACGCACGGCGTGTACGCACGCACTCACACTCACGCAGCATAGGGGGCGAAACGAGAAATGTTAGTGTGGAACCAGCTCGGCGTGGCGTGCACGGCGTGGACCCGGAGGCTGGCTGGACGGCGTCCAGTCTCGCGCTGGCCGTGCTGGCCGAGCCGGACAACGGTCATCTTCATTCGGCGGGGTGCGTGGCTCGGCGTGGCCCTGGTGTCCAGGTCCTGGCGGTGGCCCTGCCCGCCCTGGCCGTCCTGGCGGTGCTGCGCCACGGCTCGGCTCCGCGTCCAGCCGGTCCAGCCGGTTGGTGCGCGGCCCGGCTGGGCTCGGTGCGCGCGGAACGCTCGGCTCGGCTCACGCAGCTCACACAGCTCACGCACAAGGCGTTCTGTTTCGGTTTCGTTGGCTGGTTTTCGCTTTTCAAGGAGGCCAGGCGAGGCGGGGCGGGGCGCGCGCGGCTGAGAACGCGCGGATGAGTCGTGCGTGATCTCAATGGCCATCTCCGGGACGGGCATCGCGGCACCGCACCGCGCCGCAGCGACGCGTGGGACGGAGTGAAAACTCGCTCGTGTGAACTGGGTACCGGCAAACTGGGTACCGGCAGAGCCGGCAGAGCGGTACCGGGTGCGCGTCGGCGGAAAGCACGCCTGCCTGTGGCGGCGGTGCCGGCCTGGGTCCTAGTGCGAATCTCCCCTCCCCGATCCGCCCCGCGCACTGCACTGCACTGCGGCCGCGGCCTCTAAACGCTGCACCGGTAATGCCGAGATTAGCCGGTGCATCCTTTCTTCCGGCTTTTTTTTTTTTGCGCGCGGGTTGTCGCCAAGGGGGTTGTGCGGTCGTAGTACGAATGTAGGGGGTCTCTCTTTCATATTGACGTTCATATGCGTGTGTCGTGGATCATGTGAATAAACACACGGTTATTTGTTTACCTCCGGCATTGGGGAAATGGGCCTTTCTTCCTTTATCCGGACTCACTCCTTCCGCGCTGACCCTTCGTCCTTCGTCCAGGCCGCCGTCCAGGCCGTCGAGGTGCGCGCACCCGAGGCACCCCGGCGGCCGCGGCGTCAGGTAAAGGGTTGGCCGGCCGCGCTCCTCGCCGAAAGGAAGAGGAAACCGAAGTGTGAAATGTAAATGGCTTTCCTTTGGAGTCTATACTCACTCGCGGAGGTAATATACATACATAAAGTTTGTGGAATTTTTCGTCGCTGCCCTCGCAATGCTATGCTGGTGCCGCCGCTGCCGGCGTGCGTGTACTTTATGAGGGTGTTTGTGTGCTCTGGGTCGCGGTTTGTCGCATCGCGCAGTCCTTCGGGGCTGCCCTTCGCAGCCCTTCGGCTCGTAAAGTCCTGCTCGTCCTTTGAGGACTGGCTCGTAAATCGGACGCATCCTCGGCGTTGCAGCGCGAAGCCGAGAAGCCGCGCCCTTTGAACAAACACGTCGTGATTCAGTACCGGTAGTGCAACGGCGGCGCGGTGCGCGGTGCACTGGTCACCGGCGTCCTCGGCCGGTTGGCGGCGAGGTGCGGATTTCGCACGGTGCGTTCTGTTCCATTTGTCAGCGTCAGCACTAATTAGGCGGCATCAAACATCCGCGCTATTTTGACAGCCTCGCCGGACAGCGCCGGACAGCGCTGGACAGGCTGGCCGAGCAACGGACAGACAATGCGGATAATAAACGGGCAAACAAACAGCGAGGACAGGCCCTGGGCAGCCCTGGGCAGCGCTGGGCTGGACATCATACCCATCATTACGGTGACGGGCTCCGCCAGCTCCGCGACGGCGAGGCGGCGCGGCGGCGCGGCTCCCCTGCGTCGCGGTGCTGACCCGGGGCCGGCCAGGGGTCAGTCCCACATACATTACGTGCGCGGACGACGCCGCCGCGGAAGACGACGACGACGACGCCCTGGCCGCCGCCCTGGCCGCCCCGCTGGACGGTGATTAACGGGGCGACCGTGACGCGGCGGCGTCCGGCACGGCGAGCTTGTCGTCGGGACGGGTGTCCGTGTCCTCGACGTCCTCGTCGAGCCGCCGTCGCCGCCAACTACAACGTCCACAGCGCGGCTAGCGCGGCCGGCCCGGCCCGCCCGTCACCCTGGGCACCGGCAACGCACCGCACCGCCGCCCTTGAGCCACTGGCCCGAATCCGAATCCGCCCGGTGGAGCATCGCGTCGCATTTCGCATTTCCCGCTTCCAAAGATATCGCCGCTCGCGCGCAGCGCGGCACGCACTCCGCCGACACCCCGCCGTCCGCTCCGACGCCATGCCGACGCGGCCAACGCGGTCACGTCGGAGTGACAGGCTTTCAAGCGCCGCGCAGTCGCGTCGTAACGCGCGAAACCCGAGCGCCGGCCGAATGCCATGCCGAAATCTCATCGGGATGGGCTGCGCCGGGCTGCGCTAGCGCTAGGCAGCGCCTCGACGGCCCTGGGCTTCCCTGGGCCCTGCCTGCCCTCCTGGCCCGGGTCCAGGGGACGCTGACATCTGGGCCGCGACGCAACAACTCTCGACAATGACCCGTGTAAATTTTGGTGAAGGCGACCGACTGCAGGAGTGACTGCAGTGGCCCGGCCGAGTGCACAAAGTAGCTCGACTGCACCTCGGCGATGACGGCCTGCGTGCTCGGCGGCCTCGAGGACACGACACACCGCACACTGTAAGCTCGCGCTCTGCTCGGCCCCGCGCTAATCCGCGAGGGAAGCCGCGGACGCCGCCGCGGAGTTTTCCACGTCGCGAAGGGCGGGAGGCGCGGGGAGGCCGCCGAGCAGGCCGTCAAGCAGGTCCAGCGAGTCCGGACGCGCGGTGCGTGGCGCGGCGAGGCGCGGCGGTGGACTCGCGGCCGCGGCTTCGGCACCGATCAATTTATTCATAAAAGTGTGTCGGTGCGTGTGAGCAGTGACCATAGAGCCTTCGCTGATTACCTATTCCGGAAACGCGGGGGCTATAACGTGAGAATGCGCAACAAAACGGCCCTTTATTCCTGGACGAATTAATTTGGGCCATAAGGTTAATATAGGCAGCCGATCGGAGGAAGGGGTGGGCGACGTCTTCGGTGTGTGTGTGTGTGTGTGTGTGTGTGTGTGTGTGTGTGTGTGTGTGTGGTGGTGTATGTCTGTCTGTGTTTGTGTGCGTGTGCGTGAGTGAGAGCGTGTGTGTGAACACGGCGACTACGAGTACACTGGCCGCGCTGCCCGCCACTGCGCAGAGCGACAGTCCGGTCCTGAGGCTGTAGGCTGCAGGCTGTGGAGTGGTCGCAAACAGCAGCAAACGGCCTGCAAGCGGCCGGAGCCACAGGCGGAGCCACAGGCGGAGCCTAGCCGGTTTTCCGTTTTTAATTGCCGCTGCTGGCATGCGGGGTACTACTTGTGCCGGGCCGCGCGCCGCACCTTGGGTCCTTCGGCCGCACGCAGCGCGACGCCGCGCGACGCCGCGCCTCACCCTCGCCCCCTTTGCCGGCTTCCTTTACTTTTCGTTTTCGTTTTCGCCAAGTTGTTTCGGCCCGAAAACTGGCGGCGGGAACGCCCTGCCACGCCCAGCGGTCCGTGGCGGTGAGAGGGGGAGGGGGAGGGGGGAAGCCGTGAGGAAATTAATTTCAATGGTAATGCCGGAAACCCCCGCGAAGGCGACGCGGCGAAGGCTGGCCGAAGGAGGCGATCGGAGACTGACATCTTGCCGCTCCAGTTTTGGATTGATTTGAATAATTTGGGCCGCGTCCGTTGTCCGCGCCGCCGAGCCGCGGGACTGACGGCCGCGGGGTCGCGGGGTCGCGGGACGTATGTGCGCGTACTGCCGCGGCCGCGGCGCGAAGACGCGAAGCGACGCGGTTCCCGCGGTGCCGCCGCCGGAAAAACCGGGACCAAGTCGCTCAACCTGTCGCGCGGCCCCCGGCCCGCGTGTGTGTGCGTGCATGTGTGTGCGTGCGTGTCGCTGTGTGAGTGCGCAGCGTAAGTGGAGACTTTTCTGAAATTTGGTTAATGACGAGCGCGCACAACAACGGTTCACGGTGCAATGACTCGCAATCCGGAAAACGAGTACAAAAGGACTGCACTAAACGCTTCTTGGTTTGTCGTCAGAGGAGAGCATGTTTTCTTCGAAGACTTTTGCAAAAATTAAAGTACCGTTGGGGTACCATTGATGCTCGCTGGGCGCTCGAACGCGACCCCGTGCTCGAGGACCTTATCAACCAAAACCCGCATCCACGCGGTAATTTGAAATTCGTACTTCCGATTCCGTAATTTGGGAGGAATACTTTACGGTCTTACCTCTCGAAACACAGTGACTTTCCATTTAAAAAATTTATTTCACGCGCCTTTTTATTTCTGAACATCTTATTCCGCAACAGTTCGCCTCCGTTTACTCGTTTCTTCCTTTTTTTCGGCGAGAAAAACGAAAAATGATCGGACTCTCCGCCGTCTGTCGGTTCGAACGCCGTGCGTGATGCGTGGTGGTCGCGCCGGCCAGGCCACGCCCCCGGGGAGGATTCCACAGGAGTCATTCCTCGGCTCGGAAGGAGGCGCGGGGAAGGAGAGGAGAGGACTGGTGCCGGACAGACCGAGCGGCCGGGCAGCCGGACGGGCAGCCGGACGGCGGACCGGTTTGCGGCCAAATCATATTAATAACCCGATTTGGATTGTTGAAAGTGATGCGCGCTTTGTGCTTTGTGGACTGGACACTGGGACCGCGTTGCGCCGCGTCGCCGCGTCGCCGCGGGGACAGGTCGCCCGGCCCAGCGTAGCCCAGCGTAGCCCAGCCCGGCCGGACAATGCGTGCTGGTCAGCGTGTTGACGGAGAGCGTCAGGTTCAGGGGGAGGGGAGGGGGAGGGGACTCACCCCCGATAATTACCCCGCTTACACACGATTTATTGAACGCGTTTCCTTATCCCGGTTTTCCCTTTCGTCTCAAGGAAGCGGCTTCCTGGCCCCGTTGCCTGGCTGGCTGCCTGGCTGGCTGCCTGGCTGCGGCGTTCCCATCGCCGCGGGTTGGAATAGATTTGGGACGCGGGTTCGAGCCCCGCCAACGGCAACGGCAGCGACTGATTTTCGAGAGTCGTTTTCGTCGATCTGTCTCTCTCGCACTCATGGGCCATCACTTTCGGCGCGAGAGAGACAGAGCGACGAAGGACTCTCGGAATCGGTGTGCAGTCCGAGCATACTACGCTGCGGCAGCGGGTGGTGTTTGTCCGGCATCCGGTTACCTGCGAGTCTGCGACAGAGACAGTCTGCGAGTGCCGCCGTCGCCGCCGCCGCGCCGTTCGATCCGCTTTTGGCGAGCGCAACGTCATCGCCGTCATCGGCCTGCCCAGCCGGGCCAGCCGGCGCGTCGCGGCGGTCATCGTGTTGTTGCATGCGGGGGGCGGGGGGCGGGGCGGGGCGGGGCGGGGCGGGGCGGCAGCATGGCGCGGGCGGACAGCAGCTGGGCCTCACGCACCGACGACACGGCACTGCGCGGCCCGCACGGCCCGCACGGCCCACGCTGTTGTTGTGACGAAGGGGTGGTGCTCTGGCCGCGTCATCGCGGCACGCGGATTCCCCACACTGCTTTCGTCGCTCTGTCTCCGTCGCACTCGCGGGCCGCGCCGCAGGTGTGCTAGAGGGAGAGAGAGAAGTCGTACGGGCGGGGCGGGCGCGCGATCATCGTCGCCAATATTTGGCGCGGCCGGCTGCTTGATGGATGCACAGCTGTCCCCGCCCCGCCCCGCCCCGCGCGCGCACCCTTTCCGAAACGCCTGTTTCGCCGCCAAAGCGATGCGCCGCACCGCTCCGTGTTTGCGGAGTGGAAAGGGGTGAGCGAGGTTGGGCAACGGACAAAGCGCGGCGTCGTAATGGCAACCCCTCCCCTCCCCTCCCCGTCCTCCACTCTCCGCGATTCTGGAAACGGCCAGGGGGACGCGGGCCGCCGGCCGATCCGTCATTTCTGGGGAAAACGCTACAAAAGTGGAGGCTGCGGGGTGGGCCGGCGGGCCGGGTGCGAGCGCGCAGGGGGTTGCATGAGTATTATATAAACAGGTCGACCCCAGCCAGGCCTGGCCAGGGTGCAGGGAGGGTGCAAAAGGGTTGGCACATGCCCCTCTGGCCCTCTGGTGCGTGCGGTTTCGCCGGCACACTGCACTGCAAGCCAAGGGCTGCGACCGTTTCTGCCGAAAAGATGAATGCCTTTTGTCCCGATGTGGAAAGGGGTGGCGGAGGCCGGGGAGGTAATTTCTCTTCATGGATCGCCGTTTTTCCGTAAAAGTGATAGAAAGCTGCGCGCGAGCCAATAAAGTCGAAGGATGATGAAAGAGCTTAGTGAAGGTTTCCTACCTTTTTTTAGTCTTTGAAGGATTTTTGGGGGAAATTGTATCGAACGGTCGCGCTCCTTTGACGGGAGGCGGGGAAGGGTTGTCTTTGTGGACCGCGGCGCGACATCTGTGCGTGTCAATTAAATCCTCGAGCCTGCGCGGCCTGCCCCCACACCTGCGCGGGGTGCGCGTGGTCCACACTCAATTTCCTCAGTTTCCTACACCCGTAGAAGAAAAAATAGAAACAGACGCGAGTGCGGTCTGGTCTCTTTGCTGTTTCCGTGTTGTTCAATCCCTTGCTTGTTGTGTTGCAGGTTCCCTACCCCCCAGCCCCGCCGACTCCGGCGTGTCTGACGTGGACTCGAGCAGTTCGGGCCACACCTCCAACGACGAGCTCCGAGCGAGGCTACACCCCAGCGGAGGTCAGTATCCATCGTCTTGCAGTTTAGATAAATCACAAGTTTGTTTTCACGCCGATAAAACTGCACGACCGCCTTTGCAGTTGTATTGTGTTGCACGTGCGTTTTGCGTGACGCCGCATTCGCCGCAAGTTTTAATTTGTTTCATAATTTTCTTGATTGTTTTGTTTTGCTTGTGTATTGTTTTTGTTATCGATTTCGTTTGTTCGATTTTGTGACTGCGCTCGTATTGCGCTGTCCGTTGCAACGCGGTGCATGCCCTAGGCGTAGGCCGTAGGCGAGACTGGCGACTATTGCTCTGAGTGGTAGTGACGCTGTGTCTGTTGCAGGTATCGAGACTTGCACTGCAAGGTTGCAGTCGCTTTGCCGCGGCCTGTCAGAACCCCGAACCCCCAGTCCAGTCATTGCCCGGGCCTTTTCTTTCTCGTGGCTTCGTGGCCTCAGTGCGCCAGATTGCCAAAGTCTCTTTTTCTCCCTTCCGGAGACGCGTTTCCTTCCTTTCTGTTCACCCAAAAACTGCCAAAAACGTCGTTTCTTGAACCGAGACTGGTACCAAGATACTTATCTTGGTTGAAGAAACGACCATTCTGGGTGTGTTTCCAAGCCCGAGTACCGGTGTGCTGGTCCCCGGAGACGGTGGGCCGACGGGGTCCTGACAGGCCAGCCCGCCCGGACGCCGCGCGGCGCCTCGCGCCCTAGCCTTTGTCCACTGTGGCTTGTGCCCGCTGTGGCCAATCACAGGCCAGTATGGTTGCGCTTCACTCTTTGTAGCCCGACAATAGCAAGCGTGTGCTTGACTCTATCCTTTCTGCTTGCGTGCTGGCGCACCGTCTGGCGCACGCCGCCGGCACGCCGAACCCTCCCCTCCTGCCTTGCTCATCCAACCCCCGGTAGACGAGCGACAAAACCCAAAGAAAGAAAGGAAAAGGCAAATCCAAGGACATCTGTCGTACTTCCCGCGGACTTGGCGCGCGCCGTGTTCGAGTTGCACCTCTAATTCCGCTCCTCTGTCCCCAGTGCCGTCGCGGAGAACGCCCGACTCGTCGGGGCAGCTGCAGCTGCAGCCCAGCCAGCTGCAGACGCCGCAGCACACGTACTCGCCGCACCAGCTGCACCACCAGCAGGCCTACAGCCCGTACTACGGCAGCAGCAGCGGCAGCAGCCCCCTGCAGCAGGCCCTGCAGCACCCCCACATGCAGCACATGCAGCAGCAGCAGCAGCAACAGCAGCAGCAACTCCAGCAGCAGCAGCTGCAGCAGTTAGCGCGGACGCAGCAGCTGCAGCAGCAGCAGCAACAGCAGCAGCAGTACCCGCCCCGGACGAGCCGTGAGTACCTCCCCTCCCACTTTATACCTTGCGCCCCCGCCGCCCCCGCGCCGCGAATCGGAAATACCTCGATCCGCGTGGAGGCGCGTGGCGTGCGGCCGGCCGGCCGGGCTGGCGATACGCCGGCAGCCGTACTCGGAGAAAGCCGCGCCGTTTTTAGAGCAGCAAGTACACAAGGCACCGCCTCGCGCCTCGCGCCGCGTCGAGCGAAACACACGCAGCGCCGCGCTGTGCCTCGGCGTCTCGGACTCGGCCGCCTCGGCGCGGCAGCGCGGCATTTCCGGCGAGGGTCCCGTCCCGCCGTGGAGCGGGAGGCCCCGCCCGTCGTCGCCCGATCCTCGGTCGGGCGGGCCGAGGATGAGACACTCCTCAAGTTGCACTTCGGTGAAATCGTTTTTTTGGCGCGGCGCGGCCTGCTTCCGGCGCAAATCCTCTCGCTGACGGCGTCCTGACGGTGGTCTGACCTAGGGCCTGACCTACACCACGTCCGCCCCGCCACACCCTCGCGATTTGCACGCCGCGGCCCGCTCGCCGCTCTATTTCAAGAGCCGCGCCAAGCTCCTCCCTTCTCGCTCTAGGCCCGCGAGCGGCGCGGCGTCCCCGGGCGGTTCTCGGTTCCCCTTGGTTCACCTTGACTTTGAGGCGCAACGGAACATGGCGGCGCGGAACAGGACGAGCGCGGCGTGGGCGGCGTTGGCACACTCGGCGTGCTCGCGGCCCGCTTCGTGTAGGCCGCGGCTTGGGCCACGGCTTGGGCCACGGCGGTGTGTCGGCGCGCCGCGGCCTTGTGGCTGAAAAGGGAAGATGGGCGACAAGGCCCCCCACGCCTTCCTCCGTCCTTCCGCTTTGTGGCAACACGATCCTGCTCGAGGCCAAGCTGCCCTAGTGGCCGGCCGGCCGGCGAGGCGGGCAAGGCGGGCAAGGCCCACCCTCGGTTTCTCCCTAACCTCCCTCAACCCTGCCGGCCCCGCCCGGCCCAGCCCTGCCGAAGGGAAAGGGCCGTGGCGGAGGCCTCGTCGTGGGGATGGGGCGGAGGGCGGCCGTGGCTCGATCGACCCGCCGCGGCACGCCACGCCACGGCCAGCACGCCACGGCACGCCACGGCACGCCACGGCGCCGAAAGCGAAAGTGAGTGGGGGTGGCTGGTGCTTCTGGTGCTGCCTACTGTACTACTTGGCCCTAGAGGCGCCGCGCCCGCCGCGCCACAGTCGGCCTTTTCATTCTTCCCGTTTCCTGTTTGCGCAAGTCGGGGGTAGGGGCGGCTAGGGGGCGGCCAGGGGGCGGCCAGGGGGCGGCGCGGGGGCGGCGCGGGGGCGGCGCGGCCTCCCTTAGCAACAAGGGGCTGGTGCCGGAGAGGACGCGGCCCGACTGCCCGACTGGCGGCCCGACTGGCCTCGGGCCTATCCAAGGTCAGGGCGCGAAGCACGGACTCCGCAGACGGGCCCGGACCGCGGGGGGTGTTTTGGGGCGTGGCCGGCGGGGCTCTAGTGTGCGGCCTCGCCGCTTGTTCCAGGGGGTGCTGGCGTGCTGTATTTGCCGTCGGGAACGACGCGGGGCGGGGCGCGGTGTCGGCTTAGCCACCCCGTCCTGCGCTCGAATTTCATTCATTTCGTCACGCGGCGCGCGGCGGCGCCTGCCGGGGCGTGGCGCGGCGTGTACCCGGTAGTGGCCGGGCTTTGCCCGGCCCGCCAGGCTTGCCAGGTGGCTTGGCGTGCCTCGCGCAGGTGGGCATGGGACGCTCGATGACAGATTTAGCCCCCTTGGTGGCCTTGCCGGCCTTGCTGGCGACGCGCGACCCCCAGCAGGAAGCGCGTCCAAGGGAGGCAAGACGCCGCGCCGCCGCGCTGTCCGGTATGGCCTTACGGTGTATTAATACTCGCCGGCATGGTGATGCAGAGCGCGCAGAGGGCGCCACCCTTCGCCTCGTGCGGCCTGCCGCCCTGCGGTACACGCGATACACGGTACACACCACCCGGCCGCTCTTCGCAGCATCGCCTCGCTCGCCTCGCGCACCTGAAGGTCGCCGGCGGGGTGGGGCGGGGCGGCCTGGCGCGGGGAGGCTGGGAGGACTTGGCAGAGGCGGGGCGGTACGCGGAGTAAGTTCTATTTTTCTCATGGCGTGCACGTACTCGCCGCCCTCCGCCCTGGCCGGCGGCAGGCCGCGTGAACGGCTGGTACTGTTTCCTCTTTATTTCTCGGACACGAGCGGACCAAGGTGGGCGGGGCGGGCGGGGCGGGCGCGGGCGCGGGCGCGGCGGGGTGGGGCGGTCACACGGCGAGAGCGAACAGGGAACCGGCACGGTGTTGTTTCTGGTGATTAGCGTTCGCTGCTGTGGCTCCGCTAGCTCTGCTAGCCCTGCTTGGCGTCGGCCCGCGGCGCCGCGTGCACTCGTCCTCTCTCTTCCGCAGCGCCTAGCCGCGCTAGATAACAAGCCCGAGGGCAAGCCCCAGGCCGCAGGCTACCCGGCAGGGGAGAGGAAGTGTTCGGTCCCCTTCCCGTTCTCCCTCCCGTTCCCCGCGGGTTCGGCGGTTCGGCACCGCGCGACCGGCCGCCTCCCGCCTCCGCCTCGCCCCTCTCTACGCACAGAAGCTCAAAACTCTGGCCGGCCGCCCGTCCGTCCGTCCCACTCTTTCGCGGCCATCGCGTGGCCCTCTCCGTCTCCGTCTCCCTCGCCTGACCTTCAATCCGCGCCGAGAAAGTCAGTGTGTCGTTGAACCAATGGGGCGGCATGGGCGTGGGGCGGCGCGGGGGCCGGCTGTGCGGGGCCCGGCGGCGTAGCTAGAGGCGGGCGGATCGTGTCAACGCGTCCGTCTCGATGACGGCCACTCGGCCCACGCCCCGCCCCCGCGCTGCCCCCGCGCCCCCGCCACAGCAACAGGCGGGGGTGGACCGACGCGGCGTGACGCCCTCCTCCTCGACGGGGCGGTGCAAGGGCGGTGCACTCCGCGGTGCGTCGCAGTGGCCAGGGCTCGCCCCGTGTCGTTTTCGCCCCCTGCCCCTTATGAGTGCGAGAGAGGCAAAGCGTCGGAAACGACTCTCGGATTCAGTGTGCGGGCGTGGCCGCCACAAGTTCGGTAAACAAACGCGCGGGCGGCGGCCGGCTGGCCACTTCCGGCCGCGCGGTACAGTGCAGCAGTGCGGCGGCCCGGCGGCCGTCGCGACGGTCGCGACGCTTTGCCGAAACACGGCGCCTATTAGCACCCCGCCGAGCCGGTACCGAGCGTCCCGAGCCAGTGCGAAGCGGGGCGGACTGGGTGGACGGCAGCGCAGCGCCCGCAAGTAGGAAGACTCGGACTGCCCGGCCGCTCGGCCAATGACGTCACAGCGACGCGGGGCAGCCCTGGGGCAGCCCGACGAGGCCCGGGAGATGCGCGGCAAAACAAGGCGCGGCGCTGCGCTGCGCGTGCTGCTAATTTGTAGGGGATCTCATCTGATCTGCTAGACGCTGGCGGCTGGGGCGGCTGGCGGTCCGCGCGTCGTCGGCGCTGACCCGATGACCCGGCCGGGGTTGTGCCGCGCGTTGGCGTTATCGCCGCTAGTAGTAGTGTAGCGTGGCAGGCGTTGGCAGGCCATTGGCAGGCCATAAGGCATGCCTTAGGCAGGCCACAGGCAGGCCGTAGGCCCGAGCCCGAATCGGCCAACTGGCCCGCCGTCTTGTTGTTCCGAGCGCGTCTGTTTCCCAATTGACGCATGGGAGGCCGCGCGCCGCGCGTTTGCACAGTTGGGTGCAGGCGGTGCAGGCGGCGGGGCGCGGCGGCGCGGCACGGCATGCAAACCTTGTCCTTGAAAAGGGACTCGTGGGGCGAAGACGGGCGGCGAGGCTCCGCGGTGAATGACGCCGAAATGACGCGTTCCGCCCTGATTTGGTTGATGGGCCTGCCGGCCTCCGGGCCACGGTGCTCCGGGCCCTCGGCCAGCTCGGCCGGCCCTCGGCCCTGCCTCGCCGCGCCTCGCCGCGCCTCGCCGCGCCTCGCTGCGTCAAGCACTTGAACCTCCGTCCTCGTCCTCCGTGTCCCTTTTCGTGTGCCGCACTGCCGTGCCGGCCCTGCACTGCCGAGACGACACGCTGCCGAGCACGCCCCCCGCCCCCTCCCATCCTGTCACCTCTTTTGAGAGAGAAATGCGTCGGGTAGCAAGTGCATCATCCTGCGCAGTGCGCCGCGGTGCCGCGGTGCGCCCAGCCCTCGGCCCAGCCGAGCGAGTCGAGGCGTGTCTTCTCCTTCTCTTCCGCCAACGCCACGGCCCCGCTGCGTTGCGCCCCTGCACTTGTTGCTTGCACTGTTGCCGTCTTGACTTGGGGGGGGGGGGGCAGGAAGGGGACGGGCGGCCGTTCGGGTACTTCGTACTCGCGGATTGCGCTGCGCCTCGCACCGAGACGGCAGACCGGCAGACCCGCCCGGACCGGACTGGATGAGCTCCGAGCTCCGCGCCTGGAATGCACCCGACCCGGCAGACCCGGCCGGCCGGCCGGCCCTTGCAGCGCGGAGTGGAGTGCATCCGCGCCACGCCCCGAGACAAAGCCGCGGCGTTCGTACTGCCGGCCGATTCCGAGTCGTCTCGACGCTCTGTCTCTGTCGCACCCCTGCGGAAACGCCCAGCGAGTGCGACAGAGACAGCGACCAGAGGGCTCCTTCGAAATCAGTGTACTGCACGAGCGGACTGCGTCAGCGGACTGCACCTGTGTCCCCTTCGGTGTACTGGGCACGGCGGAATCATGCACACTGACGTGACGTGCGGCGAGTACAATCGGTTTCAACAGGTCCCGGATGGGCACAGGAAGAAGAGAAGCTGGGCTTTTAGAGGTTTTCGGTCTCCGCCGAGTGTACCGCCGTCACGTCGCGCGCCGAGTCGGCGGCGGGGCGGTCGTCCGTCCCGGCCCGGCGGTCGTCCTGGCCGGCGGTGTCATCGACTTACTGCCGCCCCCCTACTACGCCGATGCTACGCCATGCTACGGCGGTGGCCGGCCGCCGTGATCAGGACGGCAGGACGCGCTCGACTCGGCTCGCTCTTCCTCCTTCTCCTCCTCCTCCTTCCTTCTCGTCTTCGCGGAGGAGGAATTTTGGCGGAGGCGGGGAGGCGCTGGCTGGCCGGCCGGCCCGGTCACATGACCACGGCGTCGTTGGCGGAAGCGGCGGCAAGAGCGGGCAAGAGCCTCGCGGTAGCCATCGCCGTCGGCCCGTCGGGACGGACCATCCCGGACGCCGTCCCGTCCGCCTCCCCCTCCCCCTCCCCCTCGCCGCGTCTTCCTCGGTCGTCTGCAGTGTGAGTGACCAGTCCAAGGTCAAGCCAGCCAGCCCGCCAGCCCGGCCCGGCGAGAGGCTCATGGCAGTGTGCGCTGTGCGCCTTCCCCTCCCCCTCCCCCGCACTTTCCTTGTACACCCGTGGGCCTGGCGTGGCGTGGCGTGGCGCGGGCACTCACGCGTGACATTCACGTTCTCCGGAAGAGCGCCACCGTCCCTCCGGCAGTGGCGGCGTCCACTTGACAGGAGGGCTCTGTAGCCATCCGTGCTCTAGCAGTCCTTTGTGTGCTGCGGCCCTGCAGCCTGCACGGGCACGGCTGCGCCATGGCTGCGCGCAGCTCGGCGAATTTCTGGCATTGCTGTGCCAGTCAGAATAGCCGCCGCCACCGCCCGTCCGGCTGGTCCGGTCCGGCACTGGAATGCACATTGCCGCAGCGCCGCGCAGAGCCTGGAAGAGCGCGTAGAGCGCAGCCTGGCGCAGCCTGGCGCAGCCCCGGACGGACGGACGCCTCTGAGCGCTCCGGGACTGGGCACGTCGGCGTCGTTTCGCTTTTCAAGCGGCGATTCCCCGGCCCCGCTCAACCCTTTACACGTGTGGTATGAAAATGGGAAAACAGCGCCGGGCATCCTCGCGGCCACTTTCCAGCGCCCCGGCCGCCCCGGTCAGCGAAGGGCCGCCGCGCACCGCCGTGGCCCACATGCACGCCGGAGCGTGGCCTGCGGCGGCCGCGACGGCCGCGGCTTGGCGACGCGCGCTGCTAGTGCGGTTGCACGGCGCGGAGCACGGCAGCGCGGCGCGGCTCGACGAACACGTGTAGGCCAAGGCGGTACTCGTTGCTGCTTTATGTTCCTCGTGATGGGCAGCCGTTTCCGGCTCCGGCCCAATCCTCGGCCCCCGGCTGCGCCTTGCTGCCTTGGCCCGGCCGTAGGCCCGGCCGTAGGCCCGGCCGGGCCCCTCGTGGTGCAGCTCGCTGAATACTGATGGGGCCGCCACACGCTGCGTGCGTATTGATGGACAGCAGGCGTGGCGGCGCGGCGGCGCGCAGGAAGAAGACACGAGACGAAAAAGAGGTGTCCTCCGCGCCGCCATGCCGCCGTGCCGCCAGGTCTTGCAATCCTTTATCGTATTGCGCCGCGCCGCGCCTCGCGGTCCGGCTGGTTCGGCGGCCAGTGAGGGCGGGGGGCGGCGGGGGGCGGCCACTAGGCGGACGTACGGACGGCAGGGCTAAACTTGGCGCTGGTCCGCCGCGTTGAGGCGTTGGCGTTCGTCCTGCCGGCCGGCCGGTTCGCCCGCCGCTTGGCAACCTAACCCAGCCTCGCCTCGCCTCGCCGCGCGTCGCGGCGTAGCTGAAGGGGGCTTTGCTGAAACTGAAAGTGACCCCAGTGACGGCCGCTGGCGCTGAAATGTTCCCCCTTGCGCGTCTCCGTGTCGGTGGGCTATACGGAACTACAGTTCTCTGAGTCCAACTCCACGGCGGCCGTTGGCCGGTGGACGGTGGCGTCGTTCCGTTCCGCTGGGCGGCGTGGAGCGCCCGGCGGGTAGGCAGCCCACGCAGAGCTCTGTCGTGCGGGTGGCCAGGCTCCACCTCGGCAGGCGCCGTGGGGCGAGGCGTTCGTGACGTGACAAGACGTTCTGACGTGATGCCGTTTTCTGTTGCAGTGGGTGACTACGGATACCTGGGCAGCCTCCACCACTCCGGACACGCGTCGCCCTACAGCATGGGGTCGCAGTACGGCGTGGGCGGCGCCCTGGGCGTCGGGGTGGGCGTGGGCGGGCCGCTGTCACCCGGCGGAAGCCTGGGCGCCTACGTGCAGCCCGCCACCTCGACCGACGACCTGTACCTGCTGGAGCTGGGCTTCCCTCCCAGGCCGCCCAAGACAAACAAGAAGATAAAGAGGCTCAAGAGCGGCGACCCTGCGGGCCAGGCGAAGCGGAAGAGTCGCGAAGGTGAGCCGAAAATCGAAAAATGGAAATTGCCTTCCGGATCGATCCTTGCTGTTTGTTTTCTGCTCGTCCGGTGCCAGGCTGTAACCCTTCTCCTTTGCTTTCCAGGATCCACTACGTACCTGTGGGAGTTCCTCCTCAAGTTACTCCAAGATAGAGAGTTCTGTCCGCGCTACATCAAGTGGACGAACCGCGAGAAGGGGGTGTTCAAGTTGGTGGACTCCAAGGCGGTCTCCAGGCTGTGGGGCCTGCACAAGAACAAGCCTGACATGAACTACGAGACCATGGGACGCGCCTTAAGGTAAGTATCGTCGCACTGATCAGCGCTATTTTGCCCCTGGCCGTAATTTGCGCGTCTAATGCCCGCTTCTCCCTTCTCCCTGCAGGTACTACTACCAGCGCGGCATCCTAGCCAAGGTGGACGGGCAGCGGCTGGTGTACCAGTTCGTGGACGTCCCCAAAGACATCGTGGAGATCGACTGCAGCAGCGCGTGAGGTGCTCCGACGACCAAGGCGCGGATCATGGCGAGGGGTGCGAAGGCCCCGGGCTCGGCCCCGGGCCCCACGACGCCCCCCGCCACGCCCCGCGCCGCGTCGGCGCCACCCCGCGAGCCACAGCAGGCCGTCTCCTCCCTGGTCACCTCAGTACAACTCAACCACTGCCACCTGCGGCGCCTGCAGCTGCGCCTGCTGCGCTCGGCTCCCTGCAGACTGACATGTACTCGGCCTACACTGTGCAGTGCGCACTCGGTGTACCGTCAAGTAGTGCAGCTCGGAGCGCGGCCAGCGCAGGGCAGGGCTTTCGCTGCTTTGGCTAAGTCTCAAAGTCTTTAGCTGGAGCGGCAACACAAAGAGCAGCAGACGCCCGCGCGCGGCGACCGGGCGACCCAGCCCAGGCTTTGGGCCCTAGGCCTAGGCCCAGCGCAGGGCGGCGGGGCCGCGGGGAGCAGCCAAAGGGTTGCGCCCCCTGGGCCCCTGCCTAGGCCCAGCGTGGCTTCGCGCGGGATGTGGCTGCAAGTCAGAGAAGAACTGATGCAGTCTCAAGAGAGGGATTTTCGTTTATTTAGTTTTTTTGGCATCGTCTCCACGTCAGCAAGGAAACCAACGACCTCTCGTCAATTTTGTCGTGACTTGATCTCAGGAAATCATAATTAATGTGTAGTAAGCTCTCGTGTTTGCTTTCTCAAATTTTTATTCGTTGTTTTTTCTGTTTTTTTTTTTATTTTTCTTGTAAATTTTTCTGTACATTTGTTTTGTTCTCCCATTTGTTTTTCATTTACGTACATTGATGAGAGTTTTCAGAATTTATTTTTATAATGCATTGGTCTGACCCTTCCAAAAGGAAATGAAAACTTTGGAAAAACTGTGAAACAGTTATCAGTTACAACGGGACAGAAATGTAAAATTTCAGAATGTTATTTTGTTGGAAGTAAACATTATATTTTCGTCAATGTTTCGTGGTCCAATTTAGTTGTTGGAAGACGGGAGCCCAAATGCATGACCTGGAAGTATGTAAATTATTGTATTAAGTAATTTATTATCAGAGATGTATGTAGATTTTAACTGTGGAGTCAAAAAATTCTACTCCGAAAAAAAAATGAAATTTGAATCCAAAGATAAATTGATGTATTTAAATAGAAAATTTTATTATAAAACTATTGAGAAATAAATTTGAAGAAAATTGTAGAATGGGTTTCTCTCTAGAGTTGATGTTACAAGCTCGTGCTTTCTTTTTGAGTTGAGGTGTTGTGTTGATTAAAAAAATGTGAGAGATTTCTTGAACTGCACTGTACTTAAAAGTCAAGTACTTGGTACTTGGCATGTTGATTGGATAAAGTTACCCTTGATAGCATAATTTTAAGTGATTGTTAGAGAATGAATGTTGGAGAACGGAAGCATCGAGTGAAAGTGTGTGAGCATGTGTGAGTAAGATAGAAAAGAGAGAGAAGACTCATGTATAGACTGTTGACAGATAGATGGGCGTGTGTATGTGTGATATAAATGTATAGGTAAATATATATATGTAGAGATATATATATATGTACTTGTGCGATGTGTACCTTGGCTGTTAGGTTTTCAATACTATTGAGTGTTCTATGCTAACAAAAGGCAGTACAAATACCAATATTTCATTAATATAATTACTCATTTTCATCAAACTTTAATCAATAGTGTTTTGATTTCCCTTTTTTTACTTTTGTCATTTTTTAAGCAGAGTGGAAATTTTGCAATTCTTAAATATTATTCTAATGTTGAACATGTAGATGTTTGATTGATGTGCATGATTTAGATGTGATGTGACTGCTCAGGCATACTCACTCACTAGCTGTTTTTGTCCAGTGTTACTTGTTCCCTGCTGTATAATATATTCAATTTGATGTAAAGTGTTACTGCCACATTTTTCACACTTCTATTCTATGGGTTGTGACAGGATTTTTCTCTTGTAGTCTGCTGTACCATTCTCCTTCTAAATTTCCTTGGATCTGGTGTGTGTTGCAATAAGCTGACACCAAGTGCGCCTGTAGCGTAGGAGGAGCATAATTATATCTTGTAAGATATTTTAAAGCACCTTCATTGTTTGATCGCTAGGTAGGTTTCTGTGTAGTTTGTACAAATCACTAAACCAGTTGTAACTTTCTGTGATGATATCGGTTGACGGACTGCCAGATGTGCATTAGTGAGAAAGATGAGGTGAGGTTCGTGCCGGGCTCAACTATTTTCCGTTTGTTTTTTTTTTTTTCCTGTAAAATTTCATTTTATGTTAAGAAAGCCTTGGCCTTGATTCAAGTAACGCACTTACATCACACTATTTTGTACTATTATTTGAAGACCTCAGATGTATTTTTTAGGATTGCCAGTCATGTCCAACAGCTTTCGTCCATGTCAAGAGCAAAGTGATAAATTTTATTATTTTGGATAAAGTAATTATTTTCAAATCATGAAGTATGCAAAATATTTTGGAGACAAAAACTAACTTTAAGTGTTAAACCTCATTTGTTTGGGATGCGGCAGGTTTTGATTCTACTTAGTGCGAGTCTTGCCCAGTGGGCAGAGTGAACCAAGGTTTGTAAGAGCATCGAGATTAGTAGAGTATGGGCAATGAAAGATGGTGATATTTTCTTACCCAATGTTGTGAAAAATGTACATAAATTAGCATGCATTTAGAAGTGAAAGGGGGGAAAATAATGCCTGTTTCTTGTAAAAATAAATATGTAAAACATGTTCTATAATGTATGTTATACTCAAAATATGGAGTTTAAATGGAGCCTTTTACATGATGTGAAATAAATCTATACCAGAAAAAAATAATTTATTTTGTTTAACCTTTCCTTCAGTAAAATGGTTATTATTTCAGGGATGCTTATTTTGTTCCAGCAAACTGTCTATCCTGAGGGTATACACCTCTTTTCCACATGAGGATAGTGACCATAAATCTTATTTCTGTATGAATATGGGACCCAGGTACTGAAGTACCTTTCTGTTTCAGGTTCCACAAAGCATCTTTGGAAGTTTCTACTTGAATTACTCGACAATCCAGAGTTTAGCCCTCGCTACATCAAGTGGATTAATCGTGAAAGCTATGTCTTCAAACTGGTTGATCCAAAAATGGTAGCTTCTCTTTGGGGAATTCACAAGAACAAGCCAGACATGACTTATGAAAGTATGGGAAGAGGACTGAGGTGAGAATACTTTTTTAAAAGCCACAAATTTATTTGCACAGAGCTGTTAATTTTAAAGAAACCTTGGCCTTCAGGTACTACTACAAGCGAGGTATCCTTGCGAAGGCAAAATGCAAGGGGCACTCTCACACATACAAGTTTGAACAGATTCCTACCAACACCAATGAAGATCAAACGGTGGATGGTTACGATCCATTCTCTTCAAATGATGTGACAATAGATGTACATCACATCAAGGATGAATCCCTTCAAGGATTTTAATTTGTGTTTTTAAGACTAAGTTTGACTTGGCATGTAGGTAGGGCATTTAGATTAGATAGTTCATTTTGATATAGCGAGGCCCAGGTCTGAATTTTGTTTTTACTCAGTGTCATTGTAACGGGTCAATAATTCAAGCTTACTTTTGAAACATCTATGAGTTGTCTAGTTTTTACCTTGATTTTTACTCAATCTAATTTTTAGGGCTTTAACAGTAATGTAGCTAGTTGCTATGGTAAATATGTTAAGTATGTTCTGGTAATGCTTTGAAGACATTCTTAGGGAAAAAAAACCAAGTGTGCAAAAGTTTCTTTTTATTTTAATGAAGGTTACGGTTACCACAATGTACAGGACATCAAATATTTTATATACTAAGATTTTAAAGAAAAATGCTGTTGCAGTTGACTATATTAAAAATATTTAAGTTTCTAAAACATATTATTTTCTATAAAGTTGGAAAATAAATACATGAGTGCTGTACTATTGAACTATTGAACTTCTCCCATTATTTTTGGAATACTAATACCATCACATGCCAAGAAAAATTCTCACCTCCAAATAAAAAGCAAAGAACTATTTCATTTACCCTCCACATATCCTACTTTCCATGGGCTTTCCATCGCAGTAGCTGAATCTCCATCAACATCAATAGGCGGAATCATGCCTGCGGCGACAAAACGGCGTTCAGCATGCAAAAAATTAAAAGTAGGACCGGCTATTTCAACCGGCATGATTTCAACTGGTATCTTGTACTCTCTTATCAAATTTGCTAAACCTAAAAGTACTTTTCTATCTCTCTTTTTATATTCCGGGATGCCCAATATTAAAATATCTGAAAATGAAAAATGTGATTGTTTGATTGAGCTGTCAGGCTCACAGAAACAGACAGAACACTACTGAGTTAATTACTCACCCAGTTTAGGCTCAATCTTGAGGAAAAGACTAAGAGATTCTTCATTAATATGATGCAAATCCCCAACGTTCCAGCTTAAAACACAATTGGGAAAAATTGCTATTGGACCAACCAGTGTGATACCGTTGTTGAGAGTAAAGCCAACCTTCATAACAAAAATTACAATGGCAAAATGAATTGTGTGGTTAAAAAGACAAACACTTTTGAAAACAAAATCAAAATGAGAAGAAAAATCTTACAGTGCTGTACGACGAGATCATAAGAGAATCTGTCTCGTCATTAAGTAAAACTGCATGAGTCTTACCATCCCCTTCATAAGTTGAACCGTAGTTCCGAACAAAATTGAACCTCTGACCAAAATTTTTTCTGAAAAATTAAGAAATAAGAAAATTAATAAATAGTTCAAAGCGTTAGGTAACCCATTGCAGCTTTAAATTACCTTGGCAGTGAGGAACGATGACACGATTTTGACAAGGCGACAGCTGCATTGAAACAATATCTAAGAGTGCCCATTTTATATCAAAGGATAAAAATGATCACTCTGACCGACAAATGTGATTATGACTTTATCAAAACACTACTGATGATCTTAAACAGGGATAAATTATCTGTCGTAAAGCTGATACTTGAGGACTCGAGTCAAGAAATGTCAAGACGATGAACAGAATCTTCGTTCGAATGCTGACATTATATGGTAACACAACTGAACATTAAACTCTGAATCTGATGATTGGCAAAGACGTGAAGTTGAGAAGAAACCAAACGATTCCTAACCTACAAAATCAGCAGACGACCCCGCACTGCACTCAAAAACAAAAGAAGGCGCAGTCCTCGATTGTCGGCTGTTTGCTTGTTTACAGGTGGCAACTCCCAGCCAGCTGAGAGGTTATTGGTGTCTGACAGCTGTCTTCAAAGCGACATTTATTCATTCCGTCAAGAATGGCTCCAGAGCAACTTCATTAAACTGTCCCAAACACAGCGTGATCCACCAAATTTCTCAGGTTAGTAAGTAGTTGACTCGTTTCTTGAAGACTTAGGCATTGTTGCGGAGAGACCGTCAAGGTCTCACACTTCAGCCTTCAGCCGCAAGCCTCTACAGAATTGTTTCTAATTCGTCTCCAGTGCCTTCGGTGGAGTTTCGTGCCCTTTTTCATGAAGATGGCCACTCAACTCCGCGATGCACCAGCTGGGCTGCGGTTTTTGATTTCTATGGGAAACAAATGTTTTCCTCGCCTCAGACTGAACAGAGATCTATGGTCAGTAACAAAGAATTTTGTATTTCCTGTTCTTTTATTTCAGAACAATCACACTGTGTGATTGTCAAAGTCGGTTAATTTTCCGCATATTATTACTTGGACGTATTTTACCAGACATGTACATCATGCAGTAACTTACTTCTTCCTTTTCTAGGTATAAATCTCTAGTTTTAGTTTTGACTTTCATGGCATACACATGTTACCACATGAACCGCAAACCCATCAGTGTGTTTAAGAATGTGATAAATCGTAACTGTTCTGATCTTGTTCCACCTCCTGGGCAAGATATTGACCCAAATGATGACACCTGGTGCGATTGGGCTCCTTTTGGTAAGTCTCATTGTTGTTTTATTTTATACCATCTTTTGTGTCACATGAATCTTTTCTCTTACTTGGTTCACAGATCAAGAAGGCTCAGATGGACTTCTGGGTGCCCTGGACTCGGCATTTCTTTTTGCGTACGCACTAGCAATGTTTGCCAGGTTAGTGCTGTCTTGTTAAATTTTGAACAATTATCTTCTTATATTGGCCTAAGCCGTAGAGTGTTCATTACCGACAATTAACCATATTTTCTCTTAATTTATTGCAGTGGTTTTGTTGCTGAAAGAGTTAATTTGAGATACTTTTTGGCCATGGGTATGATGCTATCTGGGATCGCCTCCTATCTCTTTGGGCTGGCTCGTTTCTTAGATATTCATCACTTATCTTACTTTGTAATTGTGCAAGTGTTTGGTGGAATAGTTCAAACATCAGGCTGGCCTGGTGTTGTCACTGTGGTTGGAAACTGGTTTGGCAAAAGTAAAAGAGGTATGGTAGCATTTTAGAGTTCATTTCCCTTTTTATTTTGTTAGTACAATTTTAATTTTGTTCCATTTGTGTCCTAGGCTTTATTTTTGGAGTGTGGAATTCTCACACATCACTGGGGAACATTCTTGGCACAACATTGGCTGGATATTATGTTGAGCGAGACTGGGGTTTGTCTTTCATGATGCCAGGCCTGGTCATGGGAATCTGTGGCTTAGTTATTTTTATGTTTCTTGCTCCTCACCCAGTCAATGTAGGTTGTGGAAGACCTACACATTTACAGGTAAGAAGCCAAGAACATTGAAAGTGTCATTACACTCTGAAAGCTTGAGTCAGTACACTGTGGTTCACGGTGAGATAAGATGAGGCTGGATTCTCCCAGTAGAAAGTGAAAAGTGATAGTGGGCTTAGCTTGGCCTTTGGTCTGTGTGCTCGTTTTGGGAAGTGTGCCAGTGGCCGGGGTATTACCGCTTTTTCTGCTTTCAGCAAAGGCAATTTTATTTTTTTCTGAAACAAACTTAACCATTTTGTGACCAAATTTTCTTTAGTAAAAAAACAAATTAGGATGGCAAAAATTCTTATTTATCAAAAGTCTATGTGTTTATATTGTATTATGTGTCAATATAAATTAAAGAAATACAGGGGCAAGTGTTTTGTAGAATTGTTTTCAGTGGAAGATTGCAAGAGCTGCAACTTTGTTGCTTCAGTTTCTTGTTGGCTTGTCCACTTTGTATTTACACAGCTTGTTTGGGGAGGCATCTGCTCTTTCTCCTTATCAGCTTGGCATTGGGGTCAACATTCTCAAACTCCACTAATGACCTCTGTACTTTTTATTTTATCTTTACCGTCGTTCTTTATCATGAATCCATGAGTAATTTAACCTGAAAGTAGTCTTACTTCGTTAATTTGTCGGTTACACTTTTTTTCTTGTATAGTTAGGCTCTCTCAACAGATGCTTCTTATTAAAATCTTACAGGAAGCAAGTGAATCAACAGGAAGCGTTAACGCTCCGGGGCGAGTGCGGTCCCAAGTGTCATTCCCTTCAGATGCTGACACTGTTACTTCCAACAGCTCCAGCATAGATGACCCTGATCTCATTGAGGATGAATCTCCGGTACTTACAGTAACTTTATTATATTTGTGGTTTTATTGCTAATAACAGTTCTAGGTTAATCAAATCAATTTTTTGGAATTGTTTTAGTTGTGCTCATTGAGACAATATCAGTTTTGGTTTGAAGCATGCTTGCTGCCATATCATTTTATCATGTTTGAGACTTGGTGGGTTTGGTATTGTGGGATAAAGCATGACATGGGGTAGGATGATGCATTTCCCTGGTTCTTTTTGTGTCTTCCTTTCATTGTTAAACTTTATACCTAACTCTAAATCCATGTGATTGCTGGAATTGGATCTCTAAATTTTCATTTCTCCAGGAATCATCTCGTCTCCTGCAGCCTGATGGCACTAGTTTGTCTGGAGATCGTCCTCATAAAGCTATTGGTTTTCTTGGTGCTCTTAGAATTCCTGTAAGTTTTTTTTTTATGCTGTAAAAGAAAGAAAATAATGTTTCCAAACAACTGCAATCAAGTATTCTTATTATTTGGATCTTATTTTATTCTTTCAGGGAGTTATTGAATTTTCCATGAGCTTGTTCTTCTCCAAACTTGTCAGCTACACATTCTTATATTGGCTCCCAAAGTACATCAAGACAGCAAGTGAGTGTGCAATCTAGCTGCTGTTCCCAAAAGCCCCAGTCTCCAGTCACTAAAACTTAAGTCCTATCTTTTGTCTTGCAGCAAGTTTGTCTCCACGCCAAAGTGCTGACCTGTCAACTCTATTTGATGTGGGTGGTATCATTGGTGGTATAATGGCTGGTGTGATAAGCGATTACAGTGGAATGAGTGCTACGACATGCTCTGGCATGTTCATTTTAACTGTTCCAATGTTGTTTATGTATCAAGCGTATGGCAATGAAAACATGGGCACAAATATTTTACTATTAATGCTATGTGGCTTGCTTGTGAACGGTCCATATGCCCTTATTACCACTGCTATCTCGGCTGAATTGGGCACACACCATTCATTAGAGGGCAATTCTCGTGCTCTTGCAACAGTCACAGCTATTATTGATGGCACAGGTTCCATCGGTAAGAGCCAAGTGTGAATTATATAATTTTGAGATTCATATCTAATTCCTTGCTTTTATTTCATTTCTAGTATAGAAATATTTAAATTAATATTGCTTATCTTGTCTTAAGGTGCTGCAATTGGACCATTTGTGGCTGGTTTAGTTGCCCCATATGGCTGGAATAATGTTTTCTACATTTTGATGGGAGCAAATATTATGGCTTTGTTGGTAGGTTTTCATGGACGTGGTTTGGTTTCGTGAACCTCTAATTCTTAAACCTCATCCTTAATTTTTACTTTTTATTGCAGTTTTTATGTCGGATAGTCGTTGCAGAAAATCAAAGGTTTTTACGCACTCGGCGAGGTACATGGACTGCATAGACTTCTTCAATAGATAGGTAATTGTTTTTAAAAGCCTGATTGCTTTACCCATTGGAAGTTTTTATTGTGACAACCTGTTACGTAATCAAAATATTTGTAAATACACAAATTATTATGAATAATATTTTTCCAAGAGAGGATAATTCCTAAGTATCTTATCTCAGTGTTAGTTTATTTACTCTGGTTACAAACAAATTGTTGCAATGATGAAATTTATTAGAACTAATTGCCAACGTGAGTGCCATTTTTTTTATTTTAGGTAGAGAAATACAACCCTTTTATAGTCAATCAGTTCTTCGGTACTCTCTTGAGCCCTATCTCTGGGAATCTCTACTTAATTATGACTTGATCCCCCTCTATATATTATCTTGTGTGGTTCTTGAACCACTCAGTGCTACTACATTTTGTTATTGCCAATAGGCAGCTGTTTTATCAAATTTGATCTTTTAACATATACAAAGACCTTCATTTTAAAATGCTCAATATAGGTGTGTGATGTTAGTGTAGGTCAATAGCAGCCCCCCCCCCCCCCCATTTTTTCCTCTTTTTCCCCTGTTTGTTCTACTTTTGTTTTTAGTCCTATCTTGTTTCTTTCTTTTATAAATTTATGTTCCTACCTGAGAGTGTGACTGTGATGGAACTTCTCAAGAATGACTTGTGATATGTAGAACATCCAGTGATGTTCAAGGATTTATTATATCTTATCATGTAATGTATTTTGTTTTGATTCACAATTAATTGCTTATTATGAATGCAATTCAGTAATGTCAGCCATGTACTGTGCATTGGAAGAAGCATTCTGTTTAAACTAGGTTTTAGTTATTATTATTATTTTCTTTGTGTTTTGTCAAACAAAAAATTTAATCAATCAACCTTTTGAAAAAAAAAAATCTTAAGATCTGTGACACAGGTTCTATGTTGACAGCACTGTTTGGATGAGAAGAATTATAATAATATCCTGAAAGAGTTAGATGCAGGAATAGCAGTGTTTTTAACTTCATTCTTCCGTATGTCTGTTTTTATTTGTTAGTTAAAAAGTTAGTAACCTTTACTAGTGGTGAGAGAGCTTTATTAGTTTCCCTTAGGGGAATATGATGTTTGGTACCAAAGCATTTAAAATAGACATAGTGATGATCATCCGGAAGTCATTTCTGAGAGAGTGATGTTTCAGAATTGAATGGTGGGTGTACTCGTCTGTTTCCAGATGCAGATCTTTTTTTGTGGCTTTTGCTTGCTTATAATCCTTTTGTCCTTTTAGTCAGCATACTCTTTTTAAAATCTTGACAAGGGACAGTAATTCCTTCACTTGTACCTACATAGGCAACCCACTTTGTGGGAACTTGCGACTTAAAATGTAAGTTGTAAATCTTAATCACTCCAAGCAGGATCTATTTTGTACATTCTGTATTTTTCTATGAAGGTGTAGTATACACACTCATATGCAAGAAAAGTAATAAAAATATTTTTATGAAAATTTGTTTGCCTTAGCCTCTAAGAACTTTTTTTTTATCCTGTCACAATAATTTTAGATACACAACACAAGTCTTTTCTCAACGCACAAAATTAGCCTGCTAATGGATTAGCGTGTACTGTGACAGATTGAAGTCTTGTCTCTGTGAGGGGTTTATAATTTTTTTGGTTTACTGGTAGCTTTTCCAGTTCTTCTAAGGCCTCAAACCCATCAATAACCCTGAAACAGATACATTTTACAATATAGAGATGAAATCAAAGACACAAGATGATAGCTAATAAAAGAAAACAAAAACCAAAGAGGCAGATGAACATACTTTCCAAACAGGGTATACTTGAGGTCAAGGTGTGGCTGTGCACCATACGTGATGAAAAATTGGCTGGAGTTGGTGTTTGGACCATTATTAGCCATTGATACCATCCCACGTACACTATGCTGGATAAAGATTAACAATTTCATTAGTACCATTTGCTTACTCCATCCCTCATTTCAGCCTCTTGACATACCTTTAGATTGTCCTTAAACTCATCTTCAAATTTTCTCCCCCAAATAGAATTGCCACCTTTCCCCGTGTGTGTAGGATCTCCAGTCTGGACGATGAAACCTTTAATATTTCGGTGAAAGAGGCATCCATTGTAGTAGTCACTGGCACATAGGGCAAGAAAGTTCTACAATTTTAAAGAAAGAGAAAGAAAATTATAGTGACAGGCTAAGAGTTTATGCAAACCCACTTAAAATACCCAACCTACCTCACAAGCTTTTGGGCATGCCTCGCAAAATAATTCTATCTTCATGTCACCGACATCAGTATGAAGTGTGACAGACTGTAATGAAAGCGACAGATCATTACCATTAAACAGCAAAAAAGTAATTTAATCGCTAAAAGCTTGAAATAGGAAGAACTTAAAACATGTTACTCCATGTATTAAGTGAAATAGATGAGTAACTGCCATGGGGAAAAACAGCATTAAATTTTAACTAATTTATGGTGTCCATAAGCATAAACACCTCGCCATAGTATGAATTATTTAGTTTTTTTAACAGGCTACACCGTCAACATAACCATAATCTCACATGAGCCGCCTAATTGCTGTCATAACATACCATCTTTGCCCGACTTCTCTACGATGTTATAAAAGACAGACAAGATTAACGATGGGTAAAGTTGAAGTATGACCAGCAGACTCTAAATCAACGTCAAGGGGTGGTCCAAAGTGGAACAAAATGTCAGTTTGAACCAGATTTTTTGAAGGAAGTTTGAGGTAGACAGGGCTCACTGGATCCGTACCATCAACAAAGTTCATTTACCTCCAGAGCATGAGAGTAGTCGAAACGGAGTTGGTCTACCTTCTTGTACTACTCTCTAGCTGTGAGTATTAATTTTAAAAATGAATTTCAGAAACCATTTCAGTGAACAAAAGCAAATTTTATGTACTAATTGCAATTCAATTAGTATTGTAGAGTAAATACCCAGCGAAATTATAGGCAGAAAAGGAAACAAACCGGAGAGTTGCTCCACGTCAGTGCCCCCTGGATTCTTAAGGGGAGGGTCTTCTTCTGTGACGTCACGTATCGATCGCAAGGGTAGGGAATTTGTCGCATTCGCCATTTTGACGATTGTGTAAGAAATATATCTAAAGAATATTAATTTAGTTATCCGGAGACATCCGTCCTTATTTATATCATAAGAAGTTTAATTTGATTTCTGTGTTTTTTACCCATCTGGACGGACCAAGGTACAGTTTTTAAGCACCCAATGTCGTGAATGTCTTGGTAACGTTTGAGTTTATTCCTAGCCGTTCATAGGCTTATCATACACTGGACCATTTTTCTCATTGTCAAAGTTATTTACTCCAAAATTTTTGTCAGTAAACAGTTGTAAGTACTTCAAATTTTGTTGGGCATGACTTTGTGTCGTGCAATGCCACTGGAAAAGTCCTAGCCGATCAAGAAAATTTGACTCAGCGGAGTCAAGAAAAGTAATGAAGTTTGCTTGTCGGTTGTCGGGGGTGTAGCCTTTAGCCTAGGCTAGTGCATCTCCCGAAGCATTTCCAGGCCAAAGGTTTTGATTCACATCAATTAAAGTCTAGGCAATACTTCATCGGAATCACGGCCTGAAGTCGAGACGCGCTAGTTGTTCTTTATCTCTTGTGGGTTCACTGAAATGAGTGAGTGCGTCACCTCTGAGAACGACTCGTATAGGTCAACTAATTTTTGCCCTCTTTGTTTTGTATTGAAAACGTCTTGTTGCGGGAACCGAGTACAGCACTGTGGGAATATCATACACCCTTCAAACGGCTCGTGCAAAATTTAGTCCTGTTTTCTCGTCCTGTTCGGGATGTCTTCCGGGGTCGAGTCCTGTGCATAACCTTTCAAACTTTTTTGAGTCCGCTGACGTTGACTTCGTCACACTTGTGTGTTTTTCCCATGTTTACGTGGGAAAGCACCCTGAATTCTCGTGCAAAGGGCCACTTCGCATCGTCTAATGTAGGCCCAAGTTTCCCTGTTCTAGATATCTTTTAAGCTGTGTTCTTGTGTGCCTGTTTGAAGTGCAACTTTTTATATATTTTTCGCGATCTAATATATATCAAATATTTTCCAAATTTTTTTACATTTTTTGAATTGTTTGTTGTAATTTTTGGCTTTTATTTTTGACCCTACAAATATTTTTTTTCTGCCCTGTTGATACGAAAAAGTAGGTTCATTTTATAATGTGACAGGTGTTTGAGGTTATGTTTCAGTTTTTCCCTCATTTCCTTTTTTTCCTGATTTTGTCCAGTTCTGCATTTATTAGTTGGTTCTGCTTCGAATTCTCATGCTGTCCTTGCTTTCTGTTTTTGTTTATCATGCACAGAAATAGGGTTCGTTCCACGGGTGGCTGTTTTCTAAATGGTTGCCTGCAGACAGCATGTCTACTCTGTCGGGGATTGCATCGAAGGGGGAGAAAGGAAAGTCAAAGTATCAGTCGCTAGACATAAATAACTTGTACCGGGTGAGCAGGGTGAGTAAAGTTTTCCTACATATATAATTATAATGTGTTGATTTACACTCTTTATACATACTTGTCTTGTTTTCTTTTGGAATTCTCACATTAGAAATAGGTTTCTAATCCCCTGTCTATTCTCCGATATTTTTCTTCATACTTATGGTTTATTATTCTGAATTCTCAAGAGGAACTGTACCATTCTGTTCGCAGGGCGAGTCTTTGGAACCACACCAGCAGAAAAATGCTCTCCCACGAAAAGTTGGCATGCAAAGCCTGGGCAAACTGCCCTCAGCCCGCCGCCCTCCAGCTAACCTTCCAAGTTTGAAATCTGAGCACAGCGGAAACGATCCAGCAGTAAGTCTAGTACCCAGTGGTGGTTCAGGATGGGGTGCGAGCAAACTTGGAGATGCAACCTCCGCATCAGGGACATCAGCAGCGGCGCCATCAAATGTAAATACTGTTTTGGCTTGTTTGAGAAGCTAGATGCAGTATTACATTCTTAGTATATCTGGCACCATTGATTCTTGCCATTCATTTGTTTAAATTTTTGTAGTTTTTTTTCTGCACCTTTATTTTATGTGCTTCCACCTGTATTTATACACTGAGCTGTAACATTTTTGTAGTTTGTTTTAGTTGCCAGTGAATTTACAAGTGCCTTCTGAACTCTTGAAGTTTTAAAGTTGGTCTTATATCTTGTGTCTAGATGAATTTTCACTGTTTTGTAGAAGTGGTTGTTTGCTATCTAAGTAATGCTCTGTTACCTTTTTCTGGACTGATTTCTTTGTTTGTGTGCTTTCATTTTTTCCTTGTACTGTCAATATTAAGTTTGAAAAGCTGTGGAGTTAATTCTAACATAAAATGTTTTATTTATAGGCTGCAGCAACTCCTTCAACACCCCAAACAGCAACAACAAACCTATCTCCTGCTACTCCCCCTGCTTCAAGTGCAGCTCCAAACGCAGCTATTCCACCTGCAGCTGCACAGGTATATATGAGAATCCATTTTGTGTAAGATGTGGTTTCCTTTGTATGCTTTCCATGACTTTGGCAATAACATTTTCAGTTACATCAGCAACAACACCACTACAGCAGCAGTTCCGGAGACAAATCATGGAGCAGTATAATGGTTGGAGGTGGGGGCAACGACCCTGCCAATGTTGCGGCACCATCATTCTTAGCACACCAGTCACCACTATTTCAACAGGAGTTCCCCTCATTGTCAAGTGGAGATGGACAGGGTCCTGCTGCTGGGCAGAAAGGTGGATCAGGAGGACCAGGCTCAGAAACACAGTACGGTCCTGGGCCAAGCCTTCGTCCTCAAAGTGAGTTTTTTTTTTCCTTTTTTTTTCTTTGATTTAAATGTGTCTTGTGATGATGGATTCTTCTGGAATGCTAATGCCAATATTGTATTGTCTTTGTTTGCCAGGCGGAGATCTCGCTGGAGGTCGGAGCAACTTGGGCCAGTTGGGTCCCCAGGGTGTGGGCATGGGCCCGGCAGGCCAAGCAAACGGCCCTGGACCAAACCCTGGATCGGGCCCTCTGGGGGGCCAGGGGGGACCTATGGGAGCGTTTAGAGGTGTGATGCCCCCATTCATGTACAGAGGCGGTTTCCCAGGCCCCTTCCCCGCCAACTTCCAAGGCCCTCGTCCCCGCTTTCCCTATGAACAGGGCGGGAGGTAATGAATGCCGGGCCTGTGTGACATCAGGTGTCGATTTCTGTGTTGCCGGCTCAACTCCGTCACTCAACCGTTTCCATTTTTCGTGTGTGCAGGTTCCCTCCACCGCGGCCTCAGCAGTCTGACCAGCATGGCAGAGACAGAGGTAGAGGAGGAGCAGGTGGTGCGGGAGGCGCGGCCGGCAGGGGAGAGGGAGAAGGCGAAGACGACGCTCTTCTCCCTCGGCCCATCATTAAGGAGGAGGACCTTAACCGTATGGATGACATTGGTCGTGAAGCCGGCTGGGCTATTAGTGATGATATAGATTACAAGTAAGGTTTTTTTTAGTTTTTGAGCTTGAGGGTTTGTGAATTTTCTTTTGGGCATGTTACTCATTTGTTTCTTCCTTGTTTTCAGCCTAAAGTTGACATTCAGTGATGATGAATCCGATGACAAGAAAAAGGACAAAAAGGACAAGAAGGACCCACGTGACATGAGAGGTGGACGAGATGACCGTGACCGCGCCAACGAGAGGGACAGAGACCGGGACAGGGACCCCAATAAGAACGACAGAGAGGACCATCCAAGGGTGAGTGAATTCACCTCGTGTACTTCGTGTCGGGCTTGCTTGTGATTCATGTTACGTTGCTTCATGTTTGTCAGGAAAGTTGGGGTTGTTTGTCGCCTTGCTGTTGGGCAATGTGTTCAGATTGTATGGATTGTAGACGAAGGGTTGCCTGTCTATGGTCATCGGTGGGGATGGAGCTGGCTGTTCTTAGGTAGAGGGGGGGCGCTCTGACATGGGAAAGGGTACCTTTTTCGTGGCACTGATAAGTCAATGTCCTCTGGGAGGAGACTTGCAGGATGGAGAGACTCACAGAGTCGATGCGTCTCTCAGGGAGGTCTAGCGGGATGGCGGCTTGTCGGTGGCTGTTTGTCTTACTGCATGCGGGATGAGGGATGAGCTTGAGTGGTGTCTTGGGCTGTTCCAGGGGGACCGCCGAGGTGACAAGCGTTGGCAAGGTGGCCGACCGCCTCACGCTGACTTCCGCTCGCCGCCGCACTCGGCTCCTTTGGGTGGGCCCAATGCGAGGGCAGCCCCTCATGGCGTAAGTATGCTTGGGGCACGCGGTGCGTCGCGGTGCGTCGCGGTGCATGTGGGTTGTGTTCGTGTTGCGTGGACGTGCGGGCCGAAGGGCAGTACGCGCTTTGGGGCGTCCTGACGCTGACGCCGTCGTGTTTTGCGTTTGCAGGGCCGCGTCGTGGAGGAGGAGGAGCTGTGGTCAGAGCAGCGCCGCAAGCAGAACGAGCAGATGGCCGCCATTGTGGAGCGCGCCAAGCAGCGGAAGGAGGAGGAGGAGAAGCGCTACGAGGAGCGCCAGGCAAAGGCCAAGAAGAAGCTGGCCGAGCTGGACGCCCGCAAGGCCAAGGAGGCCGGCATTGAGGTCGACTCCGCCGCCCCAGACGCGGAGGACAAGCCCATGAGCATGGCCCGCGAGGCCGTCGACTTCCACCAGCTCACCAAGATCGAGAGGCCCTCGTTCGTGCGCGAACGCGAGCGCGAACAACGGGAGCGCGAACGGGTGAGGGAGCTGGAGCGGGAGCGTGAACGCGAGCGAGAACGCGAGCGCGACCGAGAACGGGATCGGGACAGGGAGCGCGAGCGCGACCGGGAGCGTGACCGTGGCGACCGCGGCGACCGCGGCGAGCGTGGTGACCGCGAGCGCGAGCGTGAGCGGGAAATGCGGTCGGAGCGGGACCGAGACCGCGACCGCGACATGCGGGGCGAGAGAATGACGGCTCAGACGCACCCCGAGTCGGGCCCCCCCTTCTCCAGGCACTTCCAGAGCAACCTGCCCCCTCGCTTCCAGAAGCAGCAGGCTGAGCGGCACGGAGGCAACTTCGCCGCCGCCCCCGCGCCCTCTAACGCCTCCAACCAGGCGTTCGAACAGCGCTGGGCCATCCCCACCACTGGCGCCGCCCCCGTCTACGCAGGTATGTCGCGTCAGCAAGCTCTCGCACCCTTGTAATCTATGCATTCATTATTCTCACCATCCAAATACCAAATTTTTCAGCCGGCAAAGGGCCCCAGGGTCGGCGCAGTCGGCCGGAGGACCCCGTCAGTGACCGAGACAGGGAGAGGGACCGCGAGCGGGAGCCCCTTGACGACAGGCCGCCCAGCCGTGGACCTCGGGACCGGGACAGGAGAGATAGGACCACTCCGGACACCAGTGATAGGTACATAGACAATGGGACTTAGTGCGTGTTTGTTGATGTTAAAATTATGCAAAAGTTGTCGAAAAGGAACGATGGGATGTTTAGTCAGAGAAAGAGAAGTAGGCCGAAGCGTAGCATTCAAAGGCCTTTTAGCATGGCGTATGATGCTTTGCAGGTACCGCCCTGCCCGCGATCGAGACTATCGTGAGGCTGGCGGTCACGGCCCCGGGCCTCTGGCAGGACGTAAGGGTTACTATGATAGCCCGGAGTACGGGCCTAGCCGCTATGGGCGCGAAGGCCGCGCCGAGTATGACAGAAAGTGAGTCTGATATGCTTTCGGTTATGCGTTTTGGTTTCAAGCTTGATTTGGTTTTCTTTTATTATATTTTGATCCTTTTTTATTTTGGTTACTTTGTTATTATTTTCCAAGCTTTATCATCATTCCTTTTCATTATTGTTTGGTTATTTTTTTAGTTGGCGTCAGTTACGCAAATGCTTACTGCCTGCTCATTTTGTAGCAGTTCTTTTATGACAGAAAGGTCTTAATTCTCTTTTTTTGTGAACTCCCTATTCTTTTTTATTTTTGTCAATTTGTTGTCTGTATTTTATTTGTAAGCCTCTTAATTTGTGTGTGTTTTTTTTTCTTTCTTTTTGCTTTGAAAGTTTGATTTTCTCATCTACGGTTTACTGATTCGATAACTAACTGTTTTCTCTCCCCTTTTCTGCACCCTTGCCATCCCAGGGACCGAGAAGAGTGGGATAGACACCATGATGACCGCAGGAGTGATTCCAAGAAAGATTACAAGACTCATGTAAGTTGAACTACGGCTACCTCTTTTGCTTGTTGGCACAGCCCCCTCCACGGCGGCTAGAGTCTGACCGGTTGTTTGCCCTCCTGCAGGAGGACTTCGACGAGCGGGACCTGAACCGCCAGGACAGCAGCGGCAATGAGTGGCGGGACAAGGACCGCCGCGACAGGCGCGACTCCCGAGAGTGTGACGTGCGTGACGGCCGTGACGCTCGCGACATGCGTGACCTGATGGAGCGGGACCGCTTCCGGGAGCGTGACCTGCGTGACCTGCACGGCCGTGACCCGCGGGACGCCCGCGACGTGCGCGACCGCGACGTCCGGGACCGTGACCCCAGAGATCAGCGGGACAGCCGGGAGCGCGACCCCAGGGACCAGCGGGACCAGCGTGACATGCGGGACCGTGACATGCCGCGGCGGGGCGGTCGCGACGACCCGAGGGACAACAGGGACCGCCTGAGCGACCGGGACCGCGACCGGCTGAGTGAGAGGGACCGGGAGATGTTCCGGGACGACCGCCCCCAGCGCCCCGACAGCAGGGACAGTCGCGACAGCCGCGCCTCCAGGGAGTCCCGCAACTCCAGGGACTCCGCCCGCGGCCCCGACGACGCCAAGGTGGAGACGTCGGCCAACTGGGCCGAGGCGTCGTTCGACCCGCACTACGAGAAGGACAAGAAGCACCGCGACTTCTACCGCGACCGTCGCGACGGGCCTGTGGTAAGTTGGAGCCAGGTGTGCGTCGAGCCCCCCAAGACCCTACGCAGGCTGGCCAAGGCGTCCGCCAGCGTCCCCGCCCACGTTCCCGGGCCCATAACCCAGGACAAGCTGCGCGCCGTGGAGCGTCTCTACCAAGCCACGGTGCCCATGCAGCGCCTGTCAAAGCCCCCTTCACCCACCCCAGTCCCTGCCCAAGCCCCCGCACCCGCCCAAGCCCCCGCCCAAGCCCCCGCCGAGCCTGTCGACGAGCAGGTACTCCCCCAGCCCTTTCCACGTGCTGCGCCTTTCCGCATGTTCTTGACCCGTCCCAACTGTTGCAGGGTGACAAGGGTGACCGCAAGGCCGACCAACCCGAGTGGAGGTCGCCACCCAAGAGCATCGTGGACTCGGTGATCGCCGAGAAGGACGTCGGCAGCAAGGCGTGGGCCGACCAGGCTGCAGCTGGCCCCGTCGACCCACTGTCCGCCGACAAGGATTCCGCCCCTGGAGACAAGTCCAAGGACCTGAAGGAGGTGGACAGGATCACAAGCCTGCTTGGTAAGTGACGCTCCGTCCAGTATACCCTGAGTGGTTTGCTTTGGACACGTTTGAACTGTGGGCTTTCTGTTGCAGGCGACAAGCTGGACATCAACGATGTGCATGGGGACATTAACGATGACAAGTTGAGAGACGACGACAAGGGCGATGATGGCAAGTCAAAGGGCGGCCGACGAAGCGGTCGTGGAGGCCGTTCTGGAGAGCAGCCTCGTGGTGGCGGCGGAGGCGGTGGTGGTGGTGGAGGTGCTGGCGGCGGACAGGGACCTGGCTCTCGCCGCGCGGGCCGCGCCTACGGCGGACGGCGCTCTGGCCGCGGCCGCGGTGGTGACTACGAAGGCAGCGTGTCCGAGGCCTCTGGTGACGAGATCTCCGTCTCCACCGAGTCTGGCAAGGAGGACCTCCGCACTGGCGAGGCCGGCAAACGCGGAGACGGCCGCCGCGGTCCGAGGTCGCCCAAATCCGGAAGGCGCCGGAAGGACGATGACAAGAAGGGCAAGGAGGGTGACAAGGACTATGACGGCATGCCGCGCGGCGGTGCCGGCCCCAAGGATCCTCTCCAGGGCCTTGGTCCTCGCGACGGTGCCAAGGACCTCTCCAAGGACATGGCGCGCGACGGCCTCCTGCCGCCCAGGGAGGCGCAGCATCAGCGCGAGCCCCAGGGCATCAAGGAGGGCTTCGCGCCGCGAGGGGAGCCATCGCGTCGAGGCCGCGGCGGCATGGCTGCCGTTTCGTCGCGTGGTGGCGCCATGGGTCCTCCCGGCCCGCTGGGCCGCCGCATGGACGGGTACGGCCCACCGCCATCCAAGAGCCCCTTCGGCCAGGCGTCCGCCCAGCAGGACAAGGACAAGGACGGCCACCCCATGGAGGGCCTGGGCCTCGACGACATGAAGGCTCCTTCTTTGGGCGCGGGTGTCATCGGCAGCGGTCTTAGGAACTCTGGTCCCCCCGGTGTCAACACTGGGCCCAACAAGTCCGGTGGCCCGCACGGCCCTCCCGGTCAGGGTCCTCCCGGCCAGCCCGGGGCGCCGCGCGGCGGCGGTGGCGGCGGCCGCAAGGAGGGCGAGAAGAGGGAGCGCGACAGGCGCAGGGACCGTGACCGTCGCGGCAACAAGGGCAACGCCGCCGACGGGCCGGGCGAGGAGTACGACAGCGTGTCCGAGATGAGTGAGAACGACGACCTCGTGCGCAACGGCGGCCGCCGTGGCTTCCGAGAGAAGACCAGTGGCGGTCCCCCAGGCCAGCCCTCGCAGCAGCAGTCCGGCAGGAGCGGCAGCGGGCGTCGCGGTGGCGGCGGCGGCGCTGGCAAGGATGGCCAGGGAGGCCGCGGTGGCGACAGAGGCGGCGACCGGGGCGGCGACAAGCGCCGCGAGGGCGGCAACGCCGGTGGCGACAGGGGCGGCTCGGGGCGCGCGGGCGGCAACGGCCCGCAGACCAACGGGCGCACTGGCGGCCCTCGCGCCGGCCAGGGTCAGGGCCAGGGCGCCGGCAAGATGACTCAAGGCCAGAACACGGTGGCGGTGAACCGCGTGGACGAGGTGAAAGTGAACGACCCGGCACTGGTGTCGCAGGCCATCACAGACCTCTCCAAGAAGGACAAGAACAACCTCGAGGGCATTGATCTCAACAACTTTGCAAGTGAGTATTCACTACCTGTTTGTCTTAGTCTTCAAATTAGTTGTGTTGTTAGATGAGCATCCCCAGATTGGCTTACAATAGTTTTTCTTAACTTTCTGCCTGTTTTGGCTGTGGCATCGTTGCTCACTCGAAATAATATTTTTGCTTCATGATAGTTCATTCTTCTTTTGTTAATTGATGATTTGCCTCTTCTTAATAGTAGATGCAATTAGTATTATGCTTTGCCTGGAATTTTATTTTTATTTTGTTTTTGTCTTTCATTTTGTGACTACAACTACAGCCCTTGGCATGCAAAAAAATTGAATTATTATTTGTGGTCTTGTGAATGATTAACATTTGAGTTCAATTATTTTTGTCTTTATCTTTATTGCTTCTTTTATTATTTTAAAGTACCAATCAAAGTAGTCTTGAGAAGTTGATTATGATTCCACTGCCTCTTTGCACTGTAGTTATGCAAAGCACTCAGTAGTGCATGAAGTGTTTGGTTTTGTTTCTGGTGGCTGTGCTCTAGTTTGTGTTGTGTGCGTGTGTGGCACCTAGGTGTGGTGGTAGTTGATGACCATCCAGAGGTGGCAGTCGAAGAAGACACTTCACTTTTTGATGCAGACAATGGCTTCCAAGAGGTCCGCAACAAGAAGACAACTAAAGATGTCAAGAAAGAAGAACCGGCCCCTAAGGGAGGACGAGGCAAATCCCAGGGCCAGCCTTCCCAGTCGGCTTCGAGTCAACCCCAACCCGGCCAGCAGCCAACTCAGCAACCCCAACCCTTGATGGCCATCAACGCCCAGCCGCCTTCCAAGCAGGGTTTCGAGCGGTCAAGGCCATGTAAACTTCCTCCGCGCCTGGCCAAGGCGCGCGAGAACAACCGCCTGCAGAAGCAGCAGGCTGCAGCGGCCCAGCAGCATGACGTTAGTGAGATGAACAAAGTCAACCAGAACATCAGCATGTACCCTCTGAAAGGTGAGATTCTGTCACTTCATTTATCCCCACGATATTTCCAAAGTGAATGTTTGGCCGGAAGTACAAGTCAAACACACATTATTTATTATCTTAATTTTGTCAGATTCTTCAGGCCCTGCTCCTCCCCCACCTGTCAATGCATGGGACAAGCCCATCAATGCCAGCCTGAGGCCAAGCTCTCCTGGAACTACCAACATTTCCACTGGACTACAGCTGAGTGCCACTATAACAGACAATTGGTAAGCCATTCTTGCCATTTTTTTTTTCTACATAAAATGCCTGTTTTTGTCTCTTGTATATTTATGCTGAGCATTTTTTTTTTTTTTTTGCAGCAACCTTGATGGGGCGGGATCTGGAGGATCCAGCCAGCGTAGCAGTCCTGCCGTCGACAAGTTAGGCCGAGAAGCCCGAGAGAGTCGAGATGCCAGGGATGTCCATGACCAAGCAGGTTCTGTGGCAGCTAAAGATGCTGTGCTTGACGGTGCGTCTCCACCCGTACAAACAATTATATTCGAAAACACAAATTACAAACAAGCTCCAAGTGCGACAAGTAAATTTCCAAGTCACCCTAAAGGTGGCTCTAGGATAGACAAACCAAGAGGTAAGATGTCACCTTTAGGTTTGTTTTCGTACACTTTTAAAGCCCCTTTTGAGACCATGGTGGCTTTTGTTTTTATGTCATAACTTTTTCTTGTGAAATAATTATGTGACACATTAATTTAGTAGTGGTTGGTAATTTAAAATATGTAGTGTGCAGGTTTCTCCCCTTTTTTTTTCATTTTTCTTTCTTTTATCCTCCTAGAAAAAGAAAGTTTATTTTAGAAAAAGCAAGATGTTTAGGACATTTTCAAACACTTTTTTTGTTTTGTTTTTTGTACTTTTATATGTGTTTGTTTACCTTGCCATTTTATGTCGGTTTTTATTCATGCTTTGCTGCATCTATTTTTTCAGATTTGGATTCAAGCTCACCACATGCCCACCAGCACCCTCACCCGTCAAACTTAGGATTTGACATGAAATCTGATGCCATGGATACTGGTGACATGAAGCTTGACTTCACATTTGAATGCCCTGATCTTGATGACAAAGGAGTTAAAAGTATGGGCTTACCTCGCACCATGCATTCCACTTTACCATCCACTGCCGATTTGAACTTTAAAATTGCGGCAGTGAAGAAAGTGTGGGAAACAATGCCAACTGGTCAAACCCATAGTGATGAAAGCCAAGGCTATGCACCTCCATTCACCTCAGAAGCTGGATTGGATGCGGCAGCATTTAGGAAGGCTGTGGAATCTCCTCAAATGCAGATGGATGAGAACTCTGAGGTGGTGTATTCACCAGGTCCTCAGATGCAACCCAATCCGAACAGTTATGGAGTATCGGGTGTCACAGGAGTGTCAGCAGTCCCGGGAAATTCCGCATCTCCCAATGTCTGCAAAGTAAAGCCTCAGCCATCTGTCATGCCTCCAGGACCTCAGCTTTCGCCACCTCCACCATTCAACTCACAGCCTACCAGTCACATCGCAAACTTCCAGGTATTGATCTATTTCGCTCTGGATTTGTTTTCGTTTAATTATAAGGCAGTTATGATAAACTCATATTAATGATAACTAGTCATTTCTCTCAATGCAGCCCAATATGAGCAGTTCGGCTGCTCAGTTTGGTGGCATCTCAGCAATTCCATCTCCACCCACGGTGCTCTACAACTCTTCGCAAGCGGGCATCTACCAGACCTTCTTAGGAGATGCTCCCGTTCTTGGAGGACAGCCCTTGGGCGGACAGCCCCTTGGTGGACAGCCTCTTGGTGGGCAGCCCTTGGGCGGACAGGCACTGGGTGGGCAGCCTCTTGGTGGGCAGCCCTTGGGTGGGCAGACCCTGGGAGGCCAACCTCTCGGTGGGCAGCCTTTAGGTGGACAGCCACTTGGTGGTCAGCCACTTGGCGGGCAGCCTTTGGGTGGGCAGCCTCTTGGTGGACAACCGCTTGGCGGGCAGCTAGGCGGTCAGGCCCGGTCTCAGTTCACTCAGTTCCCGCCGTACCAACTGTCTCAGGGATTGACGGGTTCAACCTTCAACCAGCAGTCTGTGTATGTGCACCAGAGTGCGCCCCCACCTCATCCACCCAATGCTGGCCCAGATCTTTATCAACCGATGTCACAGTATCGCATCCAGGTAAATTATCTTAGCAAGAGTTCAGGTAATGGTCTAATCACATTGAGAATACCAACTAATCTGAATCAATTTTGCAGCCTCCAACTGGTCCCTTTGGGCAGTCACAACAACTTAACTCAAACCCCAGCACAGTCCTTATCTCTTCGTCATCAAATTCTCTGATGTCAGCTAGTGTGAAACCATCATCACATTCAGGCCAAATCGGTGCCATTGGAACCAAGGGGGGTGCACCCAGTCCTTATCAGACCTCGGCACCTCAATCTCAATTATTTATTCCCTATGATCCAAACCAAGTCTTGAGTGTGAACCAAAACTACCTGTCAAACTCGCCTCTTGTTCAGAGGGCAGCTCCAGTTCAAAATATGCAGTCCTCCAGCTATTACTCAACATCAGCTGGTATGTGAGAAGGCTCTTGCTTGTCAACCCCTACTATTTTGACTGATGGTTATTTGTAATACGTGGTTCTTTTGTTGTTTTCTTCTTTAGGTGGCCAGGCTGGTTTTTACCAAACTGGATCCTCTCTTCAGGCAGCCCCTGCAGCTCCTCAGCTGCATCAAACTGCCACACCCTTTGGCCTGCAGAACTTCAGTTCCCATGCGCCGGTAAGCAGTCCTGCCCTCTGAGATTAATTACACCGCTCATTTGTTTAATCAAACAATTATTTAACTAATCTGTTTTTCTTCCTGGGCAGTTTTTGTCCTCAAACTTGCAAATAGCTGCAGCAGTTCAACAACAGCAGCAGCAGTACCGCAACTCTCAGCCAAGTTATCTGAAGGGAGGATTGGGCCAGTCTCAACCTCCTCCACCATCATCACCATCTTCTCAACAACCTGACCTACTGCCATCGGTTTTTTCCTCAGGTAAATGTTTTCTTCTTTTCATTATTTCTCACTTCTTTGACTGCCTTTCTTTGCTTTGAGTTGGCTCTAATTTTTGTGACAATCAACAGGGTCCCAAATCCCATCCCCTAAGTCACGTGACTCGAAGAAATCTCAGTCAGGACCGCAGGGTGGGCAAGGCGCACAGAACCAGCACAGCCCCACACCTCAGCACCAGGGGGACCCACGTTCTGGACCTGGGGGTCCAGGACCCTCAGGACAGGGGCAACCTGGACAGGGACACAACAAGTACTCATCGTACCAGATGTCTCAACAATCACATGTGAGTATCTTTTCTTTTTCCTCCCATTCTTACTTCACAGTTTTGTTATTACTCACAATGCTAGCTAGCACTAATCATGGCTTGATTCACTGAGTATCATCTTGTCTGTAGTTATGATTTGCTTGATTTGCTTAGCACGCCTTTGTAATGCTTTCTTGAAACTAACATACTCCTTTTCTAAAAAGGGCTATGGAAATTTTTTCCAGATGCTGCAACAGCGAGGCAATCAGATGAATATGGGGCCTCGAGGCAACATGGGCCAATCTGGCCAGTCCAGATATCCAGCTCCAATTCAGCGACCCAATTCTTACAACCAGAGCAGTATGTCCTCTGGAGGTAACATGAACATGAACAGGCATCGCACTCCTGCGCACAACACTTCACGGCCACCGCCTTCTGTAGGCAAGCAGAACTACTACGGATCTTCTCAAGGTATTTTATTATAGTCTTATTTCATTTTTAAGATCTACTATTTCAGTGGCATTTTTCTTCTAAATGATCCTACAATACTGACTGACATTTGTACCACAGGTGGACCTGTGAAGATGGAGAGCTCAGGAAACAATGAAGCCAAACCTGAGAACAGCACACCTGAGCACAAAGATTCGTCCTCAAGTCCAACCAGCAGCACTACCGAAAGTAGTGCACCAGCGGAAACGGCGAAAGATGAAGCCCCTGCTCCTAGTGCTGAATAGTGTACCCCTCTCTTTTCCCCTCTCCGGTCTGGATGTTTTCCATGAACTTTAAACCTCAAAGTGGGAGAACTTAGTCAAAAATTAAATGGCTGCTATGCCTATTCTTGAAGTCTTCTTGAATTCAAAGTGGTGAAAGCCAGAGATTGGCCAAGGTTTTTAGGTGTCGTATTTAGAGTGGTACGTGGGATCGTTGTAATGTTTAGAGTTAACAATGAAGCAAGCAATCCATTAACCTCTCATGAACGCTCTGTGGATGCTCTCCAGACACTTTGAACACAGAAATGTCCCGTTCGCGCTGGTCATTAAGTGTGTTTTTTTTTGTGTGTTCTGCATTTTCTGAACACTACTTATATTCTTTACCGGAAGTTCCTTTTGCTTTGAAGGAAGCTCTGCACTGAGCACATTTTGAGCATGCAAGGAAGGTTTAGAATGTGGTGTGACAACTTATGACCATAGGTTGTCAGTGATCAGAGCACGGCGAGACGTGATGCCCTCTGTTCTTGAAGCAAATTTGCACAGTATTCAATGCAATTGCCCATCCCTCAGTTTGCCAGGCACTAGTTGATGTGGCAGTGTATTCAACACACTTAGAATAAAGTGTAACGAATAGTGTAAGGTGACTTTCTTTTTATGTTACGGAACTGAAAGCAAGTATGGACTCTCAAATATTAGAGCTTGCAAGCTGGATTGCTACGAGACTGAGGGCTGAAGGTGAAGACTGAAGCTCTGTCAGATTCAGGTGTTATTTTTGATTTGGGTAACAGCAGAAGCATCTTTGACTGCATTGCACATGTTTGTTTGAACTGCAGAAAATCAAAGTGTGGAGCTTCTACCGCATAAATATCACTGTTTGTGGCCTGACCAACGTCAAAAGAGTTAAACTGCCACCTGTTAAGCAAGTAGCTAATGAGAGCCCCTATTATGATCGTGATTTATGATGTTTTTATTGCTTATTCCTGTACTGATCACTATTTGAAATTTGTCTTATTTATCAGTGTTGTCAAGGGTTGAAATAAATTGTGCAATAGTCCCATGAATGTACTCCTTTCAGTGGTTTCAGGGCTGTTGGTTACATACATAGTTATGTACTTTGCTGCTTCTTATTTGTGGCATTTAATTTATACAGCCCTGTCTCTACGTCTGTGGTAATTACATTCCAGATTGGGTCTTTTCAATTGTAACTTTTTATCAAATTTGGTGGATTTTGTGTAAAGATGTTGCTTTTTCTACCTTTTGCCAATGTACATTTTATCCACCTGGAAAGTGAGCAATTAGTACAAGAAAAAATGTGTTTGTAAGATAGTGCCCACAATTATGTGATTGTGGGGTCAATGAACTTTTTTTATTTGAGGCGCATTGCCTGACTGGAGTCATGAGTGACAGGGCCCACAAGGTCCTTCACCATCTTCATCAATTTTACATGTCAACCAGTCAAAGGGGATTTGGCCTCCTTTGAAAATCTAGATACTGCCTTTTTAAAATGAATAAACTATTATATGATGTGAAAGTCTAACAGCTTGTTTGTTGTTTCCTAGTGCAGTACCTGAGCGTCCCTCCGTAACCACCTCTTCCAGGCGTCATTGGACGACACTTACTTTAGGTGCAATTTACTTTTATTATACCAGGATTCTGTAAGAGTTTTGACATAATAAATAATTTTAAATTAGTGCTGGCACGCTGTAAACGAGGTGAAAAATACTATTAGTACCAGTGTTCTGGCTCTTTGGACTCCATCTTTTGATGACTTAGGCGGAAAGGCAGGCATGCGAGGTGATTGGTCGGGGTGCTACTGCTTGATCTTGGCCTGCATGATCTCTCCCAGGTTGTCGCATCCCGGCTTGTTGGCGGTGTTGTACTCGGGCAGCTGCTGCTCGCACTTCTTGAGCCAGGCGGCGACCTTTTCGGGCACGTTGACGGAGGGCAGGACAGCCTGGAAAAGATAGACGAGACGGTTAGTCCTGACGCAGTGGTCAAGTCAGCTCGGCCCTTGATGTTTACACGGAGTATCGCCCACTTTCGGAGCTGATCTCATCCGTCTCTTATCTCGGGAAGGGTCAGGCAGGGCAACGCCCGGCAACGCCCTGCCGTCGCAAGTCGCTCTCTCGCGCACTCGTGGGCGTTCCCTACAGGTGCGAGAGAGAGAGATAGAGAGAGCGACGGAAGGACTGTCAAGTTGGGGCTCATAAGCTTACCAGGATGGTGGACACGTTGGCTGCGGCGCAGCAGTCCGCAATGGTGGGCTTGTCGCCGGCCAGCCAGGGGCCGTCCCGGATGAGGTCGGACAGCAGCTTTAGGGCGTCCTCTAGCCTCTTCATCTTCTCCGCCTCGAAGGAGGTGGCGCCTCGGAACACCACAGGTTCCTGCGAGAAACGAAGACGAGACAAATGGCCATGTCGTTTGGTGGCAGCGTTCAAAGAATTCGGTTGACACGTTTTGCACCGGCACCCACCAGCATGTCCCTGATCCTGGTGAAGAGGATTGCGTTGTCGAAGTGCAGGCGCTGGTTCACGATGGCCCTCTTCTTGAGGTCCTTGGGGTACCAGGCGTCGCTGCCACTCTTGTCGGCCAAGTAGGTGGCGATGGCGTGGCTGCAACGCGCGTTTGCATTACTTTTTGACGTTTTGTCAGGATGGACTATGAAAGTGTGGGTTTCCTCGCCAAGGCTTATATCTCCTTGAACTCGGATATCGGAAGTATGCCTGCTTACCTGTCCCAAAGAACAAAATCACCGTCCTTGATGGTCGGCACTGTGTGCAGTGGGTTGATCTATTTTGAAAGGAAAAATAAAAGATTAAAATAATGAAAGACCACAATGAAGTCTTGAAGGCAGAGGTGCACTCACGGCCACAAACTCGGCCTTCATCTGCTCGCCGCCCAGCAGGCTGACTTTCTTGAACTCGTACTCGACGCCGAGGGCCTTGCACACGAGCAGCACCGCGCGAAACGGCGGGCTGAGCTCGTCGCCGTACAGTGTGATGGCCATGGCGCCTCGGTGTGGAAGGGGCTGGGCAGAAAGAGAAGACGTTGTTCCGGGGCCTTGATACATTCACCAAAGGGCACCACAAAGTATTCCTTAAACGATACGTAAAGATACGGAAACCTGCTGCGGTTCTGTGATTGCCGTGCTCTGGGCTAGTAGGCCAGCGATTGGGCATAGAGAGGAGGCCTCAATGGCCGCTCGGCCGGGCCAGCCCCGACGTGGTCACGAAGTACACAATATCTCCTCGTGTAATTTGTGGGGTGGGCGACACGCAACACCACAAAGCACACAAGACCGCCACTAAATTGCCTCGCCTAACAGACTTGGTCGCCCTGAACCAAGCAGGCGTCAAGTCAGGTACCCAGGCTTTGCCGTGTCGCTCTTTTTGCGTACTTTCTGGCGGGTTGTTGGTGAGTCGTAAACGGAACTAATAGACAACCGATACGCAAGGCTCGATCTTGGTATCTCCGCCTTGGGCACAAATCCCAAAGCATGACAGCATTTTCCTCGGCTTCTCAAAGAAGAATATGGTACCATCACTCTGAGTTTGTTCAAAGTGTTTTTATGTGTCCCAGTGACTTAGCACAGAGGTAAAGTGGCGAGAGGGACAGCGAGCGACCACGACCACCGTCAGTGGCCATTCGCTAACGAGCTGGCAACCGCGACCGCAGGTCCACACGGCCGGCGCCACTGGCCACACGGCGGGGAGGGAACACCTGGCGAAGCCGCGACATGCACACCAAGTTGCAATCAATAGTATGCCATTGCTGATCGACGATAACAGACCCTGGCGTGAGTCCTTCTGAAAGTTTGCTATCTGTCGGGCAGTTAACGTGAGGGAGGGTGTGAAGCGGCAGCTAGCGTAGTCCAGCCTTCTCTTCTCGCTTCCCGAGCCAACAGGTCCAGCGTCCAGCGTGGAGTGCTCGCCCCTGCCCCGCCCCCCTGCCCCGCCCCCTCACAACAGCAACGTTCGGTGGGTGTGTACTTTCGATGAGGGAACTTATTTATTCTGGTACAGTGCTGCAGCCGGCTGCACGGAACGGTTGCATAACAGTCGCTGAGGGCATCCATGGAAAAAGACCGATCGAGTCTCTCCGTCCCGTAGAAAAAGTACATCAATTCGACTTAAATTCAGAGCTACTATCAATCGACACCGAGTTATTTTTATTCGATTCAACGAATGGTTAGAAAAATCCCCGATGTCGTATGTTTGTTTTTACACCGCGGGAAATTTTTAAGGGTTAGACTCCAAATAGAAACTTAGTAGATTCCCATAAGATTGAAGGTCCCCGAGCCCGGACGACGCGCCAAGCGCCACGGACGGAAAGTTCCAGGGCGGGACGCGAGCCGCTGAATCTACTGGACGGAGAGTGCTGCCCTTTCGCGAGGCCCCTGAGTTGGCGAGTGGAGCGATTCCGTCGCCCACAGTCCTCGCTCTGTCTCTCTCGCATCCGCTGCGGCACTCTCCGTGAGTGCGAGAGAGACAGAGCAAGTGCCGGCGGTGGAATCGCCGTCCAGGACGCCGCTGAGGCTCCTACCTTGGCGTCGAGTGGAGAGGTGGTCCCGGCGGCGGACGGTCGCTGACTGGCGGCGTGGCGGCGCGCCGCCGGGAGGAATCAAGCGCTGCGGCAGCGGCGGGCCCCCACGGCCCCACGGTGGCGGGGCAGCGGGGCCGGGTGCGGCGCGGTGACCGGCCCAACTGGTCCCCCCCTCCCCCTCTCTGGACGCGCACCTCGCCGCCTCCATTCGCATCAAACACCCGTTGCCCCCTTCCCCTTTCCCCCTTTCCCGCCGGACCGCGCGCTGCTCACACTCGTTATCACGGCGTTCCCGGTCGGCCGCGTTTTCGGGTGGCGTCGGCGGCGTCCGGCGAGACTGCAGGGTCAGGGCCAGTCAGGGCCGCCGCGAGTCATCCCGGTTGTATAAGTGCCGAGTCATTGCCGCTCGCCGCATCGTGGAGCTGGGGGGCACGCTGGCGGCGAAGAGCTGTCACCATGTCGCCGGCCGTGTCGGGAGCACGGCGATCACGCCACGGCGGCCTCGACGGCGAACTGGAGCTCCGCCGTCAAGGCGCACGCCAAGGAGGCGGCCGCGTCGCCGTCCAGCAGCAAGCTGCACGACGGTGGGTTCGCGGCGGGGCGCGCTGGGGGCGGCACGGTCCAGGAGGCCTGGCAGGGACGCTGGGGCTCGGCCTCCACGTTGGCGCACACCAGGGTCTGCAGGGAGGCGGCGCGCACCACGGCCCAGCCCTCCTCGCCGCCGAAGTCCCGCGGCGTCCAGCTCCAGGGTGGTCCCAGGGGCGACGACAGCGCGGCCGAGCGCAGCCAGAGCGCTGCGAGGGCCGCCAGGGTGGGCGGCAGCATGCTGCCGTGCACGGCCCCGCCGGGCGGGCCCTGCAGGTCCTCCGCCAGCAGCCCGGGCAGGAGCTCCACGGCGTCCACGTGCCCGTACAGGCGCTGCAGCCTCCGCGCCCACAGCTCGTTGCCAGTGAGGTCCAGGAAGGAGCGCGCCGGCCGCAGCCCCAGGCGCTGCCGGTAGCGGTTCAAGGGCTGCATCCGCGCCAGCCGCGCGTCGCGGAGCAGCTTCTTGGTCCAGCCCTTGGCCAGCCGGCCGGTGTTCCTCAGGGACGCCTGCAAGGTGGAGGCGCCAGTCACAGCGAATCGCTGTCCGATCAGATCAGCACACGGTCGACACCACCTCGCCCCGCCCACCTTCCCCGCGGCCTGCCGCATCGCCGCGTCCACCACCGCGCGCACGCCGCGCTCCACCACCAGCCGCTGGTTCGTGAACATGAGGTCCGTCATGTTGAAGAGGTGGCCGTCGACCTCCAGGACGTCAGGCAGCTGCCATCCCCAGAACAGCGCGATGGGGAGCTCCTGCGGCTTGAGCGTGGGCGTGGGCGGCGAGGCGTGAGGGACGTTGACGGGCAGAGGCCACGGCCACCGCAGCGGCATGGCGCCGTGCCCCTGCAGCCGGGGCAGCAGCTCCTTCAGCGCCACCACCACCATCTCGGCCGTGACCACCCTGCGGGTCGTCTCGAACAGCCGGTCGCTGCTCCACTGTGGGTGCGCCGCGGCCAGCAGGCCCGCCACGCGGTTGTGTTCGCGCAGCCACAGCACCGCCATGGTGAAGACCAGCGGCGTGGAGGTGAGCATGGGGTGGCCCAGCGCCCAGCGCGGCTCGGCCTGCAGGGACAAACACAGGCGGTGGGCGGAGGGCGGAGACGGGAAAGCGCTTCGAGCAGCGAGACCAGGACGGCAACCTCGTGATCGGCAGCGGGGCCCGTGAGGTGGAAGAAGGGCAGGTGCCGCCGGTGCGGCTGCGCGGGGCCGGCGGGCGGTGCGGCCGGGAAGGCGGTGGGCACGGCGGCGTCCTCCACGCAGGCGGGGAACTCCTGGCCGTCAACGACGCGCGACAGCAGGCGGCCGCCGTCGGGCGCGCGGAGCAGCCGGCACGTCTTGGCACTGCCGTACACCTGGCTGGCGTCCACCTGGAGGCGCTCCCCGTGGAGCTGGTACAGGAAGTGGTGCACGAACGCCACCAGCAGCAGGTTAGCGCCAGAGGGGTCCGCGTCGAAGGAGTCGGCAGGTCTTGCCAGGAGCGCCTCGAACACGTCTTCCTCGCTCGGCAACCGCCGCGGGCCTGGCCACGAGCATAACTGAGGGTCCAGCTACTCCGCAGCGCGGACACAGCACAGGGCCAAGGACGGACCTAGCACCCCCATGGGCGTGGGGCAGCCCGTCGGCACCGGCGGCAGGAGGTGGGCACGGCCGGCGGGGGAAAGCTGCTCCGTCGCCGTCGAAAGCAAGTCTCCGAACCAGCGCCTCCACGACGCTGCGCGAGACCGCGTTACGTGCACGTGAGGGCTCTTCTCTTCGTCCCGCGGTGGCCCTGGCTTTCTCAGCGCCCGCGGAACGGTGGGTAGGCAAGCCCGCCACGCACGCCTGTTTCGCGGGATTGCCTACCCGCCGTTCCGCGGGCGCTAAGGATGGAGGGTGGCAGTGCAGGCGGCACGTTTGAGGAACGTCGGACACACCGATGTGGCAGGCGCGGCCGTAGTGGCCCGTGCCCTCGCACAGGCAACTCCACGTCCCGTTGGCTTCGCTGCAGGGCGCGCCGTGCTGGCAGGGCAGCGAGCAGCAGGGCCGGCCTTTGCCCTCCCCGCTCTGCGCGCTCTCCGGGGCGGTGCCGAGGCCCTCGGAGTCGAAGTCCCGGAAGCGCAGTGGCCGCAGTGGCGAGGCCGCGAGCAAGCACGCCAGCAGCACCAACCCCTTCCACCCCAGCGAGGCTAGCGAGGCGCCCCGCCGGGTGTCGAACCCGGGCTCCGGCGGGCACGGCGGCACGTCACACCCCTGCTTGCTCAGTTTGGCCGTCTCTCTCCTCCGGCCGGGGCGGACGTTGGCGTTGGTGAAAGGGAGGCGCAGTCGATACATCGAACAGGGAGGGCCAATAATGCCCGGGGTTCGTGGATCGCTCCGCCACGCTCCGCCTGCTACGCAATGCCACACCGGCAGCGACTGTTGCGTGGCTGACAATGCCTTTCTAGATGTCAAAGCCTCAAACAGTTTGTCACTGCTTGCGATTGCTCTGATGGCCCCAGCCAAGGCCGCCAAGGCCGCGAGGCAGACGACGAGGAGCTCGGCGAGGACCTCGACGGGGACGGCGCACAGTTCGGCACAAGTGCGTGTCCTCCCCGCCGGATTGCCTCGCGCCGATTCGGAGCTGTCAGCGCCGCTCCAAGTATCGGTTCTCACTCTCGCTGGGCGTGGACTCCACCCGTCGCACGGAGGCACGTTCCCGCCGATCCGGCCGCACGAGGTGGAGAAACTGGACCCGTGGTTCGGTAAGCGAGCCTCGGGTGACCTTGGCGGCGTCCGTGACCTTGGCCGTGACCTTGGCCGTGACCTTGGCTTCGGCGCAGAGGGCGTGTCGCAGCCGTCGCAGCGCATCCAGGAGATGGCCAAGCGCAAGCGGCACAAGCACGACGCCTTGCTGCGGCAGCTGCGACAAGAGCTGTTCCGCGAGCGCAGCGCCGCCGAGCGCACCGTGGCCTTCATCTCCAGCAACCTGCGCACCGAGCTGGACAAGGCCTCGCTCATGGTGAAGCTCAAGGGCAAGGAGCTGTCCGAGCTGTGCGAGCGTCTGTGTGCGAAAGCAACCGGCCGGCAGGTTAGTGATGAGTGCGCTTCGAATCGGTGACATTTTCTGGCAACCCTGGAATGACATTGCCGCTGAGTTCGCCAGGGGGAGTGCCAGGGCGGCTCCTTCAAGGAGGCCGTGGCGGCGGCGTGCGACGTGGTGCAGCAGTTGACGGAGCAGCGCTCGCGCGCCGTGGACGCGTTCTATGACCTGCTGCTGGACGTCGAGGCCGAGCACCAGAAGCGCGCCAAGGACGCGTTCAGGAAGTACGGCGACGCGCTGCAGCGCAACGGCCACCTCGCTCCGCAGAGGATACAACCCATCCTGGACGCCGAGATGAAGGTCGGGGCAGACTCGGGCAGTGGTCACGTCCGCGGTCACGTCGCTCTGTCTCTCTTACTCATGGGGCATCCCATACTGGTGTGAGAAAGCGGTGGCGAGCGCAGACATTTCTAATGGGAAGAAACGGAGTTGCCACACCATGTGTTTTGCCTACCTTTTGGTGGAAAGTCGCGCCATTGGCCTGCCTTCGCCTTGCTAGTGCCTCAGGGATGTTCAGAGCGAGACAGAGCGACGAAGCCATGTTCGGAATCAGCCTGCAAGGATGCCGGGGTCCCTCTTTCTCGCCTGCTGAGTTTTGGCACCGCAGGAGGTGAGCGAGCTGCACCTGAGACACGTCATCAGCTTCGGAGACCTCCGCCTGTGCCTCAACATGCACGCCGAGAGGGACTGCCGCAAGTTCGGGGAGGCGCTGGACAGGAGTCGGCGTGCGCACAGGGAGCGGTGCCAGCGCGTCGCCGTCAGCGGCCTGCAGTCAGTCCAAGTCCACGCGGTCCACGCCTTACTCATGTCCATTCCCCACCTGGTGGAATACGTTCACTATTGGACCTGAACTGATCTCCCGGGTACTGATTAAAACAACAAACTCGAGCCACTTGTTAAAAATCTCTTCTAGGAAAGCGGTCAACAAATCCAACGACGAGCATATAAGCTCAACACTGATGGGCAGAGAGTCTTTGCTGGACTTTTGTGCAAGGATGGAACAGGTCAAGACTAGCCTCGTACTCACAGACACTTATCCATTCTCATCCGATATGAGCAGATGGGAAGTTGGTGTGAAGAATAGCCTACAGAATCTTGGTACAGAAAGATGATTCACTTCTTCAAATTATTGCACTGCAAGACCAACTATGTTCTGGACCAACTTCATTCCAGATGTTTGTGCAGAGAAAATATGCAGCGCTCTTAAAGTGGCTCTTACACAGACGCAGCAGAACAGTGTGGATGAAATAGAAAGACTAAAGGAGTTTCTCATTGCCAGTGATCTTTGCTCGAAAGAGAATTTTGAAACTCTGTATAACAATGTCTGCTTGCCTTTGCTCAAAAGTACACAAAAAAAATTGATAATGATCCTGCTGTTTTTTGGGTACTCAACCTATCATAAACACCAGCTGTTAATGAAATAAACGTTAAACACTAACTTAATCAAATTTTGACAGAAAGAATGGAAGCAGATATTTGCAAGGGTTGTCTCTCAAATTGATTTGCTGACCTGCTTCCTGAAAGACGCAAGAGATCTTTGGGAAAACTATTGCCAGCATCAGGAGAGTGGAAGGGAGCAAATACGTTTAAGTCTTCAAAAGAAAATACAAGACAGAGGAAAACACGTTGAAGTAAGTTAAAAAAGATTGACAAAAAAATTAAAAGGTTGGTGTCATAAAAATAATTTACATTTCAGGCAAAAGAACGCAGAATCACCACTATCATGGAGTCATCCTGCCAGGAAACGAAAAAGAGAGTGGTAGAAGATAATGTAACCAGAATATTTCGCATTTTAGATGAGGTGAAAGTGAGGTATTACATCAAATTTGAAAGGTCAATAAGTTTCAGTCAATTGTAGTTACCTTTCACTATCTTCTCCCTTCCTCTCTTCACCTTTAAGCTATGAAACTATGCACAAGCAAGAAAGAGAGATTATAGAGGGATATGCTTCATCCATTCCACATGAAGTAGAGTCTTTGAACTCATTAACACGACTCTTCTCAGAAAAACATAATAGGTGTATCAAGCATTATAAGAATTCTAATAATAACCACACAGTAGAAGTTTTACACAAAAGTCAGGAACTATTAGTCCATATTGACCAGGAAGAGACCAGATGGCATGATATTATAGAGTCATTCTTAGCAAAGCAGTGTGAAAATGGAGTTCAAGAGTCAGGGCAAAACTGGATAAAACAGCAGGTGGAAAAATTACAGGAGGAGCACGATTGCATTGCTGAGTCCCATAAGCTTAGGTACAATCAAATTCAATCCCAAGTTCAGTTTGCTAGACTAGCTGAAATCAGTGAACATGACAAAATATTTAACAGTCACAAAGAGGTTTGTGCTATTGAATCAGTTTATCAAATGAACTGAGAAGCAGCTTAGCAAAGTGGTGTCTCTTTTGCAGGTGATTATGAGTGTTTCAATAAATGTTCAAAAGGAGCTGGAGAGCGCATTTGCCAAGATGTTTCAGATCTTCCAAGGCCTCAGTTCCCAAATGAAGTCCCTCAAAGAAAATGGTTTGAATGATTCATCTATACAATCAGTTAAAACCACCGTTTACCAGGTCTGATTTTTGTTATTCTTAGGTGAGTCAATGCTAATATTCTAAAATGGCATGTATACTTGAATTTATAATGGTTAAATATAGGTACAAAAGTGCTATGAAGAATGTAAGGAGTCAGTGCAATGCCTAAATGATGAGTTTCACACATCTGTGATGCAGCAAATGCAGAAAATGAAGAACAACAACCAAATCTTTGCTGAATCTTTGAAGTGAGTTATGTAACCATGAATTCATATTTCATTTTTCTAGAAAGAATGGATAAGCAGATTACGAAAACAGCAGTATCCATTCATAGGCAATTTTCAGATGGGGGCAACTATGCAGAATCAGAAGTTAAAACCATAAAATCTGAAATCAAAACCCTAGAATTAGATGTTGAAGCAAATGTAATAAAGATGGGCTTGTCACTCAAACAAAAGGGCAAAGAATGCTGCACAGAAGCCTTGAAACACTTAAAAATCTGCTTAAGGGAGTATGTACCTCAATAAAATTAGCAGGAAAAAAAATGCAGTTTCAGTATAAAATTAAATTTAAAAATTGCATTTCCTATTATGTTTTTTTTTTTTTTAAGTTTGCAGGTTTATTTAGATAATCTTACTTTTACTGAGTGTATCAGTTCTATTATTGAAAAAACACAAGCACAGTTAAATAAACATGTGCTAGCACTAAAATTTGGAGGAAAACTCCTATTTGAACAAACAAACAAATTGGTAGAAAGTTGTGTTCAAAGAGACATAGCTGATGTCAAGAACGAATGGAGGTAAGTGCCTGTTTACTCATACACTACATACTACCCACTGCGAAACTCCTAAGGCCTGTATCAGGTGTGTTACAGAGACAATTTCAAAAAGACAGAAATGGCTTCTGGACAATCAAGTGAGTGATAAGGGACATAAAATACAGTTCCATTAAGATCTACAGCCTTAGTAGACTACGGAGAAAGCAATGCTTTTTTACCAATTATATACAACCTTCTTATGGAGTCACAACGCCAAATTAAAGTAGCAGTTGAGGTGCGTATTTGGAGTCTTCAGGGCTGCCAATTCAGTTTTTGCTCCTAGGCAACACAGCCTTTACTCTAAGGGTGATTGATCATACGTTTAGCTAGTGGTATTCTATTTTGCTCTAGGATTTTCACCATAGAAAGGATTGTCAAAAGTTCTTGAATTCAAATGTCTTGCAAGACGAAGTTGCTGTGTACATGTCCGAGATTGGCTCCAAATATAAGGCATATCAGGAGCAATGCATAGAGGTATGGATGTGTGAGGTCAAAGGTGAGTCCTCCCTATATCTTTGCCTCTTCCTTAGTAACAGACAGACCTGAAAGTGACTTAAATTTTGAGCCCTTCACAGGTTTATTTGATGCAATTAATATACTGAATGGCTACTTTGATATATACTGCAACAAAGCTACAAGTGGCGTTCATGAACATCTCATAGATTCACTTCAAGTTGAAAGGAATCAGTTGAATGAAAATTTGATGAAACTAAGAGCCAATTACCAACAACATCAAGTTGACACCATGGCAAAACTAGGCACGACCCAAAGATACCAGGGAAACCAGTTCAGTGATTTGTGTAGTAAATTTGAGGCAACATCTGGAATTTTAGCAGAAAACATTAAGAATTTGATAGACCAGTATATGGTAGGATATTTTATAGAAAGATACATTAACCAGTTTAGCATTTCAGAAACAGATGTACTAACTCTAAAACGTTGAACATTTTCAGGAAAAGTCTGACAAATACTTGCAGGACTTTGAGGAGAAAACAATGGAGCATCACAATATCATAGTAGAAACTATGGAGCATCTTTCTAGAGAATTCTCAGAGAACACAATACTGAAAATAGAGCAAGAAGTGTTACACATATCTAAGTACTATTATTTTGATCTGCCACCCTCCACAGCTCTGTTCTCCTATAAAGGTATTTCGCCTCCAGAGAGGAAAATTGAGCAATGAGGATTGGCTCTTGCTACATTCAGTAAAGAAATTAGCTTCTTTTCCTCCCGCCGTTCGCCTCTACATTCGCCCAGCACGAGAGAAATGGGGCGCTGTCTCTGTCTGCGAATGTAGGGGCGAAGGCGAACCGAGGCGAAGGGAGAGCTAACGGCGAGCTAACAGGGAGAGGGCGCGAAGCGAATTGCCACCAATTTCCTTACTGGCTATGGCATGGCATCTGAATTCTCGACTGCAAACTTTCCAGAATCTGAAAAACCTTATCAAGGGACCAAATATAGAAAAACAACTACTTGTGCTTTCCTCTCTGCTCTCAAGAATCTTTGCACAGCTGCTGATCAATTTTGGGAAAGCTATAAACAGGTGAACATTCTTTTCAAACCATTGCTTGTAATTAAATTACCGTAACAATGTTCCAAGAAAGAAACTGCCTGTGCAGGTTGGAACACTGAACACACGATGGAAACCAGAAATATTGCAGAACACAGTTGAGAGAAGCTTGCATGTAATACATCTTGATGATTCATTCTAACAATGCTACCAAAGAAAAGAGAATTTATTTGAATGAGAAGTTAATTTAATTCTTTCACAGGAAGCAAGAAAACTAGTCCAGAGTAAAACTTCTGAAGTGAAAAAATTATATGAGCAGTATAAGACAATGACAGAAGAACTGAGAATGAAATGGAGAAGCACTTCAGAGAACATTCAACGAATTAATGTGCCTATTAGTTCACTGACAGAAAATTAATGATTTTAGTGTTCCTTACTTTCCACCAATAAGAGAGTTTTTTCAGGTAAATTTATTTGAAAGAGTGGTTGCATTGCCACAAAATTAGAAGAAATCTACATATGTTCCATGAAAGAACATTGAAATGTACAGAGTAACAAACATTGTAAGATTTTATTTTATGACGAATCGTTAACAGTAAATGGAACACGTTCTAGCGAAGCGACATGCGATGACGACCGCCCGGGATACGACCCTGGGGGTCCATGAGACCGGTCTGGACGTCCCTAAGTTGAGGAATCTTGGCAACATCACCTCTCGCAGCAACTGCTGGTGAAGAACGAAGCAGGCGCTGAGCAACTCTTTGGATGTCATCAGCAGAGATATTCTCTGAAACACATAATGCAATTAGATTATTATTGTACCAAGATGTTATTGACCAATTCTATTCATCATTTATTATTAGTAATAAGGATTACCAATGGCTTCAATGAAGTACTTTGTGCTCTTGCGCTCGCCAGTAGAAAGAACTTGGCGGGCCAGATCTTCAAATACAACTGGTCTTGACTCAAGATTCATAAGAAGCATTGATTGTAACTGGGTCTTTGCTCTCTGAAATATAGATTGTATACATGTGAATCAAAATCCTTTGCATACCAAACCACATGAATATCTGTCCAAAATCAGAATTAACATACTCTAAGCTCTGAACTTCCAACAGAACCAGCCATGGCAACCATTTCTCTTGTTATAACTTCTACCAACTCTCGGACGTGAGTAGGAGGTGCACTCGCGTGAATACAGAATAAGCCAGAGTCCATGTATGCGTGGTTGTAGGCTGTGGCATTGTACATCCAATGATACCTGGCAGAATCAATGTTAAGTAAGAATTGTAAGACAAATTACCTTAAAAACTTAACTCCAAACCACAGCACAGAAATTCATCAAAACTAATACCTATTCAGTACGTTGGTATACAATCGCGTGTACATCCCTTTGCCTGGGCCCCCAGCACTGAATGATCCTCCACCACCCATCATCATATTGAGGACACAGACGGCAATAAAATCAGGTTCTTGATGAGAGCAACTTTCAAGTCCCAACACTACGTGTGCTAGTTCAGGTAAACCAGAAGGCCCCGCAAATTGTGGGATTTCACATTCTTCCTGCACCAAGCCACCAGTCCACTGAGCAAATGACTCGTCTACTTTGGATGATCCGGGAAGAACGAGATCACGGTTACTCTCCCAGATTGCCTTTTCATCCACAAAATACCTGCAATATATACAGATTAGTAGTTGAAAAGAGCACAACATTCGATGTAGTAGATTCAAGTGAATATGTACTTTTGGACGCTCTCTACAAGACGATCATGGTCAACACCAACTCCGGCAATGACCATTCTTGAAGGAGTGTAGTGATTTTTAAGGTATGAGAAGAGAAGTTTCTGATCAATCTTTTGTACATTTGCCTCAGGACAAAGCTTTGGTAAACCTAAGGTATTGTCTCTGTATGCAGCCTGAAAAAGTAAGAGTCAGCATTAATTGTAGAATGGAAAGAAACAAGTAAGAATCGAAAAAGTTGTCCAGCACTCACAGCATGTATCATATCCATGAGCAATGTTTCTTGTTCGGGTCTCATCCCTAATGTTTCCAGTTCAAATTGAATTGCTTGACGAGTGACATCAATCTTCAAAAGAGATATTAGTCAGAAAAGTAACAAAAAACAAACAAACTGTACACATTTCTGATCTGTTACAATTATATCAAATTTACCTCCGACGCAGAAATCTGAGGTCGCAGAACAACTTCGGCTAAAATATTAGTAACGGCATCAAGCCCTCTACTATCTGCAGAAATGGCGTAAACAAATGTATCCCTAGAAAAAAAAAAGATGAATAAAACCTGCCATGGATACATACTACAATTGAAACTAAAACTCATGTAAATGACGTACCTTGAAGATTGACAGTCAAAGATACCCCCATGGTTTTCTAGTTCTGCCATTATTCTATTTCTATCTGAATAAATAGAAGTTGACTGCAACAAAAGTTAAAGTTCAATACAGTTTCTGTACAGAGGCCAAAGATATCTGAGATTCTTAGAGGATAGATGGTATGATAGAATGGATAGAGTCAATCAACATACATTAAATGCAAGCTTTTCCAAAAAATGTGACACTCCACTTGGATATGCAACTTCATACCTAGAGCCAGAATCAATAACAACTGTAAAGACAAGACACAAAAAATTAGAACTAGTTGAAATGAAGACATCCTGGTAGTATCAGTCCTTGAGAGGGACACACCTCCAACTGTACAAAACTGCCCAAAGCGAGTTTCTGATGCTATTCGCAGTCCATTGGGAAGTACTGTGTATCTAGTTTGAGAATTATCCTCTTTTACTTTGGCATAATTTGGCGTAGGAATGCCTGGTAATGGTTCTGACAACGGTGGCTGCTTGCATCCCAACTCTGAACGATCAATAGGTACTTTAGGTGGGTCTGTTTGAGTTGCAAAATGACGACTATTCCAAGAGAGTCGTTTCCTGTAAGAATTCAAGAGGCAGAGATTATGAAAGAAGTTGACATGCCAAAATGACCAGAAAGTGTTAGACGGTTTAGATTCAAAATGACAAACTGTCATACTTATATCCTTTTATGAGAATTTACAATATAAACTAAGACTATGAGTTACATGATGTAAGGTTGAAATACACTTAAGTTATTTTCCTTCTCAAAAAAAGTAGTAACAATAAATACTCACGCTTGCTTAGCTAGAAACCTGGTCCCAACCTTTTGGAACCCAACAACTCTACTGGCCATTTCTATATTTGAATGTAATGATTCAACAAAATATAATATTGAAAAAAATAACACATGAGTTGCCTCTCCAGCAGAAGCAAAGAGGTTATACGCCGCTTGAAGGAAAAAAGAACAAGAAACAAACTAGAACCTGCAAATAGGTGCACCTCCTGTGAATAGTATCAATTTTTTCTGCCAATACCCGAAACCATGGTTTTCCCGTCGAGCTGCAACTGAACGACAACAAAGACTGCACCCGAAACTTTACTGAAGCGTATTTCTTTCCGTTGGTTAGACGGAAAAAAATCTTGATTCGATAAGGCTTTGAGGTGATCTCCTGTGAGATCTGTCTCCGAAATCTAAATTCCATCATACACTCCATAGATACTTTTTTATGTTGGTACCCACGGGCACTGCCTGCCACAAGTCGACATTCGCCCCTTTCCCTTTCACCTTTCAGCTGATCCGTCACTGCTTCGCTTCGCTTCACACCCACGAACTGAACTGTACCGAACCAACCCGTCCATCCATTGAAAATGGCTACGATGCTGAAGAGCGGAATTCTTCCTCTGGAAGCTATTTTCAGAAGAAGTGGAGGCAAGGTGAGGTCTTAAATGTGCCCATTTTCCTAGAGGACATGTCTGGAATAGAGTTTTGGCATGGTCACGGACGTTTCTTTGGTTACGTTGCGCATGTAGTATGTGATCATGTTACTCCTGTCACCTTCAGTCTTTCAGTATGCATACTGCAAGGATAAAGGTCAAGCCAGATGTCTTATCAACAGATTGACCCCTTCATTGATAGATTTTGTCTTTCATCTTAGTTATGAATTGCACACTGAACTGGTGTCATGGTTCAATTTATTTTACCTACAATTAAGGAAGGGCTTGGTACTTTTAGTTTCAATTACTTTTCTGTACCATGTCTACAAAAAAAAAGTATCACTATTTCATTGCCTTCAAACTTCCTATTTTCTTATTGAGATGTCTGCTATTTCTGTTTATTGTCAAGGCCATTTCAAATCATTGCCCCCTCAGTGTTCAATAGAGCCTTACTATCTTTACTAGTAATAAAGTTTTGTTGACACTAATCTGTCAAATAATAATAAATTTTTAAATATTTCAGCTTTTGGGTGCTGCAACATCACTGCCGAACCTACGTCAACCTCAAAGAAACCTAAACTTACATGAGCACATGAGCTACACCTTCCTCAATGAAGCTGGAATTGAAACACCTAAATTTGGCGTTGCTAAAACCAAAAGCGAAGCCCTAGATATTGCCAATAAACTAGGAACAAAGGACCTTGTAGTAAAGGCTCAAGTTTTAGCAGGAGGCAGAGGTAAAGGAACCTTCAAAAATGGTTTCAAGGGTGGCGTCCGAATGGCGTTCAGGTAAACTATGACAACTTCATTTATGTATTATTATATTGACGCTGTTTTGCCTAAATATCCCTTGTTTCGTTTTTGAAAAAAATAAAATAAATAACAGCCCTGAAGAAGCTGCTGATTTGTCAGAAAAAATGCTGAATCAAACGCTAGTTACGAAGCAGACTGGTGAGAAGGGTCGTATTTGCAATGCAGTTATGGTTGCGGAGCGCAGCTACCCTAGGAAGGAGTATTATTTCTCCATCATGATGGAAAGAGCATTCAATGTAGGTTTCCTTCTTGCTGATAAATTTACCCATTTATCCATTCATCTTTTTAATAAAAAAAATTTATTTAACAGGGCCCAGTTGTTATTGCCTCTAGTCAAGGTGGTGTCAATATTGAGGATGTAGCTGCTGAGAACCCTGATGCCATTCTTTATGAGCCAATTGATGTCATGGCAGGTAAGCTTTGCAATGTTACCAATCACTTGTGCACAATACCACAAGTCTTAAATTCATGTATGTCTACATATAATAATGTTTGTCCATGATTTTAGGTTTGACTCGTGAGCAAGCGCTGAAAGTTGCTGATAAAGTTGGCTTGAAGGACCAGCGAGACAATACTGCTGAAATGCTTCTTAAGCTATATGATCTCTTTCTCAAGAAGGATGCCTTATTAGTGGAGTTGAATCCATATGCTGAGAATGCTGATGGAAGATGTAAGAAGTAACTCCTCTTGTTTCCCATCACTCCAAAAATATTGTTTTATTATATTGCATACTTATTTTCAGACTTGACACTTGATGCTAAAATGAACTTTGATGATAATGCGGACTTTAGACAGAAGGAGTTGTTTGCAAAGAGAGATTTAACCCAACAAGATGAAAAAGAAGTTGAGGCATTGAAGTACAACCTTAATTATATTGCTCTTGATGGTGAGTCCTCATCTGCTGTTAGTTGTTTGTAAATTGTAAGGATTTAAAGTGCTAATAAAGTTATTTTTTTATCTAATAGGAAGCATTGGATGCTTGGTGAATGGTGCGGGTCTTGCAATGGCCACTATGGACATTATTAAGCTTCATGGAGGTAACCCAGCTAACTTCCTTGATGTGGGAGGTGGTGCCACAGCTAACCAGGTCAAAGAGGCCTTTAAGATTATTACTTCAGACCCCAAGGTATGTTTTGTGAAACCAATATATTTTTCAGATTGTCTTCTAACAGAAGCTGTTATTATAAAAAGCCTCTATTTTCTTCCAGGTCCACACAATTCTTGTCAACATTTTTGGCGGAATAATGCGATGCGACGTCATTGCGGAAGGTATCATTGCAGCGTGCAAGGAACTGAACCTTACTGTGCCAATTGTCTGCCGATTACAGGTATGGCGAAGACAGTGTGCATGCTGCATTATAATGCACAAATCTACTCTGTTATCTCTCTTCAACATCAATCTTTTTTTTTTTTTTTACAGGGAACAGAGGTGGATACCGCAAAGGTTCTTATTGCTTCAGCGGGATTGAAAATCCTTCCCACTGATGACCTTGATGAAGCTGCACGGTTGGCTGTCAAGCTTTCAAATATTGTTGGAATGGCACGTTCTGCAAACCTCAATATCAACTTTGAGATTCCGATTTGAACAGGGGTAGGTAAAGTTTCAAACTGATAAAATTTTTGTTGGGAAGCATTCATTTCATATTAATAATTATTTTATTTTCTTCCATGTCTAGCTGCGAGATATCATCAAGCATTCTTATCATGGCTGCTTGTATCACACACTGCTCTTCTAATTAAGTGATTCAATGCACAGAGACATTTTTTCTCAGTTTGTTTTTTGTAATGGATTCCAGGAGAAAAACAACTCTAATTTATTGTGTACAGAGTGTCCTTTATGAGAAGAAAAGTTACCCTAAAGCACGGGACAACTTGTTCTCCATGCTTTGTCAGCACTTTCATTTTACTTCCTCTTTTATTATTATGATGTGAATTGTCTGGTCAATCATCACTTAGTGTTGTTTAAGATGCTTTTAGACCTGTTCTTATATTTTATGGTTATACTGTACATTTTTCCTGTAAATATGGCTTATTTCTCCCTGTTATCTATGTAGCTTTCATGCTTTAATAGTCCCTTATGCTAAAGAGGCCTCGCTACTTGTCATTGCTGCTAATTGTAATTTTTAAAATCATGTCATGACATTTATGCATTTTGTGATGATGGGTTTATAAGTGTTTGTTAAATGGCACGCTTTTAATTTGATATTTTCTGCTCCCACTGCCATTTTAGAAGAATAAGCTGCTTCTGTCATTAGATCAAAATTCCATCTTGTCTCCCCTTTGCAACCCGGAAATTTATCCATCAAATGTGTTTTGCATTGGTATATTTTACCTTTTAAATTTTATTTGTTGTTACATTTATAAGAATTTAAGACATGAACTTGTCTGGTAAGGGTATTGATAGATACCTTCCACAGTTCTGTTTTTCACTGAGGCTTTATCAGAAATACTGTTTCCAATGTTAAGACTGTTTGGTTGAGCAATCTGGCTCTTAAATATAATTCGGGTTTTAATATGGCTATGGTTGTGAAGCGCTAAGTTCCATTTCTTGGTGAAGCAACGAACACTTATTTTATCAAATTGTTGATTAAGCCAGTTCACATTTCCCCAGTATTTTCCCTTACCATGAATCGATTCCAAAGATTTGATTTGTACAGAGTTGTATATGTGGGTGTGAATATGTACATTTTGTGAAGTATTGTTCTATCCATGAGATGTGCAATAATACTCATTTATTTATATTAGCTAATTCAGAATGATGTTTATTGTGTAAGTGGACAACCCACCCACAACTTTTGAAGTGCACTACTAGCTCGTAACTTACTATACTCCATCTACTTGAATTCATGTGATTTCGTGTGTTGGACACAATTGTTGCTATCAGTAATAAAGATCAATTCATGGTAGTTTTTCTGTTTATTAACTAACTCACTTACTGAAATGGACACTGAAGTTTTAATTTTCTTTTTTTCCTTTAAACTGTCTTGAAACAAACTTAGAAGCTGCTTTACATCCTTCATAACATCGATGTTTTCTCTCTTTCAAGGGAATTTTAGATTTGTAAACAAACGCTCTGGATTGTATACTTAAAGTTAGACCTTCACTGCTAAAGTTTGTTTTCACAACATCTCCTTCTGACTGAACCAAAATGGGCAACACTTCTTGCATCCACAGCATAGCATTAAAGTTTTCAGACACAATTTCCTATTGAAACAGAGAGAAACAAGAATGCAATTCACATTGAGAAAAAGTGTAGTCAAGAGATAAATTCAATGAAACAGACCTGAGGAACACAGCAGCGAACCTTCGTTTCATTTTCGTGTAAAGCAAATAACATAACGGGACCATTAACTAAGCGAGTATACTTAGAAAGTAATATTTTCTCCAAACACTCCGAGAGTGGAAGATAATGAACCACAAAATTTGCATTTATGGCTTTCCTTTTCACATCAAATTCAGTGGCAGCCCTTGAAAGAAAGCTCAAGTAAGTCCCTTGGTGTATAATTGCACAGGAAACCGACCCAAAAGATAAACATATGACAATAGAAATACATACCTAGCCATAGAGTGAATTTCAGACAATCCTTCTCGAACACCTGTCAAAGCCGCATCATAAGTTAAATATGAAATCCTTCTGCTGTTTTCCAGCATAAATTTTTTGATGCTATTGTATGTGTCATGTACTTTGATGATCTGAAACCATAACGCCTAGCTTCAAAACACAATGGTTCACAAAGGGCAGAAAAATTAATTACACCCTTGAAGTAGGAAATCTTACCGCATCAAAAGTCGACTGACGTGTTTGTAAATCAGTAGAATTTGAAGATATTAGATCGTGAACAGTTTCCCTAACAGCTAAAACTTGTTTTAAAAAACTATTGACATTTTTTGACAAAGTAATGCTATTTCTAGATGCTTCTGCAGCGTCTGGGCCAGTGAGAGCACAAATAACACTGGCCTTTTTTGTCAGGATGACCTCCGAAATGCAGAATTTACCAATGTCTTTTGTGTTCATAATGTGAGTTCCACAACAAGCCTCCCTAGATGATAAAAAAATTTGGTACATTTAGAAAGAGATGTTTATAAGAAACTCAAAACAAGGACAAATATTGCAGAACCTACCTTGAAACGATTTTGTTCCCTCTCTTAACATCTATGATGTGAATGTTGTCAACCGGATATGTTTCATCTGGTAGAACTGTTGTACCAGGTGGTATGTCCCACGAATTTACAGAATATCTACTAACCGGCAGTTGGTCATCAATAGAGTATTGTATTGATTCCTCCAGTCTCTTGACCTCTGATAATAAACACACAGAATGTCAGAAAGCAAATGAAACAAGAGCTAAGCTCTTTCAAGATTGTTAAAAATTAATTTTAAACCGATAGATTAGAAAAAGGTAAAGGGGAAAAAAACGTCTCACCTTCAACTGTCAATTTTTGACCATGAAGATTGTATGCCATTTTTACATGAGATGGATTAACTGAGCATTTTTCTTGAAGAGGGGCATCAAAAATTTGTTGCATGCTAGCCGTAATAAGATGAGCCAGAGTGTGATTTCTCATACAAGCCATTCTTTTCGCTTCATCTATCTTTGTAATCACACTATCACCGACCGTCAGGCTGTAAATCCGTAATTCAGACTTGAACAGTGAAGAAAAGCACATTCAGCAACCTCACATTTCAACTTACGTTCCATTTAGATTGCCATAGTGAATAACATATTTCCCCACTTTGGAGACTTCTTTAACAGACAGTGATATTTTTCCATTGCTTGAAGGAACTAGAATTTCTCCCTCATCAGAAGCTTGGCCACCAGCAGTGTGGTAAAAATTTGTGCAGTCTAACACCACACCACACTCACTACCTCCTTTAGCAGATTTTTTTAATGATCCGTCTTCCAGTATTCCAACAACCTTTGTAGATACTGATGGAAAACTATATTGATCAGCATATGGGCTATAATCATACTTTGCTAAATCATTTGTCTTTGCAACTTTTCCTGAGTCTAATAGTCCCACAAAACTGTCTGAGGAGGCAACAAACTTTGTTGCAGTTGATAACATGCTCTGTTGTCTTCTCTTTTCAAATTCTTCTTCATAGTCTTCAACAGAAAATGTCTTTCCTGCCAAATATTTTATAAAAAAGGGATAAAATAAATGAACCAGCGGGCAAAATATTTTATAGTTTCCAAATTTTTTCCCCATCTAGCCATAGGGGGACAAAGCCACCCAAACTAGCAGGTCTCTTACATCTGATTCAAATTTTGACTTATGTTACATGAAAAACAAACTAACCTGATATTTTTGCCATTTCCCCTATTAATTCAGCACTCATACCATGTGATTCATACATGTGATAAGCCAATGCGGGGGACACCTTTGAATTCAAGCCATTCGTACTATTCATTTTACGATAGGCGGCAGATAGTGCACTTCGGTTTGATCCAAATACTAAAAGACTTTCCAACTCTGGTTTTGATTTCACTAAATGAACCCAGTTCTTTGGAAATTCTTTTCTTACAGCTTGATAAATTTCAGCCTCATGTGAAATTGTTCTCTCAACCTACATAAAAAATTCATAGATGAGTTTGAAAGATTTTTTAGTCATAAAATCTAACACAAGAACAATAAATATGTCACAAAATAAACCTTGGCCAAATTTTTCCCAATTTCTGGGTATACGGAATGCAGTGAATCAGCGACATAACTTGAGAGTTCAATAAGAAGTGGTGCTCCTGTTCCCTCTTTCCCCATAAAATTGTCACTGATTTGCAGAGCCCTTCTCAGTACCCATCTTAGTTTACATCTGCGGCCAAAAGAAAAAAAGAAAAAAAAAAGAGTTTCAAATTACAGCAAAGTGTTAAGTATAACTGAACACAATCAATATACATGACTGCACTTACTCAAGGTGGGGAAACACATTATCTGCAATAGCAACTGTGAGTAAACGAGCATGATCTGCTAGGATTCGATATGATTTATCTTTCTGGAAAGTTGAATCATTTTCATCAAATGAATGGGAGTATGGGTCACAGCCTGAAATCTATAAAGAAAACAGGAGTGTCAGAGACATTAATGACACTGAACTTTAAAAAATTCATCAGTCAAACAGCCATTAAATACCTTATGTATGGCCTGTATTAATGGTGTGAAGAGGTCTGTGTCATAATTGGACTTGACACCATTTAGTAAAGCCACAAGCCTTTCAAAGCCCATTCCAGTATCAACATGAGAATATTTTAGTGGAGTCAGTGACCCATCTTTGTTTCTGAAAATTAGAAAGGCACATTAGCCTGCATGGATTTTGAAGTTTCTCTTTAAAGCACTACAGATAACATTACCTGTTAAACTGAATAAACACAAGATTCCAAAGCTCTGTGAGGTCGGAGAATCCAGCATTTACCCTAGCTCCAGCATTTGTTCGGTCTGGAACGTGATCGACATGAATTTCTGTACATGGTCCACAAGGACCAACAAGGCCCATTTCCCAGAAGTTGTCACTTGTGCCAAACGGTAATATATGACTGTCTTGAACCCTAAAAAATTTTAAAACATAAATTTAATATATATTTAAATTAATAATAGTATAGTACAGAGAAAGTAGTATAAAAAAATGGCATTACCCCAACTGCCTCCAAATATCCTTTGTTTCATGATCAGGAGGTAGTCCCATTTGACCATCACCTCCAAAATAAGTGACATACAATCGAGCAGGACTCAGCCCAAATGGCCCGGTTAAAAGTTTCCACGCCATTTTACAAGCCTCTGCCTAAAATTTGTACTCAGTTTATTAGTTGATGAAAAACATGAGATACAAAGCCACAATGCAAGTCAAATAAGAAAGAAATATACCTTGTCACAACTTCCAAAAGACCAACTTCCAAGCATTTCAAAAAATGTATGATGATAACCATCCAGACCGACTGCATCCAAATCATTGTGCTTTCCTCCAACCCTAGCACACTTCTGACTGTTTGCAACTTTAGGGGCTGGAGGCAAATGTTTTCCTTGTAGCACAGACTTGAACTAACACATTAAAAAGATTAGCAAAGTGGACCTCAGATTTTAGGTGACTGTCTGCTGATGCCAAAAGTGTTACCTGAACCATTCCAGCATTAACAAAGGGAATAGTCTGATCACTTATTGGTCTTAAAGGAGATGAGCGCAAAAACTTATGACTGTTTTCATTGACAAAATATTCAATGAATCGTTTTCGCACATCAGACGAAGACCAATTAACATCAGAGCTATAAAGCCGAGGGAGAAAGTGGTTGGTAACTCTAACTCGGCGACAAAGTGAGATCATTTTGAAGTCGTTCTTTTAAAACCTGTAATTTTAATCAGAGAACAGAAGAAGTTCAGACACAAACCAACTACTGGTGCAAAGGTATTGTCATGAATATTCCTACGAAACAAAATGTGCGAAATTATCAAAAAAGAAGAAAAAGGCATATTAATGAGAAACTAAATTTGATGCTGACGTGACAAGTTAAATACGTTCATCATCGCTATTTAATACAACCTAGCAGCCGACAGTCGAATACATGCCTAAACTTGTGCACAGGGAAACATAACCTTCTGTACACATCAAGTTTAATCCGTTGACAGTATAAAGCGCATCTGTCAAGCTGAAAATGTCTACTCGGAAAGAAACTTAAGGTGATACATTTTTGGTGCCGCCCTAAGCAAGAGCAAATTATACATTTACGTCCAAATAAATAAATAAAAACAGATAACACAGAAGCGCCTTTGCAAGAAACGGCCCAGTTGCGGATCGCGGCTAGTGTAGTGGTGGGGGAAGGCGGGAGGACGGGAGGGGGAAGTTCCAGTGGTGTGTGTGCAAGGTGCGAGTGCGAGGGTGGGCGGACGGATTCTGCCTGGACCAGGACAGGAGTCTAGGGAGATCAGTCAAAGTGTGATTGTGTGGACTTTCTGACGCGAAAAATCTATCGTGGCATTTTCAGCCTGGCCGCTACTTCACGAGGAGCGACGCGTTGAAGAAACTAAATCTGGTGTAGTTTGATTCCCGCCGTGAGATCAGAAGAGAGGCAACCCGCCCGACACAGGGTAACCTAGCGGACCTAGCGGCGGGCTACTTTGCCAGTAAAATCGAAGTCGCCCTTCACGCGGAAGGTTTTGTAAATCGACTCCGGTCTGTCATGTGGCTGGGCCCGTCCTCGGGGAAGCCAAGTCCATTCAGGAAGCCAAGTCCATTCAGGAATCGCGCTGAAATGCGAGACGCTCCGCAGGTTCCGCGGGCCTGACCGGCCTGACCCCGCCAACAAAGGGAGAAGGCTTCCACGGCGCACCGCGGCGCGCGCAGCCGCGGGATTCGAACAGACGAACGGCGTGGCGGCCGGGCTGGCCGGGCTGGCCGGGCGTGCGGCAAGAATGGCAAGAGAGGCGTGATTTCGGCCGCAGCACCGCCAAAGCCGCGCCATGAGTGCCAGAGGGAGCTCCGGGAGCGCCAGAGGCAGCACCGAGAGTCCCAGGAGGAGCAGCGGGAGTGCTAGGAGGAGCAGCGGGAGTGCCGAGGAGAGCAAGCTAGGTAAGTACGTGTCGGGGACGTCAGCGGCCACGTCCGGCGCCGCGGGGCCGTGGCCGCAGTGGCCGCACCGAGTCGCATTGTTGGTCAAAGGATCCGGAAGATCCGTCCTTGTCCGTTTCCCGGCCGCAGCCAGGGCCAGAGCTCGGGCCCCACCGGCCGCTCTAGAATTTCTCTAGGACTCTTCAGACAGGGAAAGTGAGCAATGAAGGCGTCGCTTCATTGGCGAGCGAGGGGTGGCCGTCATGAGAGACAATAGGTCTACTGGGGCAAGCTTGTCGGGCAGTGGGAGTGGAGGGCACCGAGCCAGCAGCGGAGGGGGCATCAGCTGTGGCTCGGGGGGACGGGGGACGGGCGGGCGGCGTTTAGGCCCGCCGGGCCCGCTCCGCTCGCGTGGCGCTCTAGCCTGCTCTAGCGCACGCCGCTCGGCGGCACGACGCTGCTCTCCGCGTTGCTCCGCGCTTCGCCCGCGTCAGCCTTCAGCCTGCCAGCAGCTTAGTTTTTCACCGGCCGCGCTCCGGGTCGTGTCGCGCGCGGGCTCGCGTCGGGTCTGCCTGGAGCACGGCGACGTCGAGCGCCGTGCGTGAGTTGTGCGAGGGAAGCCCCAGTGGCGCGGTCGTTGTACAGTGCAGGCAGCCGCGGGCCGCGGCCCAGAGCAGCCAGAGGCGGCAGAGGCGAGGCAGTGGGCGGATCCTCGCCAATCTGGAGCTTCCGGCCGCGGCAGCCGCGGCACTACGTCGTGGATATAGTCGGCCGTCGGACTGCAATCGGGTCGGGTCGGGTCGGGTCGGCCTGGCGGCGCGGCGCGACTCGGCCAGCTCGCGTTTCGCCCGTCGCTTTCACATCGCCGCGGCTGACTCGTACGCGTTGTCAGCTGGAGCCTGGAGCGGCGGCTCGCCTTGAGCGCTCCAGCGCCCGCTTTGTCGCCACGTTTGTATCCTAAAGTCCCTCACCGTCGTGTTTTTCGATCAGTCCCGGTCCCCCAAATGAATCAATAGGACACGCGGGTGCATTGTTGGCGCTGTCGTGTCTGCCCTAGGCTGCCCTGGCCCTGGTGGCAGCCGACCGCGCGCCGGTGCATGATTCAGGAGCGAGGGAAGGCCTCTGCTTGGCTGCGGCACGTCATCGTCGTCATCGCCGTCGACGGACGCCATCTGCCGCCAGCCTGCTGCGCTCGACGGCCATCGGCCATCCCATTACCCGTTAAAACGAATGGTCGACGCGTTCGCTCAAAATCGCACACCTCGGGACGGCGGCGTGGGGAGGGGCCGGCCCGGTGCGCGAAGATAGTGGGCCGTCTGTTCTGGCTGGCCCGCGCTCGAACCGCGATATGCAAAGGCATGCAAAAAGAGCGGTGCGCCGCTAGCAAGTCGCAACGTTTTGTGCACCCCGCGCTGCAGGTAGCCGCGGGTTCGATTCCCCGTCGCCGCGCCGGGATTCACGCGTGTCTTTTTGTCGGTGATAACCCGCAGGCGCTTGATGGCAGCACGGCAGTCGCCGCCCCCACTTTACAAGCGGATGCCTGCGGCTGGATGGCTGGCTGCGGCTCTGGCCAAACATCAACAACAACATCGACAACAGCGCCAAAAGATCTGCCGGCTGGGCGACGCTGGGCCGTGGCGTTATCTGATAATAGCCGTGCCAGAGCCAGGCGAGCCGGGCGAACCAGGCAGAGCGGCCCAGGCCCATGGCTCGGTGAGCTGAACCTGAACCCCGCTGCTCCGACGCCTCCGACGCCGCAGAAGGCAAGGCAAGACAGCGCAGCCGGCGCGAGGGACCGGCCAGTCAGCTGTCCGGCGAGGACGGCAGGACGTCGTCGGCGTCGTCGCGGGTAAACAGCACCGGCCCCCTCCACCACGTCGCCGAGTGCCTCATCGTCGCGTACAGCCTGCTCGGCCTGCTCACCGATCAGTCAGTCCCTTGGCAACGAGAGCGGGCCCCAGCAGGGCGGCGGGGCGCCAACGACTTCTTCTTGACTCGAGCCGGCGCCGGCCCGTCCGCGGCAAGACGCGCGAGACGCCGCAGCCATGGCCCGGCGTGTTTCCGTCTCGTCGGTCAACTCCGAGAAGCGGCTCGGTGAGTGAGAGCGGGGCCCATTGGGTGACACTGGGGCACTTGGTGGCGGTCTGTCGTCTGCCAGTGTCGCGCAGGTCGGACTGGCACTGAGCACGAGCACGGCTCCACGTGAAAGTCACGTCCGTGGCGTGGGAATAACATTGAGCAATGCCTGCTTTAGAGAGCAAATTTCTTCGATCGCCTTTTCAGGTTTTTCTTCGTTTTTATCTGTTTGTTGTTGTCATTCCGACGATGATCTTTCTGGAGTAAAGTTGGGGCTGTTTTTGATGGGACTCGGGTACCCAGATTTCCGACCTCGACACCCCCTCCACTTCTCCGTCTCGATCGCCGCGCCGCGCCCGGTGGGACTTCCCTGTCGCGCAGCTTCCCTCCGTGAGTCATTCTCTCTCGGTCGTTATTCCTGGTCCTTCTCGCTCGTTATCATCGGGCTCGTTCGAAGTACTGCATCTCTCTCTCTCGCTCGCTCCCACCAGCACCACGAGAATTGCGACACGAACGCGTTCCGGGCCCACCCTAACTAGCTTGTGATATATGCGTCTATGCCGTAAGCTGTGTCTTAATCCTGCGGAGTCAATTTCCTGTTTGCACTGTCATCTTATCATCCGCCACAACGTTGCAAAAAAACGAGCCGCGAGCTTACTTATCTAATTCGGGATGCAGGTGAGAGGCGATAAGGCTGACCGCCATATGCGCCCCGGCTGAATTGCGCTCCGATTGCCCGAGTGGCTTGTGCATCTGACGTCTGAAGCGTCTGACGGCGTCGCTCGGCTTCCTTGAACCGCATCGCTCGAAAGGCGCCGCTTAACCACGCAGTCTTTGAACCCTGCCGTCCAGGCTCGCCGAAAAACGACCACAATTAATCTCGGCCTGTTTGCCGGGGCCCCATCAAGAGATAGTGGCGCAGCCGCAGTGACGCGCGTTGTGTCAAGTGCGTTGCGCTTGCACCGCACTTTTGGCTCGAGTTCGTCGAAGTTCCGCGATAGCATTATTTTGCAGTGTTCGAAAACACCGGCAGCACGCGACCGTGAAGGCCGGCGGCCTGTCGCGGCGGCGCCCTGGCTGCAGTCCAGGACGCCGCTGGAGTCGCGGCGCTGGTGCAGAGTCAGTGCAGCGAACAAAGAACCGCCGCCTCGCCTTTCTCTCTGCAAACGGCGTGCTACCCGGTACCGCCCCGCCCGGTACTCGGTGACCTTGGCCGTGCCCCCCACCCCTCTCCCCCTGCTTTGCTTGAGGTGCGACTGACACGTCACCGTCGCCACCACCATAACGCCGCTGCCATTGTGACAGCCCGGCGCTTTGCCTCTCTCGCACTCGTGGGACTTCCCTTGTAGGTGCGAGAGAGGCAGCGCTCTGAAAACGACTCTCTGCTGGACGGCGGCGACGTCGGTCGGCCCCAGGCAGTGTCACGTTCAGCGGACTGAGCATCCTTCTTGCTCGCGCTCAAGGGAAGCCCCGTAAAGGCGCGAGAGAGAGAGCGACGGCCACACTGTTGGGATCGGCAGGCGCGGTGCGTGCGTGCGCGCGTGACTCTGCACACGGTGCCGGCCGGCGTGCGGGGCGTGCGGGGCGTGCAGGTGCGCAAAGTGTCGGTAAAGTGCCGTATCAATGGCGCGACCGCGGCATGCCGTGCCCTGGGCAGCCCTAGGCCCCGGCCGCGCCGCGTGTCTCTCGCCCGACCGGGAGAACAATGCGCGATTAAAGCGATTAGACCGCAGGGAGTGATTTGGCTCGTTAACGTCAGACCGGGCCGGCCAGTGTGGGGCCCGGGCCTGGGCCGGGGCCTGGGCCCGGCAGCACGGCACGCTTTTAATACTGGCCGCCGCGTGCTGGACGTGTTTGCCCTGTCGGGGGAAACGGCGGCACGCCGACGGCACGCAGCACGCACCGGGACGGCCCCTGCACCAGACTCACTCCGACGCTCTGTCTCTCTCGCACTCGTGGGGCGTTCCCTGGGGGTGCGAGAGAGACGAACGACGGAACGACTGCTCGGAATCGTTGGCGAACGCTGGCCCGCTGGCCTGCGTGGGGTTGCGTCTGCTGGCCGAGTCTGCAGTGTAGGCGCCGCAGAGCACGGCGAGACTCGGTCCTGGATCTTCCAGGACCGTCCTGGTTCTCCTATGCTAAACACACAGGAAAACCAGGACGGTCCTGGAAGATCAAGAACCGAGTCTTACCGTGAGGCGGATCCAGAGGCATAGCCCTTTAGGGGGGCAATTAACACATTTGGCCTACTTACAGAGGGGAAGTACGGTCTTGCCTAACTTTCAGGCGATTACCTAGGTGTGATGGAGGCAAAAACCCCTTGCGCCCCTCCTTCCCCCTGTACCGGCCCCTTCGGCTGGCGTTGTTGACACTCCGGCGCGCCGCGAGTGCCTCATGCTCGTGCGACTCCCGGCGCGATGGTGCGATGCTTGATCGCGATGGTTTGGCGTCCGCCCCCCTGACCTGGCTCTGGCTCGTGCCTGGTCGGTGCATTGGCGGGGACATGCCGCCGGGGCGATGACCCCGCGGCCCGTGGCCCGCAGGGTGTGCATTGCAGGGTCCGCGGGGACTGCACCGCCTGCAGTGTGTCCGGTGGGCCTTGATTGGCGCCATGCACGCCGACACACTGCGAGCCGGAAGCCGGAAGCAAGGGGTTGTGTGGGCCTGGCAGTGTAGGCGCCGCCAGGTAGGCAACCCCCTCTGGCAGGGTGCGCCACGGGACTGCCTACCTGCGAGCGATTGCTAGCTATTGCTGCGGCTGGCCGCTATCCCTTCGGCTAATGTACGTGTCTGTCTGCCAGTGTGTCTGTCTGTTTGCCTGATTGTCCGTCCGCCCGTCCGCATCCCCGGCCAGAATGGAGACCGCTTCCCCTTTTTGTTGACTTGAGGGCGAAACGGAAAGGGCGGCCGGGCTAATGCGATGTCTGTGACGGGGGGCGGACGGGACGGGCGGACGTCAAAACGCCGAACGCGACGCGCCGATCGATTTCACATTCTCCATTCTCCCCCAGGTAATGAATTGGTTAGTCGCTGCGTGGCGCGGCACCGCGGGGTGGGCTGGGTGATGCACTGCCGGGCGGGCCGGGGCGGGGCCGTGCGTCCGAGGGGGCGAGGCTCCTCGGATACGCCCCCGCCAGCCCCCTGAACGCCCCGCGTCCCGCCCCGGGGGTATCAACCCCGTGGTGGACATGTCGGCCTGCAGCGAACGCGCGGTGCGACACGGCCGGGGCAAGTCCCCTTGATTCCCCGCGCCGTCCGCTCGCGCCGTCTCGCCGCCTCGCGCCTCTGAGGCAGGGAAGTCCACCCTATTGGCTCTGCCACGGCTTGGCACTTCGATCGTCTTCGCCGATCCGGCGGGAAGGCGGCGGGATGACGGCGTTGTGTTGCCGGCTGCCGACGGCCGAGGCGTCGCATATATCACTTCCGGCCCCGGTGATGAATGGCGGGTCGGGGGTTCAACGCCCGCCGCCGGCCGCGCCGCTCAAAGAGATTTACAAACGGTTTTGTCCGCTTTGATGTGGAATCGCGAGGGGGGGGGGGCGTCGCCAGCGTGGCGCTGGCCAAACGAGCCGGGTGTCGGAAGTAGGAAGTGGCTTTGCTCTTTCGCCCTCCCCTACGAGGGCCCGGCCAGCCGGCCCGGCCCGTGTGTGGTGGCGAGGCGACGCCGGGCGACACTCATTACCAGCGTGGCCTTAATGCGACTCCCAATACCGGCGCCACACCGACCGACGCACCGCCGACACCGGGATTCGAACCCGCCGCCCCGCGCTCTGCTGGCCATGCTGGCCATTCGATCGCCGGGAGGTCATTCCCCCTGCATGCGAGTAACAAGATGAGCCCCCTCCCCCACTTGAAGACGCTCGAAGTTAATTCTCGGGAGTAGTCGAGTCCCATTATTCGTAGCGCCGAGCGCGCAGCGCACAGCGCGCGCCCTCCAAGTGACGGAGTGACACGTCCCTTGCGCGCCGCGCACCTCCGGGAGGCAAAGAGGCCATTATGCTGAGTGCTGTTTGATTTCGACTGGCGGAATCGACTCGCCTCGCCTCTCCGGCCCTCCGGCTGGGCTGCCGATGGAGGTGTCTGTCGTCAGTGCCTTTGTGGTGGCAGCGGGGCGCGGCGTGGCGGCGTCACACTGTGACACTCGACCGGTCGAAGCCACGCCGCCACGCCGCCGGCTCGGATATCCAGGTGGGATGAATGATTCACCGAGGCGCCTGGAGAGTGCCCGGCGCGGCGACGCGTGCGAGCGTGGCGTGGCGTGCATGTGTGTACACGTGTGTGTACACGCGTGTGTACACTCGGCCCGGCCACTTTGTCGGCCGGCCGGCCGGAAGGAAGCTTTGCTTTGCGTCGCTTTGCCGCGCTTTGCGGAGGGAGGGAGGGAAGTCCCGGGCGGCGCGGGCGGCGCGGGCGGCGTGGGCGCCGGCCAGGTGTCGGCGATTCGGTGTGTCGGCCCGGAAGCGGCGGGCGGCAAGCGGCACGGCGAGGACGCAGGGCGCCGAAGGGCCGGCCGCCTTGCCGCTCAACAAGTGGCTCACGCCCTTCGGCACTGCACTGCTTGATGGCGCCTGAGTGCCTGCTGTACGCCGAGTCATGGAGTCGGAGGACTAGGACTATAGGACCCTCGCGGCCTGCGAGGAGTGTGGGACGTCTACTCGTTTACTCTCGGTCGGTGGGCTGGGCAGCGCGTTGCGTGACCGCCCCCGCCGCCCCGCGGCATCCTTTCTGTGAGCAATGCTCGCTGCCCCGCTGCCCCGGTCCGCTTAGGCTCGGCTCGAGCGGCGCAGTGTTACTTCATCCAGTTAATTCTCCCCGCCTCGCTGTCCCTGCTGGCGCGCTGGCGCCCGTCAGCGCGTCGGCCCGTCGGCGGGGAAGTCCCGTAAGCCAGAAAGACTAGACGCGCGCTATGCCGCACCACCTCCACCACCTTAGCATTGAGGTGCCCCGCCCCGCCCCGCGACGAGGTGGGGACTGTAGAAGTGCCTCTTATACGCCTTGGAAGTACGCCAGCACGGGGTGTGACTGCGGCAAGACCGACGTCTTGGTGACTTAACTTGCCCTGTTAGAAAACGCCCCCAGGCCAGGACACGCGCACTGCCGTAGACGCCGTGCAAATAGGCGCGTTACCAGAGAGAGAGGAGGGGGAAGGGGGAAAGGGGGAAAGGCTCCCTCCGGTGGGACCTGAATAGGCAACCAACAGAGCCAAACGCCTTGTACGGGCTTACGTGCAAACCTGACAGCGTGTGATTTTGTTCTGACTTGAATCTTGTTTTGTCTCTGTGTGCAGGCAAGCCCTTCGAATATGACCCCAACTTCAAGGGCCCCCGGGACCGCAGGAGCTGCACCGACATCCTGTGCCTCCTCCTCTTCATCGTCTTCCTGGTGGCGTGGGGCGCCGTCGGTTTCTTCGGTGAGTGCGCGGGTCACAGCGGCCCGACTGTTGTTTTTGTCCTGCCGCATTCCGTTTGTACCTCGGGACGAGTCGCTTGAACGCCGTTTTCCACCCCTCCAGCCTACAAATTCGGGGACCCGAGCCGCATCCTGCAGCCGACGGACTTCAGCGGCCAGAAGTGCGGCGTGGACGCCGAGGTGGTCCGGAAGCCGTACCTGCTGTTCTTCGACCCGTCGCTGTGCGCCAGGCCCACCGCCAACGTGCTCGTCAACGGCTGCTCCTCGCCCAGCGTGAGTACGAAAGAACAAAGAACGCTACAAGCGGAGCGACCGGTGAAGCGCCAGGCTAGCGGCCGAGCGTGTCCTGCCTGTCATCTCCACAGGAGCAAGGTAGGCCACCGTCTCCACACCAGTGTGTTGCGGTGCGAGCCAGTGGCCTACCTCGCAGGCGCTAAAGGATGCTGCCGGAGGGCACGATAGGGCAGCTGTACCGAACCCACACGATGAAGCAGGGCTCGTGTGGCGGCACACTGTGGCCTCGGGACAGGGCCCACCTGTGCGCTGGGCCGCCCGCCACATCGCGCATATCGCGCCCTCCCCTGACGTAACCCTCTTCGCTGACGTGCTGGTGCGGCTGGTGCCCTGCAGGTGTGCGTGGACAAGTGCCCCACGGAGGAGTTCTACGCCCCCAACCACTACAACCTCGGCGGCCTGGCCAGCCTGCGGCCCGGCCCGATTTGCCTCCCCAACATCACGGCGCACTCCGGCTCCTCGCTCAAGGCCGCCGTGGAGGCCAACCAGTGCGCCAAGTGGTACATGAAGAGCATCGCACGTAAGTAAGACGCCGACTGTTGTGCTGGTTTACTTTCTAGTTTTTACTGTATATACATTCTAATCAAGTAGAAATGAAAATTGGAAAATGAAACGATTTAGGCGACGGGTTGCGTGAACTGCTCGAAAGATAATCTTACCAGTCTCATTTTCAAGCGCCCTTTCCCTCCTCTTCTTCGTCTTCCCCGTTGTTGTCTCCGTTGCTTTATGTTCGTGCCCTAAAAGTGTCTCGGCTCCCATAACACGTGTGCTTACGCTGTGTGGCTGCTGTTGTCCCACGGTGACATGTTTGTGACGTCCTGTGACGTGTTTGTGACGTGTCGCAGTGGACGGACGGTGCGTGTTGGCCACGGCCGCTGACGTTCGGGACTCGGTCACCATCCGTCTGATCCAGGAGGGCTTCTGGAGGCTGCACACCATGGTTGTCAACTGCCTGTCCCTGGTGTGGCGGAGGGAAGATGTCCAGCAGGTACTGCTACCGCGGCGCGGCGGCTGACGGCCTGCTTGTCGTCGCCGGTGTCCCGGACGCCACTTCGCTGCATGTCCCCAAGTGCACGGCGTCCCACGGTGCTGCATGCTGCATGTCCTTTGCCCAGTTGCACGATGCCCTGTTCCCTGCAGGCGCCCTCACCCTTCCCGTTGCTGTTGCACTTCACTTTCCTTTCCCGGACACCCACAAGCCCCTTGCATGAACAACGCACCGCCTCGGCGCCTGGGCGCCTCGGCGCAGGTAGGTCCAGGCACAACTCGTCTAAGTCCACCCTTCCCTCCCTTCGGTTGTAGTGGGCAAGTATTGCATCCCCGACGCGACGAGCGTGGTCGACCCCAACAAGCCCCTGCATGTGGCGGGGCAGCCGCTCGGCTCCACGACGCTCAAGGACGTCATCAAGGGCAGCAAGCTTGCCTCGGCAACGCAGTGGGCGCAACAGGTAGGGGCATGGCCATGGCCTGCAGGGTGGAGGAGTCACGTCCCGCGCACAGCTTGTAGTTTCGGAGCGAAAGAACCCTTCCAACAAAACCAGATTCCCCGCGCGGGTTGCCTCAAACTTTGCGGCCAGGCTTCTGCCAGTGCCGCTGGCACGCCGGCGACGGGTTCTGATGCAGCCAGTGCCTGTGCTGCTCCTTCCTGACCGCTCTCGTGTGTTCTCTCTCCTCCATGCAGACCGGCGAGCAGATCGTGTCTGACACGGTGGCCTCGTACCCCTTCATCCTGTGCGGCCTGGTGGGCGCCATGGTGCTGTCCCTCGTGTACATCCTGCTGCTGCGCTGGATCACGGGCACCATCGTCTGGAGCTCCATCCTGGTGGTGCTGGCGGCGCTCGGCGCAGGTCGGTGACTGCCTGACTTGGCGTTCGCGTTCTCGCGGCAGCACTCCTTGAACACCCTGTCGATCTCGCAGGCATCTACGTGTGCTACCGGTACTGGGACCAGGTGAGGAAGGGCGCCGCCGTGCCCGACTGGAGCGACGTGCCGGCCGAGCTGCAGACGTGGCTGGACGACCCCACCACGTGGATGACGCTCATGATCGTGCTGGGCGTGGTGCTGGCCGTGCTGCTGCTCATCGTGCTGTTCCTGCGCCAGAGGATCTCGCTGGCCGTGACGCTCATCGAGCAGGGCGGCAAGGCCGTCAGCAGCACCACGTCCACGCTGTTCTTCCCCGTGCTGCCCTGGGCGCTGCAGGTGGCGGCCGTGGCCTACGCGGGCACCGTGCTGCTCTACCTGGCCACCTTGGGCGAGGCCATGTACAAGACCCACGGCCTGGATGGCACTTGCACGTGCACCGGCCTCCCCTTGCAGGTAATATTGGGATTCATTGGTAGAAGATAAGTGCCGCCAAAAAGTTTACCTAATCACAACTGTTTTTGCTTTCTTCGGTTTCAGACGAGTGGGCAACAGTGTTTTCCCAATGAGTTTCGACAGCTGTGCTCCAATTGTGTCGCAAAGGGAGCCTCTTGCTTATTCTTCCGCTACAATCCCCCAGACTACATCAAGTGGCTGCATGTGTACAATGTTTTTGGTGTCATTTGGGCTCTCTTTTTCATATCAGGCATGGCACAAATGATACTAGCTGCAACTTTTGCCACTTGGTACTGGACATTCAACAAAAAAGATGTGCCATTTTTTGTTTTGACCCGCTCCTTTTTCATGTCAATAACGTATGTAAAAGTGTAAATAAGAAAGTTCAGATCAATATAAAAATATGATTCTAATAACACATTTTTGTTTTCAGGTACCACACGGGTACGGTAGCTTTTGGTTCCCTGGTTATATCAATTGTTCGTTTTCTCAGACTAATTCTTGATGCTATTGAGAAACAAGCAAAGCAATACAGTGACAATTCTTTGGGCAAATGCCTTATGTGCTTTTGCAAGTGCTGCTTTGCCTGTGTTGAGGGCTTTCTGAGATTTGTCTCCCGAAATGCATACATTATGTGTGCTGTGCATGGAAAAAACTTTTGTGCCTCAGCTAAAGATGCCTTCAACCTGTTAATGAGAAATGTCATACGTGTTGTAGTTATTGATAAGGTACGAGGGGAAAAAATAGTGAAGTAGATATCCTGGATTATTATAAAATTTATCTTTTAACATTTTGTTTTCAATGTTCTTTTGGCAGATAATGGACTTTGTATTCTTCATGGGGAAGGCACTAATTACTGCATTGGTGTGTACAGCTGTGTATTTTAGCCTTTTGCAGTGGCCACAGCAACTTAACTACAATGCTGTGCCCATCACCATAGCTGGAGTCGGAACATTTTTCATAGCAAGTGTTTTCTTTGGCGTATATAGTGTTGCTGTTGATACCCTGTTCCTATGCTTCCGTAAGTAACTGCCTTAAGGTTCCCTTGCACTCTAAAATTTTGTTCTTACCATCCTCTTAAAATTGCAGTTGAAGACTGTGAGCGCAATGACGGATCTGCAGAGAAGCCATATTTCATGTCTCCCAGCCTCATGAATATCTTTGGGAAGAAGAATCGTCGTAGAGATGCAGAATAGACTGATCAATTGTATTTGTGATTTTGAGGTACCTTTGTTAAGTACTGTCAATGTGATTTTTTTCCTTTCATGTTTTGCCATATATTTTTGTTAATATTAAGCATAACATCCTGACTATCGTGATTTTTTAATTTAGGGATCTGTTGTGTAAAGATATTTTACATGATTCGGACTTATAGTATGTAATAAAACAATATATTTTAACAAAGCTGATAATTTTATTTCCAATGATAGACCTCTAATATAATGTCCATAAAAAATATAATCAAACATAAACTAAACATTTAATTAAACATACATTTACATTCATACACAATCTTCATTATTTCTACTGAAAAGTTGGTTCACAAATGAAGTTTTAAATACACTTGCTCTCCTCGCCTGCATGAATCACTCAATAACAAAATTATTATGCATCTAGTAGATGGGGATACTAAAAAAATTCAGTTATGTCAATGTTTGTTTAAAAAAGAATGTTATCAGTCTTTGAATGTAGCCTGTAATTTGCAAGCAGTAGCAAGCGATTGACTAATCTGCTTGCACACTAACCAATCCAAATTGTAAAATATCCATGTAGGTTTTCATAGTTTCAAACTTTAATGAAGAATATAATTTCTTGTAGTTACAGACTAAAACAAACTGCACAATCTTCCCTGAGACACAATCCTTGGCTACGGAGAATGCTACATAAGTGATAATGTGAAGAGCATCTTTGTCCGGAAAATAAAGAGTATTCTATAGTTACAAATTAACAAAGATAAAATAAGAAACGTGAATAAGTATGAAAAGCGAGTTAAAAAGGAGCCAGAACTCAAGGAATGAAACTCGCCTGAAAAAGATAACTACATATGTATAAATAAAGTGAATTGATAGAATTTCATATGCTAACATGCGGAAAATGTTAACATTCACTGCTGTGGAAATAGAAACTCACAGGCAAATAATAAATCATTGCTTGCCATATGATGTTCAATTAAGATGACTATTCAAAGAAAAGTTAGAAATAATAACAAAACATATTACAACAGAGTCAATGGATAGTATTTAATTAATAACTAGGCTGCTGCTGGTGCTGCTGCTGGGGCTGAGGGGGCTGTTGTGGCTGGGTCTGCTGCAGGTTCGGTCCAAATGAATAGACATTCTTGCTGTATGGGTTAGATCCAGGAGTCTGCTGGGTTGGCAATGGTCCGCTTGGAGGACCACCCATGGGCGGCATGGATGGGTAACGCTGCTGCTGCTGCTGGCCGTAATCTACGCCAGGCTGAGGAGGAAGCTGTCCTGGATGATGAGGTGATGGATGACCAGGGAGTTGTCCCGGCATTGGACTCTGGCCCTGTGAGGGCATTCCAGGCATTTGACTATGCCCTTGACCGGGCAAACCAGGCATCTGTTGACGTGAAGCATGAGTAGGAGAGCCATGTTCAGTGCCAATGGCCCCACCCATCTGAGCGTACGGGGATCTGAGAGGCATACTGGTTGGAGTAGAACTTGGTGGGTATATGGCACGGTTAGCAGTACTTGTCGCTGGTGGGAGTCCTGAGGAGATTCCTGCAGAAGCTCCACCATTCTGCTGAGGAAGGGGTGGCATACCGTAGCCCTGTGGTGCAGCTTGGTATTGGGAGTACTGAGGGTATGGGGAAGGCCGCACTTGCTGAGCTTGAGACGGATCCACCGTGGCTGGCTGTGACTGCTGCTGTGGCATACTCACAGGTGGTTGGTACATGGAGTACTGGCTTGGAGTGGTAGGCACATGCTGAGGTTGCTGTAAGGGTTGATGTTGTGGCTGCGGCGTGACAGATACAGGAGTAACACTTTGAGGAGTCGATGAAACAGAAGCTGGGGCTGCTTGCTGGGGATGAATGTCAGGGGTTGTGTGGCGGCTTGCCTCAGATTGAGTTGCAGCCTCAAGGTTTACCGAATCAACAGCTTTCCCAGTTTTCCCAAGAGGGTCAAATTCTTTGGGATTCAAGGAAACAACACTGTTTGAAGGTGGCTGTCCAACAGATGGTACTTGTTCTGAATAAGTAGGTTTATCAGACTTGGAGGGCTTGGAGGACACATTGCTAAGAGAGGCGTTGGTCAATGAGTCCAGAAGTCGATTCACCTGGTCGCGAATCTGCTGCAGCTCCCTCCGGACTTCATTGACCTGAGTTGCTTGAAGTTGCAGCTGTCCGTCATTTTTCTGATCCCCAACAAGCAGTAGAAGTTTCAGGATGCGACTGTACTGAACAGCAAATGCCAGGTCCGAACTGTCAAAGATTGTAATTAGGTCTCCATCTTCGTCCTTATATTTGATTGTGATATCGTCGGTGCTGTTAAGCTTCCCACGGAAAACTCTTTGCATCATAAGGACCAGTTCGTCATAGGTTATGGCTTCATTGTGAATAGGTATCCGGCGAACGTCATCTCCCAATTGCACCTTAATTATCAACTTGCCCGACAAATCAAGCTGAGGATACTCCGTCTCACTCTTAACAGATGCACTACTCATGATTCTTGTGGCTGTAGCTCTCTTCTGAGGGAATTAACCAAATATTTTCGATAAATTTAAATGAATAACACCAAACAGCGGCGGCCGAAGTCCAAGTCCAGCCAACCAGACGAGACCAGCACCAGCAGACCAGACTGCAAGCCTTCCGGTTCCGGTAGACACGTTATTCCCGCATCTTTCCGCTTCCGCCCCGCGTTGGAAAGAGCGCCAACGCTTGAATAGCGCGAATGAGAGGCAGCCCAAGGCTTCAGGGGAAGTGAAGAAATCAAGACCAATGACAGATTTAAGTTATGCAAAAACTTTTGTAGAATATAAAACAGTATCTAGTCTAGGCTCCACTCGCTTATCTCAACCAACAGTGACACCGTGACGTACCAAGAGTAGTGACTAGTGACCCACCCTACTATTTTAGTTTCTGACCTGGCCGACTACGGCGCTAACGGCCGTGACGCTGACAACCAACCACTCTAACCACAAAAACAAAACAAACATCTGTCATAAACCTTGTAAACCAAGCTTGTACTATTTCAAGTGAAAGTAGTTTGTGGAATTTAATTTCTTACTGTCGAAGAATATAATTGGCTGTTTTCCATCTCATTTTAAATGGATCTGTCAAAAGTGAAGGATGATAGGAAGTTGGAACTTAGCCGCTGGTACTTTAGAGGTAAAACATAATAATTTCCTCCTTTCAACTTGTGACAAGAATGTCTTGTTTCAGGTCAAGGATACCTTGTTTGTACAAGATTGTAATTAGGGTCTTAATGTGTTTGTGTGGAAAGTCACCTATCCTACCATTAAAGCTAAATATAACCTATAACCTCTGATCCTTGTTTGTTCCTCAGGTGGATGGGCGTTTCTGCCTTTCCTATGGGCTGTCAATTTTGTGTGGTTTTACAAAGACGCTTTCAAGAGACCTCCATTTGAAGAGCAGTCACAAATTAGGAAATGTGTGTTTTTCTTGTTTTTATGTATGTTAGCAACATATTACCTTTATCTTATACAAAACATGACACTTTTCTTTATGTTTCAGATGTCATATATTCTGGTATAGGAGCACTCATTTGGAGTATTGCTCTTATAACATGGAATATTATTTTTCAGAAGTATCGTGTTGAATGGGGTGATTTAGGTGATGAACTTACTTTCCTAATTCCGTCTGGTAGCCCATAGGCACCAATAGGGAGTCAATTGTACTACTATTACATCATGACTTGCTTGAATGTTTGTTATCATACACAAACAGCTTAACAGATGAAAGCTATCTCTCCTCCTGGACCAGTTTTTGACCATTACTTTTTAATCATTTAACTTTTAACAATCCCTAAGAGATCTTAGCTCAGTTGTTAATTTATTATTTGTATTATTCAAGGCAAGATAGCCTCTGTGATATATTTTGAATATCTTAAGAGAAATAAAACTCAGTTAATACACAACAATTTTATTAATCACATACATACATTTTGATAGTACACATCAATTTACAGATTGAAAATACTTCATAATTGTGACAATTTTCCATTGTTCTATAAGGACGCTTAAGATTTAAGTTCCAGACTGATGTTAAATATACATAGGAACAACAGCCAGCAACTTTAGTAATTGGTTGCAATGGATGTGATTTTTATAGTTCAGAGCAATTTTAATAGCATTATTGGGCCTGATAAACAGTACTGCTCTCAGCTTACGTAAGAATGAGTATTTCATCACAAGTTATTCTTATTGGCTTCACAAGCTAGAGCAAGTCACCCATTTGGAAAAACAAGCTTTATTACAACTTTCCTCTATTTGTTCATAAGTAATTAGCAAAAAGAACAAGATTGAGGAAAATCAAGTTAACGTCTGTGATTGAATATATCCTCAGATGATTCATGATGATAAAGACCGATCAGTGGCATTTAATGCGCACTTGAGGTAATTTGGCTTTCATTGACTAATCAGCATTTCATGTAATACCACACAATAATTAGGTGCTAACAGCAATAAGACCCATTATTTGAAAATTCAAAGCATGAGGGCATAAACCCTCCCCCATCCCAGCAAAAATTTCAAAGAAGGGATCTTGATACTATCTCTACTCCTATGTGACGTCAATACAGAAAATTGCATCTTAATATAAGAGTTAGGTTTCACAGAAATAGACCAATGCACAATTTAACAAACCTTGCCCTACTACAGAAACAGAGTGTCAGACAAATAGGTTGTGGATACTACAAAACACTTAAAAAGGCACATTTGGCATAAAACAATGAAGTGCCATAAAAGACCACACAGTGCAGAAAGTGCTATCTATAAGTTTAACTAATGTTAATTGACATTAATTGAAAAGTTAAGTTAGCACACTCTACAGCAGTGGTCAATGCATCTACTGTTCAAAACAATAATTAGTACCATCATTCTGTTATTATTATAGCAGTTAGATTGGAAGAGTCTATGTTAAAAACTACATGACACCTATATGAAGGAAAGCAAATGCCACTGTTTAAGGTACACTAAAATCCCAGGAGTACACACAGAAACAGTGGGAAAGGCTTTCACCCGAAAAATGACTATACTCTATAATTATAACTGCCAAAGCATACATCTACAAATCAGCCTTACAAAAAAAAATCCTTTAAGGACAACTAAACAAAGCCCACTATCACTTAAAATAAAATAAGCAGGAAACCCCAAGTGCTCCCCATAACCCTTAACATACGATCACAAACCATACTTTTACTTAGGCTCACTGCATAGTATCACCTCTTTAATCAAAACTAAATTCTAAATGGTTTTTCACAGCACATACATACCCTATGTTTACCACAAATAAATATTAGACTCATTCTTTCTGGGGTTACAAAAGTTAGACTACCAAGAAGCTCATCGAATAAATTTATACAATAAAATGGAATGTACTCAAATGCAACAAGCAATGACTGAATGACTAATTTGGTCCATAGTATTCCAAACAGTTAAAAACAATAGCAAATATATGCATTTGTAACAAAATGTGACAGTACTATGCCCTGAACTGCTAAAGCCAACAAAAATATGAAACATGTAAAATTCACTGGGAAAATGTCTAAAATTAAAAAGAGAGTTCATACTTGAAAATCCAGTGCCATATAAAAAATGAACCCATTTAAATACCAAACGCAACACCAAAACATTGCAATATAAATTCACAATTTTTTGTTTAAAAAACAAAAAGGCACAGAATTACATTTTAATTTTTAGTTTCAAATGTCACATAGAACAGCCTGAAACCTGAAACAGTTTACGTCATAAAATTCTTTTAAAACTTTGAAAAGTAGTTAAACATTAAAAATATTGCTTTACAGCCAATGGGAAAGGCGGATTTACTTTCAAGGATTTCTTAATATTTTGTTAAAGGATAATCTTTCACTTGAGTCTGTTCAAAGATTTAGCTAAACACCAGTATGATAAGATAACCATCAACCACTTGTCCCTTCAAAAGTACGGAGTGCATAATCTGGTGAACAAACTCACAATGAATACAATTGCAAGGCACCCCCTTCACAGATTTGAAGCACTTTGTGATCTGATAGCATTCCTCCCAATTAATCTGGACCCCCTTGTGTTCATCCTTTTCCCAACATTTAACAATTCATGATGTTGCTGCTGCTGCTTTCCCATGATGTGAGGGGCAAAATTGTTGATGCATTTTGTCATATCTTCTAGTCTCCGTGTAAGCAACACGTTTTTCAATCTCTCTGCATTCAGCTCTCTTTGTAATTGAGCCTTGCTTAAATTACCTAAGGGACTCACAAATCTGTGGGTCAGCATACTGAAGGCTGTTGGTCTCCGTTCAGGATTGGGATCTATCATTTCCTAGAGGGAAAAGAAAGAATAAGAATAAGCCAGTGTTGATTAACACCAAATGAAAGTGCAGAGAGCCAAATAAAAACATGAAAACTACTCACTGTCAACAGCTGCCTGAAGTCATGACAATAATGAGATAGCTCTGGCAATTTGCCTTCTCTCAGTTCATGCCATTGTGGTCCATTTTTGGGAAGAGGACCAGCACCAGCAGCTTCTAGCATGGTCAATCCTACACAATTTAAAATAAATTAAGATAGCTATATTAAATGATTACAAAGGAAGGTTTTCACTTCTGAGAAAAGGACAGTACCTAATGCAAAAATGTCAGCTTTTGGTAGGTGCTCAAAATTCTCTTGCAAAATTTCTGGGGATAAGTATCGACAATCTCCTTCTTCAACTTGAGGATTAGTGATAGATGTAACATGCCCCAGATCACCTAGAAACAAATAGGACAAAAAAAAGTTTGTAAAATGTTGCACCTAAAATGAGGACAAAGGGTACTACAGCTATGAAGCATTCGAACTCACCAATTTTATAAGTAACTTCCTCCACTTTATCATCTTCTTCTGTAGTGTCATCTGCAGAGTCATACCCAACTGAAAGCAATCTCTGCTCTCTGCTTAAGAAAATATTACCAGGTTTTATATCCATGTGAACTAGTTTCATGGAATGGATATACCGCAGGCCCTCCCCTATGTGTCGCAACATTTGGCGCAGCTCTTGTTCTGTAAACCGTGTGCCATTCTCCTTATGCTTCTCAATGGCTTGGGCCAAACTGCCTCCATTGCAGTATTCATTCTGGATGATCATGTGGTTATCTTCAGCCCATGCTGAGAAGTACTTGACTACATGGGGATGTTTGCCAAGTACTGCATGAGCATACACTTCATTTAAGGCAACTTTCCTAAAATATAAATATAAAGTAAGTACATACAAGTAGAAAAAAAATTGTGTGTCAATTCACTTCAAAGGAACTGGACCTACTCTTTACTGCTGCCTGTGACTGGGCGAATGCTCTTCTTCACAGCATATTCAATGCCATCTAGCCTTTTAGTGCATTTATAAACACTGCCGAACTCTCCTGTGCCAAGCAATTCGTCCTCAATAAATTCCAAATTATAGCGTGGTATGTTAGCATCACTCAGTGCTAACTTCTTTGTTGGTGGGTCAACATCCATGTCCGCTTCATCAAACTGGGACGCCAAAGACACCTTGATACTTGGGATAGTTGGAGGGACAGTTGGAACAACTGTGCCTGGAGGTGACCTGAGAATTAAAGTCAACATTTAAGACACAGCAGAAAGGCAGTAACAGTTTTAAATTTGATTTGAAGATGATTCCTCAGGAAGAGTAGCAATTACAGCACGCTTTGCATTTTTAATATCCATCACAAAAGGTCAAATTTGAGACTTCTCATACATATCCTTAATGTGAAAGACAACAAACAGCATGTATCCAAGGCCTTAATAAAAATGTGTCCTTGAAATCACATGTCACAACACATAATTTCGTGTTCGCTAACAAGAACTGAGGTAAGTTGAAGACATAAGAAGAGGTAAGCTTCACAAGCTCAAACCAATGGTACAAATTATACCAGGGGTGGTTAATGCAGGTTGGAACACACAACACAAATATCCATTACTGCTTGACAGCTGTCAACCCTTCGACAGTAACAGGAGCAAGTTACACCTTTCATCCAGCTGACAGTGCCTTACAGTGCTACGTTTCCCCAGCCCACATCACCTGTCGCAGTGCCAGCTGGCCAACACTTACCCGCTTTGGTTCATGAGGGCTCGACACCTCTTCTTTGATGTAAGGATCATCCCTGTGGGGGTGAAGGGGTTCAGGTTGACGGCCAGTTTGTCAGGAGGGGCGAGGCTGACGAGGCTGGAACTGGAGGAGGACGACGTTCTGGACTTGTTCCTATCCCAGTCCCTGTCGAGCAGCGGCAACAGGCGGCCCCTAGCGCTGGGGGCGGCCGCTGCAGCCAGCCCGAGCCCTAGCGATGCTGACGGTCCATGGCCCGGCGGCAGGGGCGTAAACGGAGCAGAGCTCTTCTCCAAGATGGTCTTGGGCGTGGCGGGCGAGTCCATGAGCCGCAGCGACTTGACCCGCTTGTAGGGCGGCGAATCGGTGCCGCAGTCCGGCGCCGTGCTGTGGTTCAGCAGGGAGAAGGTGGGCGAGGACATGGCCTCGGGGGACGAGTCCACCGAGCTGTGGGAGAAGTCCAGCTTCCTGGGCAGCGGGTAGGGGCCGCGGCCTGGGCTGTCCAGCCAGTTGGATGTGTCCACCGTGGAATCCAAGTCCTCCTCCATGTCGGCACCGTCATCACCGGTCGAACTCACCGTGTGCACACTCACGTCTAGCATATTCTCAGTCTCTGCCGTTCCTGGCTCGCGCTCCAGTCGACTTGTATTGTGCATGGCGGCGCCAGGACGAGACGGTCGTCGCGCCAGAACAACATTCACTGTCACAAACGCCACAAATTTGGGACACAACACGGAAAACACACAAAGCCTAGGCACGCTTGCTGAAAATGTCGTTATGGCGGGTAAACACAATTCATGATGGCGACGGCGGTTCAAACGACGCCGTTCGTTTGTTTTGAGGGTGCGTTCCAGAAGGCACCCGAGTGTGGTCTTTCCTGGTCGGAGGCGGCGCTGCCTTCCAGAACGTGACTTGGCCGGGAATCCCCGTGCGCGCGTACGCGTCGCGCTTGCGTACTCGCTCCCTCACACTACACTCGCTACAGCCCCCAAGGCTACGGTGGTACGCTCGACGAGAGGCGACAAGCTTATCACATATTGTTTTGAAGGTGTCTGCTCATCCTTTTAACTCTCAGGACCAATTACGTGAGCGTACATCGAAGACTGCCCTTCATTATTGTGCTGTGTGAAACATTGTTAGGTAAAGTTGTTATGGTTTGTCAGAGTTTTTGCGGTTAAGTTGGTGTTATCCGTGCCCTCGTCCGCCCTACTGTACTTGGGCTTGATTAACCTTTTAGAGGCTCTGGCAGTGGCCGTATGTATTGTTATGCAAGGTGTCTTTACTTGGCTAATGCGGGCTTCCTTTTGCTGTGGCTGAACTGAATGCCGCGCTCGGAAATGTCCGTGCTGCTTATTCATCTGCGGGGAATCATGTCGATTCTCTTGAAACGCATGACGGGGATCCCTTGGGGGGAACCCCGTTGTTGAGGAAAGGGTCCTCGTCGATGCGAGTCATTTTACATCTCGAAACGTATCCGATTGGACAGAATTGTCCCTAATAACTGTATTCAATAATGAATTGCGTTAAATGCCAGCCTGGTTATATTTTGTTATTAAGTTTTTAATTTAAAAAATGAAATTTTTTGATTTTGTGTAGTTTTGTGGTGCCAATTTAATTTTCTGCTTTTAAAGGAGTTTTCTTGCTGTTATATGTTACAGGACCCTTTGGCAGCTCAATATATCATATGAGATATGCAGACATTAGAAGCTCTATTGGAGAAAAAAATACCTGATGATTATATGAAAAATTACAAGAAAACAATTCACTCAAAGCTGCAAAACAGTCCCGACACAGTCAGGAGTGAGTCTAACGGATGTGATCAACCCTTGCAAAATGGAGACAATATTGTGATTTCCCCACTAGACAGTCTTGTTTCTCCGAGTCCGGTTGTGAAGACCATGCCCCTTGCTGCTCTGTCTTCTAATGGAGTTGCAGGACATGGGAGTTTCAAACTTGTGCCTTCGCCTGAAGGAGGCATTGCCCAGCTTAAATCAGGTGTATTGCAAATTAGGGCAGTTGGTGCAAATAATAGAATTGTTGGCACTCATAATCGAAGAATTCTCCCAGCTACTAATGGTGACTTGGAGGAAACCCTCAGACTGCTTGCACCGAGTAGCAATGGTGATGGTCGAAAAAAATTTAAAATAACTACTGTGCCTAAAATGGTTCCACTGATAAATACAGTTGGAAATCAATCCAAACTTTTGCCTTTCCAAGCATCTGAGGTTTCACCTCAATTGAAACCTTCCCTAAAACTTTCATCAATATTAGAAGCAAGATTATCATCAAAGCAGGTGGCAGGACCTTCCTCCATCTCCAGTCGTGATCCTGAATCAATATCTTTATCTAAGAACAATAGTGTATCAGAATCACAGGAAAGCTTAATCTTGGATGCATCAACAACTACTCTTGAAAAGGTACCTCAAAACCAAGGTTATACAGTTCAAAGGAATCGGAAAACAACCATTAGTTTTGAAAGAGGAGCGACTAGGATTGTCTCAACAAAGGCGAAGAACACTCAGACCGTAGATATTGGAGTGCAAGTCTATATGCCAGATCCTGAGGAAGATCTTGAAGGCAACCAGGTTCACTTACCAAACCCAATACCGCCCCTGCAACCCATCTCATCAACTGCAGGTAAAATCATTCAAAGAGATGTTGTCGATCATACTGCGTGACCTCCCATTACAGTTTTCTCCACATTTTGTCATGTTTTGTGGTTGTGTTTTTACTCATAGTCTCAGTACTGGTATGATTGATCGCCGTTGTGTATCGACCTCAGGTATTGGGAGATTAACTTAATTAAATACTGGATCTTAAAAGAACAATCACTTGCTTCATTGTCTCTGCTCATTCTCTTGTAAGTATTAACTTATGATGGTTTGTGCAGAGCTTTTGATTGACTGTGAATTGTGCACACTGCATAAACTGTGGCTTGATTTATTCTTTGTGCATGAGCTGTTCACGATACCAGATTAATTATAGGAGAGAGCACTCCAATTTTCTTGTAAAAGAATTTTTTTTTGTCATTTGCTGCTTTAGTTTTCAATGTTGCATGGCTGAAAACAGAGCTTGAGCGATGCAACATGAGATTAAGGTAATCATTATTCGTCTCATCAAATCAAGAAGTCTGGTCTGTAGTTCCGGCTGCATTCAATAAATTATTTATTAAGCTTATATGTTGAAATTGCCATAATGTTTTCTGTCCTATATGAGGACTCCTTTTTGAAGCAAAGGATTGAGAATTCTGTTCATATCTTAGGGTTATCATCTCCATGCATTCTCCCTCTACTTAAGCTCTTTATCTACTGATCAACTCATTACCAGTGACAGTGTATCAAGAAATTACATGTAAACATAATTGCATCAAGGGTGTCTATGCAAGCTCATGTTGGTGCAAACATGTTATTGCAAGTACTTTTTTGTTACAAAAGTCTATTAACTATTCTATGTTAAACCTGACTCAATAATTTGCTGAAACATGGACTTAAATAATTTGTGGCTAGTCCATAATGTTTTTGTAGTCATGTGCACTTTAACTTAAATTTTCTGTTTTAATTATTTATTTTGGAACTGACTACCTTAAAATGATAACTCTTCGCCGTTCCATGCAAAATATGTCCGAATGTGGGAAAATGTTATGGGAAATATCTCGGCGTGCTCAGACAATTTCTCGAATGATGAGAGCAATGGTGTTCACTTGGCCAGAGAGTTTTTAGCTTCTGCTGTATACACTGAAATTTATACAAAAAGCTATTTTATGTAATTAACATGATGTGAGGTAAAGTTATGTAACATTTGTAATTGTGTGCAAACCATCTTGATAATGTAAAATGAGTCAACTGCCAGAGTAAGGTAAGTATCATATCAGTACTGGAACCAGCTTAATAGAAAATGCATAATACAAATTAAAGCTTCGTCTTTCAAGAGCAAAGTTATGGTATTTGCTCCAGAACTGAAAGTGTTCCCCTGGATACCACGCAGAAATTTTGGCATGCATTTTCAACATTAATGGTTTCTTGAGCTGAATGTCATTCAAAAGTTACTCTATCATTTTAAAGTAAAAGATTTGTTGTTTTGAGTGATATTCACTGCATATAGCAAATTGAAAGTTGTTCATGAAAAAGGCATAATTTGTACAAGCTGAGCAGGAGACGCCGTCATGTTAAGTGAGTATGCTGGCTGCAAAACACTGCTCCTCGCCGGCCATAAGGGAGGGAGAGTTCAATGCAGGTGTGTATGGCCAAACTTCATTCTTCTATGTATTGACGGCGTGTCAGTCTCGTCTGGTGAGCCTCCACAAAGTGAGCCAGTAAAATCAATATCGTTAGCATAGTGTATTCAGTTCCATACTTCTTCATATTTAGCTCTTTGAGCAGACGGTTTGCTGGATTGATCTCAAATTTTACTGGGTTATTCTGAGATGTTAGTCCCAGGATCCCTTGGGAGTGTTTCGTGATATTTCACCTGGATCCCGGAAAATAAAATCAATGCATTTAAAAAGTTAAATTTTTAGGGGGAAAAAAGGGAATATTCATAAAAAATGCTACTGTGCGCCCTATAGCTAACATCTAAGAATACCTCAGTAAAATTTGAGATCAATCCAGCAAGCGGTCTGCTTGAAAAGCTACAGTCAAGTTTGAAAATAAGAGTTCATGCAGAACAAAATGGATCACTTTGTGACTGAGCTAAGAGTTCATCAAAATGTGTCTGCTTGGCTGCAATGTACACCTATTCTATTGTACTTTCAACAACTTGAAGCTCATCATCTAAAATACATAAGGGGAAAAAATCATTTAAGAAACGTTATTTGACAAAAAGAATTTTTAGTTTTTAATTTTTTAGGGTTGTAACCCCTGTCAATGTTTATTAGTTTTCTTTGATTAACAGTGGCATGTTGTGCTCAGGTTTGTTGACACATCCTTTATTGAAATTTGGTTAGTGAACACCATTGGCTCTTCAGTAGTGGACTATTCTTCTGAGTACATAATCATAACATTATTGTAATATAATCCGGCCAGCAAGCGGCTGTAAGAAACGTGCCTGGTAAACACATTCTACAAACTTGCTGGTAGGGGGCTCGTTTTAAGGGGTATCATTACGGAAGGAGGTTGCGATTATAGGCCATGCCCATAATTCGTTGATCAAGAGGCCTAAATATAAATTAGAAATCAGCCTGCTCACCAATTTATCAACATGGGAACTGGCAGAAAAATTTAGACAGCCATCAATATTCTATTTCTCATTTTTTGAAGAAAGAAATTTATTGTTTCAATATCCTTTAAAAAGGCAGACATTGTTGGTGAGCATGGTTCCTTATTTATTGAGAATCTCTGTGCTAACACTATTCAGGAATGGCATGTAGCTAGGAATCAAACCAATAGCATGCACAACATAATTACCTTTGCAAAGAAAGACTAAATGTTTATTTGGATATTTTGCTGAGTTTTCTAGCAGATACATTGTTTTATCAGTGACATTAATTTTGTTATGCATGGTGTCAGGTTCGCAGTCTCATTCCTGTATGCAGTGTTCACAGAGCCTCTGAACAGCAAGCATCTTCACCATCAATTTCATCTTTTCTATTTTTGTTTCTCAATAATATGACTCCAAATTAGGACCTCCTTACTACAGTGATACCCCTTAAATCCTCTGTCCATGTTACTTGTTGCCCTGCTGACTGGAATATCAGATATTTCAGTCACTAATGCACGATTTATTAGTATGTTAAATATGACAGATGAACCTGACAATGACATTGTCCAATGTCCAGTGTTACATATCAATTTTTTTTCCCCTCTCTCTGTTTTTCAAATTACTTTTGCTAGTGTTTGATTGTTTGCTTTATTCTGCCTTTGGTATAGGTCCTATGCATCCTGCAACTTCAATTTCTACTTTGCCTCAGAGTGAATATGTTATTGTTGACACAAAGAATGGGAAAAGGATACTATCCATCCCAAAACAAATGGCTGGCACAAAGACGACGTTTGTTATAGATGGAAAAATTGCTTCCATTTCCCAACCAAGTAATAGTAGTGTAACATCTTCTAAGAGCATTTTGCTGTCAGATCCCCACTTGGGCCAAAATAGGTCCAATTTAGTGACTGCTGCTTCATTGACCTGTGACACTGTCACAACACCAAGCATATCTACTCCTCTCCAAGTCCCTAGCAGTAACTCTTTTATTTTGTCAGTTCCGACTCCAACAGGAGCATCTAGAAGCATGCAGACAGTAATCGGCTCTAGTGCATTGAGCTTTAATCATAAGGTTCCATCTGATAGGTTAGTCTTGCCCTTAAATTCTCCTGTAACATTTGAGGGGAAATTGAGTTCAATGGACTCACCAGCAGATTCAGTTGCTTCATCCCAGTCACGTTTCCAGATTACTGCTAATTCTGATTCAATAGTTCTGCCTCTTAATTCTCCAATCAAGTCTTCAAATATCAGAAGACAAAATAATAGTGAAATATGCACAATCCCAAATACTACTTCCTTGTTTATCATGGTACCAAATGACAGAAACCTAGCAACATCTCTTGATGAAGCAGGTGAAGCTATTTCTAGTTCAAACATATTGAAACGGAAAGCAGCAGTTTTGAAAAACGATTTTCCATCATTGAAAAAAAGATGCCCAGAGCTTTTAAAGAGTTCTAGTGATACTGTTGAGGCTTGTGAAAAGGGAGGCGTGCAGCAACACCGCAATGGACAGATCCACACTTCACCAGACTCTGCTTTGAACCCAAATGAGTTCTCAGCTCCACCTTCAAAAGAAGATATAAACTGTCTAGTGAAAAATGCTTTCTTAGAATTCAGAAATTGTTTGGTACCTGATAAGGATGGCAAACTGTAAGTATATAAAGTTCTTTGCTCCTTTTCTAGTTAGTAGGTTCCCTGCTTTAGCAGCTGCATACTTATTTTGTTTTTCTTGTTTGTCTCAGACCTATTCATTTGGCTGTTGAGAATAATGATCTTGCTGCAGTTAAACGTCAATGTATTGTATTAAAAGCTCGTAGGTCGTCAATTGACATACCTACTTCAAAAGATGAGGTAAAAGATCTTTTCAAAATTTCCGTTTCATGTTATACGTTGTTTATTTCTGTACTTTCTTATTTTATTTAATTCTCCTCTTTTAGAGCCCACTTCAGCTAGCCCTGTACCATGGGCACTGTTCAATTGCTGCCTTACTGCTTCAACATGGTGCAGATGCTTCAATCACTGACCAAGAAGGCAACACAGCACTTCACCTTGCTGTAATGCATGCTGAAGATATTTTTGAGTCTGTGTTCCTTTCTCGGCAATATACCATAGAATTTGTAAATAATCTAAATGATGAAGGTAAATTGAATTTTCTGGATCAATTTGATGGAATAATATGTAACTTTTTTTACAGTTTGTTTCTTCTTTTTTTTCTACCAGGGTTCGCTGCTCTTCACCTTGCAGCTCAACAGGACAAAATAAGTGCAATTCAATGGCTTATAAATCATGGGGCTGAAGTTGACCTTCCTGTAAGTTTCTCAGGCTTAAAAATAGCATTGAACTTAGTGAGAGAAAAATATACAGTTATATTTAAATTTTTAAACAGCTGGGCATCACTGGATTTATAAGAGGTCACAGCTACAGCGTTGTTATTTTACAGATTCATGTGGGTTGGATGCTCTTTTGGTCTCTAGAAAGACGTTGTGAAATTAGTCTCTAGTATCCCCCTCGTGAACCTGTAGAACAACAAGTCTGTAGGTGGATTCTTGTGTGGCTTGAAGACATTACACTCAGCCATGCAGAAATGTCACCTGATGTGCTTCAGATTGAGTAGTATATTGTTAAATCTCTTGAAGATTTAAATGATTTTATGAGGTCAGCATACATACCTGTGTAACAATATTTAATTTTTGTTTGCAGGATGGAACATGTGGAAGAACAGCACTATTTCTTGCTATTGAACGCAAGAGTTACAGAGCCCAAAAAGCTCTTCTAGCTAGTGGAGCCGATATGAGGGAGCCAACATTCTCAGGTTCAACTCCCTTCCATCTTACGAAAGCAGATACAATAGCTCATTTAACTTCGGGTCAAGATGCTGTTGCTGAATTCATTGATTCAGGTAAGTAAACCATGTACTGTACCCTACTTACAAACACATACATATATTTTCATTCTGTGTAAACGTAATTCGTTCTTCTTTTTTACATTTATAGATGCTCTTTTAAGATCCCCAAGATCCTCTAGTCCATCTGAAGAGAATTAAAGTGGGCCATCAGTCTTCTTCAAATTTCACATTTTGCAGTGTGTTTTTAGGTTTGATCTTGTTTTATTGTTTTATTTTGCAATTGCCTTGTATGTTTTATTTATAGTCAAGTAGAATTATTCTTGCTGAATCTGATAACTTATAGAGTCAAGTGTATTGAATTCATGAAGTATGAAGTATCAACAGCTCTTCAGTCTCAAAATATTCTGTTTTTATTTTTATTATCATTTTGTAAGGGATTTGAATCCAGTATGTGGTCAGTGCCCTAAAAAATTTGCTTCATCCTTTTCCATCTGAATAAAACTAATTCTTGGTAGTAATGAATTAATGCAAAGGAAACAACATTTTGAAACCTCGTGAAGCTCATATTTGCACAATTTTTTTTATACTATGAGTTAACTGCTTTTTAAGAAAAAGTTTTAAGTGTGAAGGGCAGTGAAGCTGGTTACACTGTGCAAACATGTGCAGTTTAATGTTTCAAGGTACAGAACAGGCCATAAAAACAACAATATGGTGTTTGGCTGTACATAGTCTTGATGACTGATTTTCCCTTGTATAAGTTCTGTATCAGTGTATCAGTTCTGTTTTATACATATCATATCTTGTTAATACTCTGTTGTATAATTATCATTATAAGAATTGTCATTAATTTTTATTAGTTTTTGTTCTATTTATTTTTTCTTCAAATGAAGGAATGAAACCAGTTATTAAATTGTCAGTTTTGTGGTGAGCCTGGTCCATGCAGCTAGGAAGAATCTGTGATTTATTTCTTTTCAAATTCTGAGAGAGGTGCCAATTTTTCTGTTGAGGACTCCACATTGTCATGCCTGATCCTACAACTAATTTTAAGTGGACAAGAAATTTTCCTCTATTAGGGCATGTGTTTTTGTGTTAGCAATGGAAAAAGAACAACCGAAGCATAAATATTTACACTGTTTCCCCAGTGTTAACAACGAAAGTGTTCATTATCTGTGATTTTAATTAAGGCCAAATAAGCTTCGAGTAAAAGTTGAAATTTTGTCGTCACCCTGTGTGTATCCTGTGTGTGTCAATATTGCATAATAACAAACCATGTAACAATAATAATGCATCAACCTGTGTATTGGACTGTCAATAAATAACACATAAAAACAACTTGTTGTACCTCTCAGCCTTTTAATCAACATCCCTAAAGAAGCAATCTCAAGAAATGGAGAAACTGAAATCTATGACAGAAGTGACAGCTTTAATTTTGGTCCAATTTGAAAAGTTGGAGTCAGGAAACTAGAGGAAACGACACAACACGTCGGTGACGACGATCTCTGCCTGAAGTGTGGGTTCGGACGATTTGTTATGACGTATGCGAGAAGGCGGAGGGCAGACATGGCCCAAGGCGGCGCGCAACACTAACCTCTACGGTGCATTTCAAAGCTAGCTATGTGTGTGCACAATTCTTGTCCGTGCTCGGGTTATCCTCGGCCACATGAATGAAAGTATGGGCCGCAAAACCCCGCACGAAGTGTCGTGAAGCTGGGAGTCTGTCCTGAAGAGGAGGCGCTCAGCGATGCAAATTTGCGCGTGAAAGTGGAGGTGTCCGTGTTTACGTCGTGCACAGCACTGCGCAGCACCCAGGTACGTTTACGTCTGCCAGTGTGGTTCCGCCCCGCCGCGGCATGCTTGGGGCGCGGGGCTCGAGGTTGTCGCGGACCCGCCCCGTGTGAACCCTTTCCCCGTTAAATCCCCGAGCCCCTGCCAGGCCCAGCGTGGTGCAAGAGTTGAAGGTGGGTCCGCGCGGCCCCGGCTGTCGTATGATCGCCTCCAGCCAATGGGAGCGCGGCGCGGGCGCGCCACCTTCAAACGCTATCGACCGCCCCACGTACGCAGCACGCACGCACCCCCGTCCCGGCACTGGAAGGGAAGCTAGTCGGGGCAGTGACCATGGCAGTGGCGTGCCCGGCGAGCCTCTCCGCTCGCGGTCTGCGAGGCGGTTGCTCTGAGATGAGCAGTGCGGTGCGCGACTCGCCGCCCACCGCCCTCGCGACCAAACTTCCCTCCAAATTGGTGCGCCGCGATGTGATGGCGCGGCCCGAAACTCGCAACTAGGACGGGTGGTGTGGCGAGTGTCCGCCGATGCTGATTCCCCTTTCCCCTTATCGGCTTGGGCCAGGCATCGAGATCGCCAGGCACGCTGTGGACGCGGCGCTGAGGTCGACGCGAACGTGGAGGCCGGGGAGCAGGCGAGCAGGCCGCGCGGCACGAGCATCCCGTCCTGGTGCCGTCGCAGTGACAGCGGCACAGCGGCGCCCTCACACTGTTGAAAGGCTGCTTCCGAGGCATGGCCAAGCGCAAAAAGAAGACGGTCTTTAAGAAATTCTCGGCGGACGCGAAGGAGCCGGCCGAGCAGTCCAGCACGCAGTCGGCGAGCAGCACCGGCGAGAGCGGCAGCGAGCAGCCGCGGCAGCAGCAACCCGACAGCGCGCCCGAGGTCCCCGAGGTCCCCGCGGTGCACGCCGAGCACGCCGAGCAGACCGAGTCCGTCGTGGACAGCCTGGGCGTTGACGGTGAGTTGCGCCGTCTCCTGGAACACGAGCTCGTCGTCGCCCTGGAGGCAACCTCGTGGCCGTCTCACCGATGGACTGCTAGGGACTTGGAGGAGCATGACGGTTTGGCGTCTAGTTGGACCACGCCGTCGTTGACAGCCGCTCCGTGCCCGCGGTGCGTGCCTGTCCCCCCAGGGACTGTCGTGAAAACGCCAGCCCCGCCGTGGTACTTCCCTTGGCTGTTTAAGCGGCGCCCCTTAGGACGTCCGCCCCGCCTCGGTGAACTTTGGTCCGGGAGCGCTGCGAGCCGAGGGCAGCCCCGTCGGCCTGCTGGCCCTGCTGGCCCTGCTGGCCTGGGTCGCACCGATCAGCTGATTTGCATTGGGCTTCCTGCTCCCCCCTCTCTGTTCCGCCGTCCCGCCCCGCCTGGGCCCCTTTGGGCTGCTCGGTGGATTGAACGACGTGCTGGCGCTGGCCCTGCTACATCGTCTTGATTGCCGAATACCGCCTTCGCGGGCAAGCTGGCCCAAGCGCTGGCCGACTGTCCGGGTTGATTTTGAAGTGCGTGCCGTGGTCCTGCGCCCGGATCAGCGTGGCTAGGGATGCTGACCTCGCCAGTGACAAGCTGCGGACTGATTCGGAGAGGGAGGAAGGTTTCCTCTCACTCGCTCCCTCTCTCTGTCTGCCTCTCTCGCACTCATGGCGCGTCCCGAATGGGTGCGAGAGAGACAGGTGCCAGGTCAGACTCCGCGAAGGGATCACCTTCCCTTTGCGGGGCGATACGATAAATCGTATCGCTTTCCTTACGTAATGGTGATGGCGTTGTTTTGACGGATTATCTAATTCGCCAAGAATGGGCCGGGGCCTTCAAACCGTGTCGTCCAAGCCGAGCAAGTAGAATGAGAAATAAAAAATAAATAGTTGGAGACGTGCGTCAGGGGTATATGGCGCAGTGGCGCAGCGGTGCAGGAGGATTTTGTCGCCGTATCTGTGGAAAAGGCCTGCCGGCCTGCCTGATAGGCGTTGCGCCCCGCCGGGTTAGGTTCTGCAGACCCGCAATGAGATAGGTCCGCAGTTCATTGCGACTATTTTGGCTTCGTTTTCGGGCCCCGACTGGGGCCGACCGAACCTCACCGAACACCGCCCGCGGGCGCCGCCTTTGAAGCCTTTCAGGTCTTCGGGGTCCAAGCGTCTGCTTTTGCGAACGGCGGCTGCTGGACGGACGGACGGACTGCACGGCTTGCAATCTAGATGAACAAAGCGGAAGCGGAACGCAGCGCAACGCGCGGACGGCATCCCCGCCATCGCCGCGCGGGCCCGGGCATGCGTCCGCGCGTCCGCAGCACGTGAGCGTCTTGCTGTGGACGGATTCGTCGCTCTGTCTCTCTCGCACCTAGAAGGGACGCCGCACGAGTTGCGAGAGAGACAGAGCGACGAAAACGACGCTCGGCATCAGTCCACTGACCGGCCCGGCCCGGCCGCCCGGCGGCGAGTTTTTCAGCAGTTTTCCCCCCCTTTTGAAAACGGGTACGACAGAGTCGCTGCCTAGTGTCTCGCGGCCGGTCGGGTTCCTCCTGCCCCGGCCCGCGGCTCGTTGGTGCGTTTTGGGAGGGGGTGGGGGGCTATAGTGTCTTGACATGTGTAGCGGGGGGAGGTGTGGCTCCGGAAAATTTCGTCAATTTGCTTGCCTAGCCGCGAGGTTTCCTCTGGTCTAACCTAATCTCTGCTAGATCCTAAAGGTGTTTTTTTTTTTTTTTGGGGGGGGGGGGGCTTCCCCTGCCGGTGCTGGACACCGCGCCGTTGTGTGTGTCGTGTGTGTGATGCTGCTGCGGTGGCGGCCCGGTGGCGGCCGTAGGCGCGGCGGCGGCGCGACACACGGTTCGCGGCTACTCGCGGCCAGGCCCGCGCTTCGCTTGGCGCTTCGCATCGCTCCGTGGCCAACTGAAGGCGCGGTGCGGCCAGACCAGGCCAGGCCAGACGGACGCGGCGGCGCGACCAGTGCGAGTTGACGGCGTCGACGGCGTGGTTGGCGCGGACGGGGAGTGACTGCGCGCTGTGACCTGAGGGATGTGGATGTTGGAGCAGGCCAAGACAGTGCTGGGCAAGCTCACAGGAACAGGTGGGTGTACTTGCAGTGCGGTGGGGTCGTCGCCTGGCGGGGGTAGGGGGTGTCCTTGTCGTGGCGGGGTGGGCGGCAAGGGCTGCGTGGGTGTTGGGGAGGGGAGGGGGCGGCCCCTCCAGGTGCCGCCGCACTGGAAGCTGTGCTGCTGCGTGGACTTCCCCGCCCCGCCGTCGCCGATCACAGCAGTGCGTCCGTGTTTGTGGAAAACGTCAGCCAGCTGAACGATCGGCGAGGGGCGGTGTTGTCCCCCACCCTACTCCACCCCCTTTCTCACGGCGTCCCTTCCTCTTTGACCCAAATAGCGACGCCCTGACTGTGACGCCACGGTCCCTTGAGGGCGGCCTGGGTGGCCAGTGTGGTGGCCGGCATGGTAATGACCGATGTCCAATCGCCTTACCATAACATTACCATATCAGTCGAAAAGTGTTAGTTTTGTGCACACGCGCGCACGTGTGTTTGTGTACACGTACGGCGTTGACGTGCGCATGCATCGCGGAGCGACGAGCACCGCGGCTGCTCGTTTTGTGGTGGAGCTACTCTTTTTTTCTTTCATTCCGACTATGTTAGTGCGCGTTGCTCGCGGACCCACGTCATCTTTTGATTTTTTTTTTCTCTCACGCGGAAATGGTAACGAAAGTGACTTGGACGCGCAAAGTGCTTCGTCTCTGCAGGAATGCGTCTGTGTGTGTGTGGCGTCGTGTCCCTGGGGACCTGCCCTGCCCCGCCCCTTACCTGGCCGGCCACACGATGAGCAGCGCCACTGGCTTGACGCGCATTCAGTGTCCATGTCTGTGTGCCCGTGTGTGTCTGTGTGTGTGCCTGTGTGTGTGGAATATTCACGGGCGTGGAAGTGCCCCACCGGCCCTACTACTATGTGCTGACCAAGCACCTGCTCCGCGCGCTGGCCGCCTTGCCGTGCTAGCCTGCTACCGCGCGTTGGGCCGCGGGTCGTTGTCGCTGCCGCACTCGCGCAAACGAAATAAATCAAGTCGCGCGCGCGCCAGGTCGCGGGTTCGATTCCCGGCGCGGTGCCGACACTAAATCGCCGCCGGTTTTTCTGGCCGTTTTTCCACCGAGGCCGCCGCCTTGTCGCACTGGCGCGCCTCGCTTCACTTTGTTTAACTGCCGCGTGCGAGACGCGCTTTTTCTATGAGGTTGCTCGACTTGTCGGTTTTGGCATTTTGGCGCCGCGTCGTCGCGGGCCGGGCTGCAGGGCCGGGCTGTGGGACTAGGCTGTAGGGCTGGGCTGTAGGGCTAGGCTGTAGGGTCATTGGGGCAGGCCGTCTTAATGAAGGGCGTTTGCTTTCACCGCCTCCCTCAGGCCCTTCCCTGCCGCGGCCGCCGGCCACGCGCTCACACACACACGCTCGCACGCACGCGCACGTACACTCACACAGCAACTCACACACACAGGCAGACACACAGACTGACAGACACACAGACTGACAGACACACAGACTGACAGACACACAGACTGACAGACACACAGACTGACAGACACACAGACTGACAGACACACAGACTGACAGACACACAGACTGACAGACACACAGACTGACAGACACACAGACTGACAGACACACAGACTGACAGACACACAGACTGACAGACACACAGACTGACAGACACACAGACTGACAGACACACAGACTGACAGACACACAGACTGACAGACACACAGACTGACAGACACACAGACTGACAGACACACAGACTGACAGACACACAGACTGACAGACACACAGACTGACAGACTTGCCCTCCGAGCCGAGCAAGTGTGGCACTATCATGCGAGATGCACGCGCGAGCCCAGCCGGGCCATGCCAGACATGCGAGTGAGGCTGGATAGCCGCAAGGCCCGCAAGGTCGCGGCCAGTGCGGCCTGCCAGCCCTGCCAGCCTTTTGGGCGGCCGGCCGCGGCGTGCTCTAGAGCCTCTAGAGGCTGATAGCGCCGGGGATGTGCTCCGCGTTTAGCGCTGTATCGCCTTGCGCCGCTCTGGCGCTCTGCCGCTCTGCGTGGCGATGGGCTGATCGAACCCTTGGCGATAAGTGCGACTGCCTGGCGTCCCCCTCCCCCTCCCCTACCCCGGGCTGCTCGGCCGAGGGCTTAGCTCCCGTCTCGGACGAGGTGACGTCCTCGATGGCGATTGGCACAGGGGAAAGGGGGAAAGCGGAAAAGCGGCCCGTCGACGTCATGGATTAGTGCAAATGGCCGGGGGCGTTGGAAGTCTCTGCGGGAATGATTGGTCGTTGTGCTTCACAGATCAATTCCCTGCGAAGAACTTTCTTTGTAGCTACGAAGAAAACAGTGGCTTCGCAGATTACGAAGGAAATCGTTTGTACGCAATACAAACAATTTTGTCTGTATAACAAGGGAAAAATCCTTCGTTGCCTACGAAAAACTTATTCGCAGCCTGCAAAAGGATCTCATTAAGAAAATTAAATTTATTTGTATTTCACCGATTGTATTACAGACGATTTCCTTCGTAGGCTGCGAAGTCGCCGTTTTCTTTGTATAACAAAAGAACGTTCTTTGTAGAGTTTTTAACGTGTTCGCCTCATTGGACTCATCAAATAGCCAACGCAGAGATTCGTGAGAAACTGTGATGACTTCCAGGTTTTCCGGCTACTTCAGTACACTCTTGTCCTTGTCCGAGTGAAAGGGCCCCGCAGCTGATAAGCTCACTGTTGCCGAGGTGCTCGAGGTGTTCGAGGAGGCCCTCGAGGTGGGCGTGTCGTCGCCCAGGACGCCCAGCGCACAGGCGACTCTCGCCTGTCGAGGAGCGCGTCGTAGGGCGGGGCGGGGGCGGGGGCGGGGTGCCTATCTGATTTGAGTCATTTGGCGGATTGGTGGCCACCACGTGGCCAGCAGGCCGCGGCGGCCTGGCAGCCAGATTATGGGGGCGGGGCACGCCGGGGCCACGCCGCCACGCCGCGGCCCACCTTTCCCTCGCGGAGAGTGCGGCGGCGTGGTGTCGACGGCGCGGCGCCGACGGCGTGCCGCCACCGGCGCATTCCTGTCCTGGATCACGGCGTCGCGGGGCGCGTCGCGGCGCGTCGCGGCCAATGGAATTGGAGCACAATGAGATGATGCCGGACCATGGCACTCAAGGCAGGCCCAGGCCAGACCCACACCCAAGGTGAAGGCCCGTCGCTTTGTGGTCCTCGCTGTCCGCCGTCCGCGCGGTGGGGGTCCAGGGCGTCCGCCGCGTCCGCCGTCCACGCAGGACTCTGCTCCACGCAGGACTCTGCTCCACGCAGGACTCTGCTCCACGCAGGACTCTGCTCCACGCAGGACTCTGCTCCACGCAGGACTCTGCTCCACGCAGGACTCTGCTCCACGCAGGACTCTGCTCCACGCAGGACTTCTCGCTTGCTCCACGCAGGACTCTGCTCCACGCAGGACTCTGCTCCACGCAGGACTCTGCTCCACGCAGGACTCTGTCCACGCGACTCGCTCCACGCAGGACTCTTTGGGCTTGCTCCACGCGGACTCGTCACGCAGCTGTCCACGGGCCGTCACGCAGGACTCTAGTCCCCGTCCAAAGCGCTGGTCAGCTGCCATTTGGAAAAAAAGTGGCATTTGGGGCCGTATGCCGGAGCTTTTCTATATACTTCCTCGATTTGGAAGCAGGGCCTCGGACCGGAGCTGCCAACGACGCATGATGTACCTTTGTTTTCAAGGCGACCGCTGTCCGGAACCGTTGTAACGGCGTGTACATGTAGCGCCTGCGAGGTAGGCCAGCGGTCCGCCCCGCGACGCACGGGTGTGGAGTGGAGACGGCGGCCTACCTCGCGCCTGGCTGGATTCCAGCGCGCGTGCGTCCGGAGCGTTTCGGCGGCCGTGCTCTGTCGCTGTCGCATCCACTGTCGGGCAGCGGGCGTTTACAGAGACGGGCTCGGCTTCGCCTGCCCCGCTGGCCGCTCCGGGCTGCCCCAATGAAAACACGCCTCCAGGGCGGCAGGGGCAAGGTAGGCCACCGTCTTCACACCGGTGCGTTGCGGGAGTGGTCGCTGGCCTACCTGCCAGGCGCTACAACGCGCGGGCCTCTTAAACACTGGCAAAGCTTTTCAAAGCTCCAAGCTCTAGATTTCCGAAAACACCGGCGTGTCTGAACCCATTGCACGTGCAATGCAACTTGCGAGGACACTGCCTTTCTAAAGTGCCCACCTGGGAACCGATTCCGCGAATCGTTTCCGTCGCTCTGTCTCTCTCGCGCCTGAACGGAACACGCCACGAGTGCGAGGCAGGAGGGACGAAAGCGACTCTCGGAATCCGTCTCCGGGAGAACGTGTAGGGCCCCCTGCCGCCGATCGGTGGGAATGGCAAGGCATGGCGGCAACGGCACGCGCTCTGGTCGTCCGTCGCTCGGCTTCCCTCTTCCCACGCGGGCACTTTACTTGCACATATCCAGCGCGGCCAGCAGCGCGCTCGGCGGCTCGGCCAAAAATGTTGATGCGCCGCCCCGGTTCGTGTGAAATGACGAAAAGTTCCGCGCGCCACAACGTGCGACGTATACGTTCACGGGCGTTTTTGCGCGAGGCCCGCCGCCGTGATACGTATCGGTGCATCTTTTGCGCTGCGGTAAATGTGTCTTTGGTCTTCGCCAATCTTTGTGAAGTTCGCGACGGGGCATCCGAATGGCGTCCGTCGCCTGATTAATAGCAAAAACAAAACGCGGCAGATTTATGATATTGACCTGTGTAATGCCTTTTGATTGGGCGGGCCGACGGGGAGGGGCGCCCGTGACGCTGGTCGCCTTAATCGCCGATGGCGTCGAAACTACGACGTTGGAAACGTAGCGGCGGAGCCGGCGAGAAAAAAATAAGTAGCGGCTCCGCGAGTATTTGAACCCAGGACGGCCGCGCGAGACTGCCCGTGGCAAAGGCCAGCAAGGACGCGGCGTCGCTGCTGTCGCTGCTGTGTGGTCCGATCAGCTGATGTGTGTCATTCACGTGTGTTCGCGGCTGGTGCGCATGGCCCAGCCGGACCGAGCCGGGCCGAGCCGAGCCAAGCCGGGCCAAGCCGGGCCAGAGAGAGGGAGAGAGAGAGAGAGAGGAAGGAGGAGGGGAGGGGGCGAGGGGCGTAGGTGCAGTATCAGCATCACATCATCTGCCGGCCGCTCCGCATGGCTCCGCGCCGCTACGGGACGCGAACCGCAATCGCGGCCCGAGTGACCGTTTAGTCGCTTCCCGAAAGCCAAAGCCGCTCGCGAGCAGCCGAGGCGGCCGAAGCGCGAAGCCGAAGCGCGAGCAGCCCGACGACAAGGCGAAGGCCGAGCCGCGCAGCCGCGCCGGCACACTCGAGAACGGGACGCGCTTCCCTGTCGTCGCGTTCGAGTTCGACTTCGAGGTGAGCAGGAGCAGGGCTGTCCGCCGGGCCTTCCGGTCCTTCCCTGAGCGCTGCGTGCACCGCGGGCGGGGGCTTCTAGTGCGCGCGCAACGCGTGTGTGGTGTTCGTTTCGGTCGGCTTTGTGGACGAGGAACGCGGGTGGGCATTCCCTTGCCTTGTGGGTTCGTTCTCCCAGGTGGCGGCGGAGGGCGCGGCGCCCTAGACAAGGACCGAGGGGGCCGAGGGGGTTGACCTTGTTGTCGTGCCACGCACAGCACCCCCAGTGCATCTGACGCGCGGCTAGCCGCGGCTAGCTGTGTCGGCGTAATGAATTCGAGCGACCCGGGCCGTGCCGCCGTGCCGCCGTGCCAGTGCTGTGACGCGTTGAGGAAGCGCCGGTCCGGTTCGTGTCGTTTTCGGGGACCGACAGGACAGTCCGACCGTCCGGCGAGCCGTCCGACCCGCTGGCCTGGCCGCGCCGCGCACTGTGCCGTCGATCGCGGGCCGCGGGCAACAACACTGGGAACCCAGGAGTGTGACGTCACGCTCGTCTGAATAATTTGTCGCATTCGTTTCAACGTGGATTCGGGCGTCTTTCGGCGCGGCCCTCGCCGAGTCACATTCGTACCAATGTGACAACAACGAAACGAACGTGACGTCACGTCGCTGGATTGAACCTGGGTGTCACTGTCGGCGCCCTGGCCAGCCCTGGCCGGCATCATTGTCCTGGGCGGCTAATTAGCCGGGCCTCCGAGACGCCACCGCTCATTCGGCTGCAATGTGATTAAGGTCGCCCGGTTATCTGGCGAGTGGGTGGTGCCATCTGCAGGGTCATTGGCGGCGGTGGCGGTGGCGGTCGGGGGAGGGGGAGGGGGGTTACATGTAACCGATAACGCGCTCCGTGGTACGTAGTGCCCGAATAGGTGGCGCCCTGGCCGTGCAGGCCGTGCATTGCTACAGCGTTTCCCGTTTGCAGACTCGGCGCAGCGGGAGGCGGACGACGACGCAGAGGACGGCAGCAGCGCCGGAAGCAGCTTCGAGACCATCATGGAGGCCGAGACCGAGGCCGACAGGCACCCCGTCAACTTCACTGTCGGCGAGGAGGACGATGTAAGTGCCGCCACGCCGCGGACTCATGGCATGCCACGCACCGCTCTCGTCGCTCTGTCTCTCTCGCACTCTTGGGGCGCCCCGCAAGGGTGCGAGAGAGGCAGCGACGCAGACGCAAGCGCAGTGCTCGGTGGAATCTGCCTGCTGATCTGCCCGCGCCCTTCATTTTTTAGCGACACGTTTCAATTTTGCAGGTTGAGGGCGAAGAACACACCGAGGCCGGCGACACCTTCCCGTCGTCGTCCTCCTTCGCGTCCAACTCGGGCATGTCCAGCAACAGGAACTCCATCAACAACATGCAGGACCTGCTGAACGAGCGGCGCCGACGACTCAGGTAAGCGAGGGGCGGCAGGCTGTCTCCTTGACGGTGACGGTCGCAGGCGCGGACCCAGAACGTTCATGGCCTTCCCGAGGGCGTAATGCAAGGCTATCTTGCGAGGCCTTTATCGGGGAAAAGGAGTATTTTGTGTACCTAGTAACCTAGTAGGAGGGGTACTTACTCCATCACACCCCCTGGATCCGCGCCTGGACAGTCACTCCGCCGAACCGAGCGGCGAAGACTGTGCGAACCCAAAGTACGCAGCGGGGTTATCGCTCGGGCTGCGCGAGCCCCGCGAGCCCCGCGAGCTTGGGCGTAAGGGGTGCCCTGGCTTGTGCCCTGGCTTGTGCCCTGGCTTGTGCCCTGGTGCCCAAGGGGACGCGGGCCGTTACGTAAGCCCCTTATCGTTTCCGTTTCGTCCGTTGCGTTCGTCAAATCGAGTTACGGTACCAGCGGCCGGTGACGGGCTGACGGCCGCGCTGATATCGCTTCTCGTTGGCGTCGGCCTTTACATGTGTGACCGACTGCCCGTGCGAGTGTACCGATTGGCAACCAAGTACCTGTTGTCTCTGCCCTTTGGCCGCGTGGCGGCCGCGGACCCGCGGATGCTGCAGATCGAACAGGGGCGGCTGGTGAGTGCTCCAGGCCCCGGACCTCCCGGCCGACGACGATGACGTGCACTTAGTTGTTGTTGTCGCACCGCGTGTGTCGCCTCACCCTCGGCTTTGCTGTCGCACTGTTGCGCTTTCCGTCTGCACTCTGCACTCGTTAGCCGGCCGCGACAGGGTGTGTTGGCGGTGGAGAGGCAGGCCCCAGAGAGGTTCTTGAGACGTTCTAGAGAGGCCTCAGATTGACTGGAGGCCCAAGACAGGTTCTTGAAACGCCCTAGAGAGGCCCCAAAGTGACCAGAGTCCAGCCTCTCCAAGCCGCCGGTTGCGCGCCGCGGTTCGAATGCCGACGCGCTGCCGCGCCTCGGCTGCGCGCTGCCGGGCAGGGACAGGGACAGGAACCGGGCGGACCGGCGCCGCCTAGGCCCCTCCAAGCTCCAAAGCCCGGCCGCGGTTGACGCGCGCCCCGCCAGGGGGCAGCACAGCACGACGCGGCGCCGAGCCGGCGGATAGATTGAATGGCTAACGCAGGCCAACGGCTTCATCGCTGCGGTTGTATCGACGTATCGACAAGTTGAATCAATGACAGTGTGTCCGACACGAGGCGCCACTGCGGGGCTTCTGGCTCCGCGGGCATGTCGGCAGTGCGCGCAGACAGTGCAGGCGCAGACAGTGGCGGGCGTCGCCGCGTCACGCCGCTGCACGGTGGGTGGCCTACCCCGCGGGCGCCTTGCCTCTGGCCTGGAGGAGCAGGCTGTTTGGCCTGACTCGCAGAGGACACCCAGTGCGGCCCAAAGTCCAACGGGACGGGACGGTGCCTCGGTCTCGGACGAGGCTTGGTGCGTGAGAGTGGCGTGAGCATGGCGTGAGCGGCGTCAGTTGGGTTGCCTACCTCCGAGGGGCCGGGCGAGCTCGCGGGTAGGGGGGCGGTTCCCCGGTTCCGCCGCGCTTCGTAGTGCGTCTGCGTCCGCGTCCGCGTCGTCATGAGGCACGTCATGTCGTCTGCTGGAGCGCGGGGTGGGCGGGGAGGGGCGGCCGGCCGGACGGCGTAGAGCCAGGCCCGCCCAGCGTGGCGGTCGGACGGCCGGCTGTTGGTTGGTTGGTGCTGGTGTAGTTCTCCGCGCTCAGGCCGCGCCGCCGCCAGCCCAGCCCGCCCAGCCGGCCAGGTCTACGGCAGAGGCAGGCAGGCCGCAGGGCAGTCTGGGCAGACGGAACTACGCCAGTGCACCCACTGGACCGGGCCGCAGTGCCGCACTCGAGTCTGCTCACCGGCAGTCGGCAGTCTGCGCGCCGCGCGCCTTCCTGCCGCGCTTCCTCGCCGCCTCGAGCTCGATTGCTCGGTTCGGGCGAGCCGATTGCACGCGCCGCGCCGTAACACCGCAACGCGCTTCGCGACCGAATCCGAAACGAACCGAAACGCGCCGAGGACGCGGACGACGCGAGGCGCCCGCCTTGCCTTCCCTGCCGCTTCTTATCAGTGGCCGACCAGCGCGGCCGCCAGGTGTGGCACTGCGGCACAGGTGCGAGTCGGGGTGCGAACCGCCATCACCGCCACAGGATACAGTGCTGTGTTTTCAAGGATTGTGCGTGTGACTGTGTGTGCGTGTCTGTGTGATTCTACTCGTGTGCGTGTGTGTGATTCTGCCTGTGTGTGAGTTTGTGAACGCGCCGAATTCGTCAGGGGTTTGGACTTCCCCTGTGTTGGTGGTAGTGGTAACAGAGCCAGGCCACAGCGCGCCGTGCCAACACCGGCCTGCGCTTGTAAACAAACGTCGACGCGCGCCGCGCGCGCCCCGCTAAGCGTGTTAGGGTAGCAGGCGCCCCCGCGACTTGGCCTCCGAGTCGGCCGTTTTAAAGCAGGCGCTTCTAGAAGGTGGAATCTTTTGATTTAACTGTCGGTCGTTCCCCTGAAGGCAGCAGTCCTTGCTGGTGCGTTCCTCGTGCTTGCTCACGCTGTGGAAGCGGAGCCGGGCGACCACACGACCGTGCCCGACCCGGGTCCGACCCCGGACGGTGGTGGCGCCACGCCCGCGCCGCGGTCACCGTGGTCACCGTGGTCACCCAGTGCCCCCCTCAAGGACGGGCGCGCGGTCGAACCCGCCCCGCCGGTTCCCGCGGAGAGTTACCCGGAGGTACCCGGAGGTCGGCTCGTCGGGCTCGTCGGCTCCCCGGAGCGGGGCGGACGTGTCGGACGTGTTGTCGGCTGCTGCTTCTGGCTGCCTGGGCTGCGCGGCCGCGGTGAGGAAGTGATTTGGTTGTTACCGCACTATTAAGCCGGGCCGGTTTGCGTGTCTTGGCACTTTTATTGTTGCGCGGTGGGAATGGCTGAATGGCGCAAAGGCCGAGCAACACTTATTGCGGCCATTTCGGCCGGTCTTAACACTAGTTCATCCCCTCCAAGCGGGGCGCGGAGAGCATTTGGCGGTGGAACCACACCAATTTCCTCCTCGTGGCTTGCGCACGCTGGTGCCGGGGAGGAGAGGAAGGGGAGGGGGGTATTGACTCGGATTGTTTAGCGCTGTCCGGCGAAGTGCCGCCAACACCAAGTGCGCCGCCCGCGAGTCATCGTAGGCAATGGCGTGCAGGCCGTACCGTACGCACGGCAGGCTCCAGGGCGGCATGGCGCCTCAAACAGGCGTCCCTTTTCTTTTATCACAAACGGCGGCGGAAAAAAGTGGGCACTTGCGCCTCGCCACGCGCCGCGGCGCCGCGGCCCATCCATCCATCCATCCATTGTTCGTCGCGTCGTAGAGCCGCATTTGCATACACATGTACCCGGGACTACCCGGGACCAGCCGGGACATTCCCGGCACCCCCTTCCCTTCGAGCGCGCGCGGCCGTGCTCTCCGCTTCTCGTTGGCAAACTATTTCCCGTTAAAGTGGCATTGTTGGGCTCTTAATGAATGCGTGGGTCTAATTTTAGATTATCGACTGGGGCAATTATTAGTCTGGCTCGCGACGCTGATCCGGCGACGTATCGCTCTAAACCTGCTTCAAAGTGTAGTGCTGATTGTCGTTTTGCCGCGCGGGCCGGCCGACCCTGGCCTCCACGTCGCGTTGACGTCTTTTCCGTGTCAAAGTGACGTCTCACCACATAACATCAAATTGTACGCCTTTTTTCCCGTATTTTCCTTTTTTATTATCCTTTCCCCCTCCGTGCCGCTGCCCCCGCCCCGCTGCGCCCGGCCCGGTGCCCTCGCGAGGCTCTCTGGGGCTCTGGGGTCGCGCTAATGGATTCGGCAAGCGGCAATGCGGTTCGCAGCGCGGTTCGCCGGGTTCGCGTTCAGGACGCCTGACTGGCGGGACTGGCGTCTGACGAGACGCGCTGCGGTTGACCCAAAGAGACTGATTCCGAGAGTCGCTTTTATCGCTCTGTCTTTCTCACACTCTGTGGGGCTTCCCTTATGGGTGCGAGAGAGACGGAGCGACGAAAAGGACTCTCGGAATCAATCTGCAGCCGCGGTTTGGCGCGGGGGTCGCGTTGCTGCGGCGTGGGAGCCTTGGCGATGGCGCACGCCGTGCTTGACGCCGTGCTTGCGGTAATTGGCGGCGCGTACAGTCGGTTTGGTCCGTGCGTCTGGTGCAGCTCGAAAGGCATGGATGCCTGCAGCGCCTGCAGCGCCTGCAGTCCGGCTGGGAATGGCTGGGACGAGGACTCGCACACAAACTAGACAGACAGCCGCTCACGCCGCGTCGGCAGTCGGGCGGGGAAGGGAACCGAAGGGAACCCGTTAGCGAAGGGCAAGATGGCGCAGCGTTCCTCGGGAATCTATCAGTGGATGAACCAGCAAAGTCGGACGGGCCCCGGCCGAAAAAGGGAATCATTGAATGAATGCATTATCGATTAAATGAAAAATTGAGATAAATGAATGGACGATTGTGACGAATGAATGCGAGACTGGGATGTATGAAAGGATGAATGTGACGAATTGATGGACCAATGTGACGAGTGAATGTATGGATGGATGTGATGTATACGAATGGATGATTGCGATGAATGTGTGTGAACGAATGAATGCGTGAAGACTGTGTGAGTTGGCACTCTGTGGCGGCGATGGCGGTGCGGCCGGCTCGCTCTGACCGCCTCGTGTCCCCGCAGTGGGTCAGGTGCTCGGCGTGCTCGGCCACGCCATGAACCGCATTACCTTCATCGTGGGCGGCGACGCGGAGGGTGACGCCGATGGCGGTGACCGCTCCCCGTCGCCCATGTCCTGGCGCACGGCGTCCACCGAGGCGACGCGCATCCACCCCGAGTCTCCCGGCGCGTCGCCCAGCGTGTCGCCGGCCACCTCGCGGCCCGTGTCCCCCAGCAGCGGCATCCCGGCCTGGGCGCTGGGCGACCGCCTCACCGTCCCCGCCGTCGGCACCCCCGGCCTCAAGTGAGTTGCCGCGTCCTTCTGACAGCTG